TGATTAAAAAAATTTTTCATTTGGTATTTTATGGATTCATTCGGATCTTCAACGTTAGAGGAACAGCTTACCGGTAGCAAATCCAACCACAAATTGCTCCGTTGATGGGTGTCACTCCAATATGGTTGTAACAGCTTTGGATGTATTAAATTATCCTGGTCCTATTAATTTTGCTATTTTGAAGGAACAATGAAAAAAATGCCCTTTGAGTTTTTGGTCTCTTCAGTAGACCGAATTAAAATTACAAGTTTTGCTTTTAATAACGCTTGGACATTTCCACCAACCACATACTACAAAACTGCTTTGTGCAGATAGAATGGGCCGGTTAAACGTTGAAAGGTAAACATTAATAAATACTTTCTTACGGACACGTTTGTTTACTGTCTGTCAGCAGTGCCCACAGAATAATTCGCGAATAGGCGCTTTGGTTTCGTAAGCCACCATACATGATAACATGTCGAAATTTTGGCTAAAGTAGGTTATCGCATCTCAATTATGGCTTATTTCGATATTTAAAACGAAAGATGAGATAAGAACCGTTTGTTTTGTACGTTTTTCAACAGGGATATACAAATTCATGATTGATTTAGTACACGTAATTTCGTAATGGGACGGAACGTGGCGATTGCTATTGTTCGGCTCCCAACAGTGCTCTGTTTGATTGTTTTAATATTTTGTAGTTGATTATTCTTATATATCCAGGCAATTTGTACAAATACGGCTTAAAAATTGGTATAAAAGGGAAAGTGTCTCATTAACTATGAATTATGCACCGCCACTCGTCTCCGCTGTAAGCGATCGGGGGCTTCGGACCTGCGGCTTTTCTAATAGTGCCCCATTCTGAATTTACGATACACGTCAATACAGGGAGTTACAAAAAAGTTGATCATTTCGTTGATAATTCTTTAGGGGCAAAAAGTGTACTAATATCACTTGAGCAATGCATTTAATATTGTATGTAATGGGTGTTTTTTTTTTCGATGTATAGTTGGCATTACTGTTCAAGATGGCGACCGATTTAACAGCTGTCAATTGATTTATTCTCAGTTTGGTTTGGCAATTCATCATGAATAGACTCACGCCTAAACGACGCTTGCAAATGGGCCCAAAACGAGATTGCCATTGTTCCCGATTTTCATAAGCGAATTTTGTTTAGCGATTAAGCGCACTTCTGGTTGAATGGCTACGTCAACAAAAAAAACTGCCGCATTTGGAGCGAAGCTAATCCTCAAGTGTATGTCGAAACACCAGTTACATCCAGTTGGTGGAATCATTGGTCCGTACTTCTTCAAAAACGATGATAGCCAGAACGTTACAGTCAATGGTGATCGGTATAGAGTTATGATTACTAACTCTTTCATTCCTGATGTCCATGGCCATGATGTCGATTTATTGAAAGACACGTTTGGTGACCGCCTAATTTCACGTTTTGGACCGCCTAATTTCACGTTTTGCACCTATGAATTGGGCTCCAAGATCTTGTGATTTAACACCGCTAGACTACTTTCTGTGGGGCTATGTAAAGTCATTGGTCTATGCGGATAAGCCACAAACGCTTGACCATTTGGAAGATAACATTCGCCGTGTTATTCCCGATATACGGCCACAAATGTTGGAAAAAGTCATCGAAAATTGGACGTCCAGATTGAACTACATCCGCGCCAGCCGTGGCGGTCATATGCCAGAAATCATATTTAAAATGTAATGGCACAAGATTATCTTTCGGATAAATAAAATTCATGTCAATCGAATAATCCATCGTTGTTTTATTGCAACTTAAAGTTCTACACATCAAAAAAAAAACCATTAGTGCTTAATATATTTTAACTAAGGTTTTTAAACGTTAATGAACCTAGTAAAACAAAAATTTTATAACCTATAAATTTGTGTTGTGTCTTTTCGTTTATTAAGAATCTTAACTCAGGGTCATGTATGGTTCCCAATGTTTTTGTAACAAAATGTAGAATGCCCGAGTATGAGTTAGATATTGTGGTCACGTTCCCAGAAAATAAAATTCGTTTTGTGGACGTATACCAGCTCTTCGTACAGGGCGTTGTGTCTCAGGGATTATTGGCGGATCCTTTTTTCATGTTTTGTCACAAACACGCTGAAACGAACGTTTCCAATTGATGGATAGCACCTTGAAATTTCGCACAGATATTTCCTGCCCAATTATCTACCCAATTTTATTTTTTCCTCTTTGCATTTTCGCAGTTCTAATAAAAATCCTTCAGTAAATCCTCAAAATTATCAAAAAACTTTGGATTGGATTAGCAGTATTTAGTTATTAAAATTTCTATGCTTAATCGGCTATTTCAGTGTTTTATTGATTTGAAGACAACGGCCTGATTCTTGATAACATTACATAAATCTGTATCTAGAACATTTGGGCGCCCGATATCATGACCGCCAAAATTGACTCTATAGAACGGCAGACCTCTGAAGACCTGCTAGCGTCCATCGTAAAACGGATCAAGTAACGCTCCCGATAATTCTTAAAGGGTTCATAATAATAAATTAAAAACTGTTTAGCGAGGAAGTTACTGAGCTATCCTAACTAAACATTATCTAAATAATACCTGTCAATACTCAGGAACACATTGCTTACCCGGCAAACATCCAAGTTGAGTTTAGATAGTATCCTCATATTATAAATTGTGTGTAGACAGAAAAGCGCCACAACCTATCGCTTCGACTTGGCGCGATCACCACAGCTCTGAGAAATCAATGGACTTGATATTTTTTTGCTGACACTTATGTACTGTGATAGTATTTGTAATAAATTCGCACTTCATTAATGTTGCCATCATCCTTTTTCAAAAGGTCAAAATGGAAATGCAGGTCGAAAAGGGGCTGTCTAAGTGCCAACCACCCAAGATATTGATCTCGTGCAATAGTCAATAATTTGCAATAAAGCAAATGTTCGTACGGGGCGAAATTTGTATGTCGTAATATTTAAGGTCCAGTGGTTCAGATATAATTCAGTTCAGGATAGAAATAAAAATTTATATGAATAGATTTCCAAAATGCTCCGATATTGAAGTTACCGAAAAAAAAAATTTTTAGGAAAGTTTTGGTTAGTTGACCTTATAGGCTATAAAACTGATGCATGTGTAAATGTGATTTTCACATTTACATAGTGTCAGTTCAGCGTTGTTTCCTAAATGAATATTGTTTTATTTATTAAATCTACAACTGGCTGCTGAAACGGCACCATGAACCGGCATATTAACAAAAAGTAAAAAGCTATTCTTCGTTTTTAATTTGTGGAAGAAAATCACAGTTGTTGGTTGTTAATTGTTAACTTTTTTTTAAATTAAATTACTTCATTCTAGTTTAAAATAATAGTATATTATGCAACAAGTGCGGTAAACGGCATTTGACTCACGAGTTTATTTGACACGAGCGGAGCGAGTGTTTAATAAACGAGTGACTTAAAAGTTTACCGAACGTGTTGCATACTATCCGTTTCTACGTTAGTTTTTGGGTACATTTTCGCAAAATAACACGAATACGTTCACTGACATGGCCGTCAGAATTGATTGCTCCCAAACTCGTGCGGCAAAATCGCGGAAATGTCCGAAGTGACTCGGACAAACGGGAGTAGAGAATATATGTATGGTATGTTCATAGATATAAGAAAGTGACCAATTGCTTTTGAACGGATTATCCAAGGGTGGTCATTAACATACAATGCAACAAGATTATTTCTATTAATTTAGGTAATTATTAATTATTAATTAAGGCAGTAATCTTGTTGCATTCTATGTTAATGACCACTCTTGGATTATCCGTTCAAAAGCAATTAATCACTTTCTTATATCTATGAACACCCGCGCAAAAGTTTATAAAAACTAATGCGGACGAAGTTGCTACATATTGCTAATAAATATAATGTTGTATACATAGTATACATATAATGTTTCCAAAATTAAAGACCTAACTTAATTAATAACGAAAAACATAACATTTACACTGTTTGACAATCTGAACTCAACTCAATTCAGCAAAATAAATAAATTCGGCCATGAAAATCTGTTTTCCTAAAGTTATCGTGACAATCGCCGACTGATTGATGGACCATTTTCCGCAAGATAACGCTGCGTCTGTAATTTCATGCTTACTTTATTGTCGAACTCGATACCAACCAATACATACGGAGTATCGTCTCGTTTAAACGTTCCGGATAATACTCCATTTATTTGTGAAAAATGTGTCTATTCTAGATAAGCAATGTAGGTCACGGTTTACGTTTTATTGTCCATTACCCTCGCTGGAAGTTAGCGCCTGAAGTTATTTGCTACGGAACGAGGGAAATCTGCCATCGGTGGCTTTAATGTCAAATCCGGAACGTTTTATAATTCAAAATTGTTTACCGTAAAGTATATCTTTCTGAACGAATTGTTTATATTTATAGATCGCCCTTATTTAATGCGGTTTTATAATGACGGTTATCCCGTTGAAGGAGCATGCACGCGATTATAACCAAATGTTTTCAATAATCTTAAAAAAAAAATAGCCCTAATCCAAAAATTTGTTTTTTTTTGCAAGATTATATCAAAAATGTCGAAATATATAATTTCTCTGCTGTACTTGTTCAGACTGTTAAATTTTTGCGAGCCTTCATGGAAGCTTAAGTTTTTACCTACCAAATTTACCTGAACGATTTTTTTGTGTGAAATTTGATTATTGATAAATATAATTGATATTCACAGTACACTTATACACGAGCATACTGGGGGTTCAGTTTTCATTTTAGGTCACTAAAATTCTTTAGAAATTTTCGTGGTTAGCGAAAACTTGGAATTCCTGACAAAATTTTATTTTATGTTCCAACAGGTTAATAATTAGTTAATATAGTACCGCATATTTGCAACTAATTTGAAGAAAGAAACAATAATTCCGAACTAATTGTTAATATTATATAGTTGTTAATAATATCCCAGAATAAGACACCATTTTATTTGTGTTGGTGATTTATTGTGTTTTTTGTTTTGCAGAAGAAGATGAATCTCAAATATTCGTCAAGTTCTTCAAGTTCCACAAGTGCTACGACCTTATTCCTACTTCGGCCAAGCTGGTGGTGTTCGATACGCAGCTGCTGGTGAAAAAAGCCTTTTTTGCTCTCGTCTATAACGGTAAGAGTGTGCACGTAAATAAACTATCTATTGACAAAATTAAATTGAAACTGTTAAATTTGCAAAATGAACTAAACAATATTTACAAATCGTGTATTTGTACTTTGCGAAAAGTGGGGGTCCGGCGGAGTAGAACAGGCTTATCTTAATCATCTTGTTTATCCTTTAGAAACAAAAAAAAGTACTAAACGGCAAAGCCAAGGCCACCAAATATTTACGTGCCACGCGTGGAATGTACGCAATGAGAAAAAGAAGCGTGTTGGCGGGCAGTGGCGTATGTAAAGCTCCGGTTGCCATGCCGACATCTTTTTTACTTTTGAGGAAATAATGCAGTGTATTGAATAAATTTAAAAAACAGATAAAATGATTTTTATGCTAAAAAATGACAACCTGTTCCAAATTTTAAAAATTTCAATTACTAAGGTAGTGAACGAATTGGAGGATAACCTTTCGCAGCCAACGGAAGTTGAATTAGCGTGATTGGTATACTATAACTAGTAATGTGCGGCACACAAAATGAAGCCTATACAGCGATCGAAATAAACGATTTCGGTTGTATAAACCTACAAATAAAAGGCCTGGCATATCAGACAATCTGACGCTGCAGCCAGTCTGGAACATTATGCCAAATTATGCAGTGTTTATGAAGAATTAAAGGTCGCCACGTACAGCTTCGACGCTCCCAAAAAATATATCAATCTGAATCATATTATCCGTATGAAACTTTGTTGCGGTTAATATTTTGATGACAGTCTTTCACGCTTACTAAAAACGTGTTAGTTGCTAACCTCTCGAACGACATTCACGGTCAAACGCTCTATCGACAAAAATAAAACAATCCAATTCAAATCAATTTCTCGTTTGTGCGGATTATATTTTTTCAGTTAGGCAAACAGCAATAAAAATAGCAAGCAGGCAAAAACTCTAGCAGAATATGTTGTGCCAATTGTTACTCCATCCATTTGTTAATAGATTTACTAAATTATCATACATAGCCTTTTCTGACACGAATTCGTTTGTATTGTAAATGCTTTTTTTTTGGTGAGTGGTTATTGGATTTTTCTAGTCACATTTAGTGTTCTCCTCCAACGGCTGTACCAATAACTTGAGTATAATTTCCATATTCTTATTAAATATTTATTTTCGAAAGTGTCGGCTGTACCTCGCAAGTCAAAGGCTTGCGAGGTACAGCCGCTTAGCGTGCAATTGGCCTTGCTAAAAAGAATATGCGTGCTCCCCGAAAACTCGCGGAAATTAGGTGGGGTAACATCCGTACTCACCGAGTATTGTATTGTATTGTCAATTTCAATTTGTAACTTTAGCCCTACACGTGTATTGTTCTTAATTATTAAGGTGTGAGGGCGGCGCCGCTTTGGGATAGCCAAAAACAAGATTTCGTCGGCATGCTGACCATAACCGATTTCATAAAAATCCTGAGGATGTATTACAAGTCGCCCAGCGTGGCCATGGAGGAGCTGGAAGAGCACAAGTTGGACACGTGGAGACGGGTGCTGAAAGACGCGAGACCCCTGATTCATATTGGACCCGATGCGTCGCTGTATGATGCCATCAAGGTTAGCGGATTTGCTGCCATCTTAAATTTTTAATGAAAAACTACATATGATACTATTCCAAAGCTACATTTCTGGCTTTTTGCTTGTAAGGTGGCTTGATTTTTTTATCGATGAAAATTCTACCGTTGACAGTTAAAATTTCTGTTTTGATTAATTTTAGTTGTTTTCTTTGTTAGTTTCTTTCATTCATTCCTAAGTAGTTCAACAAAAACCCAAATTTTATCAAAACCCTGAAAATGAACCCAATTCAAAAGTCTAGTGTAGAATTAAATCACAAATACAATATTTGATAATGGTTTCCAAAAAAAACTATTGTTTTCTACTGTAATTAACCGAAATAAAAAATTATTATAATAATTTTCCTTTGGAGAATTTATGGAAGGTGAAACTTTAAGTGATGAAATTTAATTAAAAAATTGTCAATGATAAAATAATGATCACAAAACTTTTCTTGATATTGCGCTTCCATTGTTTTTCTGCCATTTTCACCATCGTTTTTGATTTTCAGGTGCTAATCCATAACCGCATCCATAGATTGCCTGTGATTGATCCAGATACTGGAAACGTATTGTACATTTTAACTCACAAGAGAATACTGAGATTCTTATTTTTGTATGTAAGTGTCGTGGTCTGCGTTTGATCGCATCGAATCCAACGTTTGCTCGTGACGTTTTGCAGATAAACGAATTACCCAAACCGAGTTACATGAACAAAACTCTTCGCGAACTGAGGATAGGCAGTTTCGATAACATCGAGACCGCTTCGCAAGACACCTCGATCATTTTAGCGTTAAAGAAGTTCGTCGAGAGGCGAGTCTCGGCCTTACCTATAGTAGATCCGGAGGGACGGTTGGTCAACATTTACGCCAAGTTCGACGTAATCGTATGTATCCGTAAAAGTGTCTAAACGGTTTCATGTTTACGATTCGTTTTGCAGAACTTGGCCGCAGAAAAGACGTACAACGACTTGGACGTCTCTCTGAAAAAAGCCAACGAACACAGGAACGAGTGGTTCGAAGGAGTCCACAACTGCAAACTTGATGAAACTTTGTTCAACGTCATGGAGAAGATTGTAAGGGCGGAGGTATGGTAACATTCCATCTACGGCGGACCTTTGTTGATTTATTTTTTTTGGTGTTATTAAAGGTTCATAGGTTGGTGGTCGTCGACGATGATGACAAAGTGATAGGCATTATCTCGTTGTCAGATTTACTGTTGTACCTGGTTTTAAGGCCTTGCGGGGAAGACGGCGGATCTCCGGATGGTGTTGCATCTGTACGAGCTCAGGTATTTCGTTTAAACCCTTATATTCAACCGTCTCTCTATTTTAGTATTCATTTGAAATGTGCCACAAAATGTCTTAAATGAACCAAACATAATAAACAATTCAAAACTGAAAATAATATAACTTTTATTAATTTATTCCTCATTTTGATTACACAGGTCTACAAAATTATACTTTTTGACAGATGATTTTGATTTTGAAAACTGATTTTATATAATTTTGGTAGGCTGATTACAAAAATTCTATGCATTTATTTGTATTACGTAAGTTTTTTTTGCAAATATTACAAAAAAAAACGATATTTCTAAATATATATATACGATATTTTTTTATTCAGTAAAAAAGTGGAATGCTAGGTAAAAAAAAAGTGATAAAAAATTTACTCAGACCTTTGAGTGAAATCTTCGTGTTATTGCCAGAAAGCGACGTTTTAACATCCAGCAGTAGTCCGCCATCATCGTTATGCTCCGTCTACCTTGGTATCGCCGTTCCATTTCCTTAATGCGAAACCTCTCTCCCTGTTCTTCGCTAACTGCTCTAAGATTTTCAGGAAAATAATTCAAGTGTCAAAATAGGAAATGCACTTTCAAACTCATATTAAAACCTAGACGATGAAAGTGTTGTAACATATTTTGAACAATACTTTCTTACGTTTGCTTGAACTTGGTAAACACTGATTCAGTAGAAATACTAAAAGGATGTCGAACTTCCATTGTCTTTATTTTTAACTTACACAACGTTTCGGTTTTTAGTTGTTATGTGTAGTTTTCAAGTGAATTTCAGTCCTGTAAGTTATGAAAATGCTGGTTTTGACTATAATCTGCTCTAAATCAAGAGCGAGAACCAATTTTTCGCTTGAAGGCGGTAGACACTGCGGGGAAGACACTGATTCAGTTTACATTTGATAACGGATAGTGATACAACTGTACGAAACGTTTTGTGCAAGTTAAAAATAAAGACAATGGAAGTTCGACATCCTTTTAGTATTTAATACTTTCTTAGTTTTCGTCCTTAGAGTTTCCAAGTAACTTATCAAATACTTCTTGAAATGAAACCCAGGCATTTTTCTCGACATTGGTCATTGTGTTTTGAAAAACCTTGTCTTTGCATATTGTTCTTATCTGCGGTCCAACAAAAATACCTTCTTTTGCTTTGGCATCAGATATGACTGGAAATTTCTTCCACAAATATTTGAAACATTGACTATTTTTTTAACAAACGGCTTCATCAAGCCAGGTTTGATATGAAGAGGAGGCAGTAAAACTTTTTTGGGATCAACTGCTACTAGGTGTAAGATTTGTTCTAATGTGCCATTCTATATGAGTCCAACGTCTATCTCTTGTCCGATTATCCCACTCACAAATAAAACATGGAAATTTTGTATAATCTCCTTGTTGTCATAGGATCATGCACACCACTTTAAGGTCACCACAAAGCATCGACCGATGTTCTTGGTAGTTTATTTTTTTCAATGGAAGTCCTAAATGTTCATACGTTTTTTTTTAAATGTACCGAATGAGCAACGGGAACCAAGGCCAGTTCGTTACCATTGTGCAATAAAAAGGCCTTTAAAACTACGCTTTCTTGAGTCAGTAAACAGGCACATTTCTTAATTTTGAAATTAAGTCAGGAATATTGTTGCAATACACTAGCGGTGCTTCCTGAGTAAAATCTTTTTCGCGATTCCGGTAAAACCTTGATGTGACCCCATTAGACGAACAAAAATAATAATCATTATTGTGATTCCTAGACTCTCGCCATACCATAGAAACACCAGAGCTTAAACATTTCTTCCAACCTTTTTGCCAGTTTCTTAATGCTTAAACGCAAACGGGAGAGCCCAGGATTTGTCTTGGTCGCCAATTTTTACACCAAAATGAGCACGGTAAACATTTTTCACAAAAGAAGCCTTTGCTTTACTACGACATAACTACCACAGATATTTATACAATCTGGAACACTAGAAATACGACCAATAAAACCAAAATGTCCATAAGCAAGTTACAACACTATATTGACGCTTCTGTGCCAACTCTGTTGTTTTGCAGATAAATCTTAATATTGTTCAGTGTTGACAAATCACATTTAATTCTTTTAAAAATCGTGCCTAACATATAACAAACTTATTCATGTCATAGATATCAATATTAATAAAATAATGTTTTTAAGATATTGATATAAAAAAATGACTTGATAGAACAAAAATATGACGCTTTTTTTAAGTCCCCGAAAATATACAAATAAGCAAACAGCTTTCAAACGTCAAAATCACTGTACACCTGTGTTACCATTGTTACCTATCTCTGCATTTTTTCTGCCCAAAGATTATGCTCTATCATCGCCTCTTCGATTCTTTGGTATTGCTGGTCTCTCTTTCTTCTGGATTCCAAAGCTCTTCTTGGCTATGTATTATTTTCTATCCTCCTTAAGAGGCCAAACCAACGTTTCTTCATATTCCTCACGTCTTGATCATAAAATAATTCTATTTCAGGACATCTTAAAGGCGCAAGGAAATATGGCCACGTCAAGAAGCTCATCGAATGAGGAAGTGGCCGAAACAATCCCGGAAGAAGAGGAGACCGAAGAGAGTGGCAAAGCGGGCGAGAATTCAGCGGAAATTAAAGAGGATTCGGACGACCGTCTTCCCAACACGCCGACTATAGAAAAATCCCTCGCGTCCGAAGGCGCCATATTTAGGGAAGTAACCGTCATTAGCGGGGGGGAATGATGAGGAAACAAAATATAATATATATATACACACACACACACACACAACATAATTTTCGTACGGTAGTGATCGTTTATCGGCTTTCGAAAATTGATCACGCGAGATGAGTTCGGGAATTGTTTCTGTTTTATTTTGCAATATTTGCATTATGATGGGAGCTGGTCTTTCCTGGATAACGGCCCCGCAAACATTCGTAGATAAGAGGTACATAGATGCAATTTTTTTTGTACTTAAGTGAGTAAGAAACATACCAAAGACTGCTTGTCTACGCAAACAAAATGAAACAATTCGCAGGATTTATGATGCTTTATTTATTTGTATGTTACATATAATAATACCGGTTAATATTAGAGGCGCAAGGTGGCCCACATAAAACCGTATATTTTACCACAGGAATCTTAATATTAATTTTTAATTGAATTGTAATATATTTTTATCCAACGGTACAACAATAAAGTGGTTATATGTGTGCAGCGCATCTTGCCTGTAGATTGTAAAATATTCGCTATATTTAATCTTAAACATGTTGAAAAATTTACTAATACTAACTAGCTTTTCAGATATTGTTAACGGCTAAGATGGCATGTGAACATTTTACTGAGAACCATTGAACATACTTTTTATAACGCTGAACGATAATTTTGAATACAATAACGATGCTAAGAAAAAAAAATTGCCTTATTTCGGTAGAAAGTATGTTTAATAATAATAATTGTAGCTGCAGGAAGATAAGTATACTTAAATTTTTTTTCTTTTGTTTTTGGAGTGAAATGGTTATATTTTTTATCGTGTGTAGTAACTTGAGAATTTGTTGAAATAAATAGTTTAAGGAGCGCTGTTGTTTTTCTGACTTAGTTTCTCACTTTTACTTCTCTCCTATTTGGTTTTTCGACGCTATTAAAAGGCTGTTCCAGAAAATAGCTATTTTAACTCCATTTTAAGAGCGTTTGGGTGGTTTTCAAAACCAGCACTTTCAAACCTCCACAATAATATAATTCAAGTAATAGACAAATGAAAAGCAATCTGACCGTCCACATGAAAGAAAAAGTTGCCACAATAGCCTTACTGGGGCACACCGGCCGGATTTTTATTTGATTAAATATAAAGTGAAAATAGGTAGCCAAGTAAGTAAAAGTAAATATTTAACTTAATGCGGATATTTATTTAGATATAAAGTTAAAATAAACAGGCAAGTAACTATAAAAGTCAAAATTTATTTAACTAAAGCTTTCGCATATTAACTAAGGTGCTCTGAATACAATGTAGGTGATTACTGCTATCTTAAAAACGGTTGGAAGGCGTATACAGATTTTAATTAAAAATATACCTACAATCTGTAGCTGGTTGTTCAACTGCTTCAAAAAAACTAATAGTTTTGAATTAGCTCACTTGTTTGGTTTATGTTAAAATATTCTCTTCTAACATTAAGGGAAAGTTTTTAGCTGCCAATTACTTAAACAAGAAACCAGTTCTGAAAAGGAAAGACGATAAGAAAATGTTTCGTTTCCAAACGATATTTTTCCTTGCTTCAGGGTCAGCATCATGCAGACACTTGTCAAAATCATGATTTTTCACATAGATCCGGAATATCTACGAGCAAAACATTAATTAAGGATACATACATACATAATACATAAATATTGGTGACCAAATATATGTCACCTGGTATGCCTCTGCACTTATTTAGAGAAGCTAGCAAAACATCTTTTGTCTCGGGATGCGCGCTTTCAATTATATAGTCTTACTGTATAACTCCATCATTATTAATCTAGAACAACACAACAAAATCCCAAGAAATATATGTATCTATCAAGATTCTACATAATTTTACCCAGTTTTCCTCCAGCAATAGACACATTAAGTAACACTGAAGAGAAAAAAAGTTGTAATGAATAAATTGAAAATTCATTTTTTACAACACGTCTGGATTCCTCCTGCGTCAGTTTTGAGTCGAACTAGCTAACTTTGCCAATCGTCCTGTTGGCGCCTTCAGAGCTTGACTGAAACCGGCTCGCATTTTACTCTGTACCTGCTTTTATATTGTTTGAAGGGGGCGTACCTAAATGAGGGGACTAAATACCGTCTCGGATGACTGTATTGGCGACAAGTAGAGACCTGACTCGCAGTTAAGATTGTTAGGTTGCTTATGGATTTCTATAGGCTCTCGGATTTTTCGTTGGTAGAAGAATTGATTACAGGCAAGAATTTTATCGAATAACATTTTATGTCCGGTTCGTAATTGTATTCAGCAACTGCTGAGGAGTTTATTTGTCTTAGTCTTAATGCTTTTTCATGTTCTTTGAACCTTGTTGATATTTTTCGTCCGGTCTCTCCAATGTATTCTTTGTCGCATATACATGGAATGCTGTAAATCTCAAATGGAATTTTGTCTTTGACGGATGGAAATTCTTGAGAGATTTTTGGGCAAGTGGTAAATCTGGTTTTTGACGTTTATATTTCTTTAGAACTTTTCATATCTGGTCAGTGATGTTTTGATTATAAGGAAGGACAACAGTGGCAAGTGTGGGATTGCTTTCGGTTTCATTGCTATTGGAAGGTTGTGGTGAAGTGCATTTTGTGATAGAGCGCTTAATATCTTTAATGCGGAAATTATTAGAGAGAAGGGCAGAGGTAAGGTGTTTTAATTCTGGGTGATGGTCGCATCACCATCCGGCCCAAAAATCATCGGTTATCAATTCTCTTCTTTACAGAGTCTTAAAACTATCTCAGCCCGAGTCGTTGAACCCAGAACTTCTGTCTAATAATTTCAACATTAAAGGTATTAAGCACTTCATCACAAAATACACTTCACCACAACGTTCCAATAGCAATGAAATCGAAAGCAATCCCACACTTGCCACTGTTGTCCTTCCTTACATTCAAAACATCACCACATATCAAAAGTACTAAAGAAATATAACATCAAAACCAGATTTACCACTAGTCCAAAAATCTCTCAACATCTTCGATCTGTCAAAGACAAAATTCCATTTGAAATGTCAGGAGTTTACAGCTTTCCATGTATATGAAGTTTTCATTGGAGAGACCGGTCGAAAAATATCAACTAGGCTCAAAGAACATTAAAGATCAATAAGACTAAGACAAATAAACTCATCAGCAGTTGCTGCACAAAATCACAAAACCGAACATAAAATTTTATTCGATAAAACTAAAATTCTTGCATGTAGTCAATTCTTCTACCAACGAAAAATCCGAGAGTCTATAAAAATCTATAACCAACCTCTTAACCGCGACTCAGGTCTCTACCTGTCACCAATATAGAAATCAGTCATCCGAAACGGTGTTTATGCCCTTCATTTAGCTCCGCTCCCTTAAACAATATAAAAGCAGGTACAGAGTAAAATGCGAGCCAGTTTCAGTCAAGCTCCGAAGACGCGAAAAGGATGGTTGGCAAAAAGTTAGCTAGTTCGATTTAATAAAAACTGACGCAGGAGGAATCCAGAAGTTTTGTAAAAAGTATTACAATAGCCTGTTTAAGTTTCTTTGAAAAATTGAAAATTCATTTCTGCTGCTAAGGTTGTTATTATTATTAATATAAAATACTTATTTCATAGGCGTTTTCGTTCAAAAATAAAACTTACTTTCATTGAGTAATCGTTGCTGGTGCGGATGTCGTATGCCAAATGTTCTTCTAAAATGATTACACAACTTTAAAAATTCACTATTGAATAAAATTAAATAACCAAAACCAAAAAAAAAAAAATTAAGTGAATTATTATTTTTGTATTATTTTTATTTACAACCTATATTGACCGTTTGACTCCAGTTACCCAGTCACTTGACTAATTATTTTCGGAAAATAAATGAAAAATTCAAGTTCAAAAAGTCATTACATTTTTTTTAAACTGCTTACCATTTGAGTTCAAACTCTATCAATGGACATCATATATTATTAAAATAACAGTACGTTAATTTAGGCATATACCCCATGTTACCTTCAGTTATTCCAGATTTCTGCACACATGTGTTGTGCAATTCAGTCAGCGTTGTAGAAATCTTCAACTTCAAAAAATCAAATGATGTTAATTATCCTCAACCAGCATCTAGCAATTTGTTTTATACCCACCTTTCCAGTGGCGACCGCCACTAAAGCAGCTAACAGATTTATTAAAACTTTAAAATGCATAACACATAATTTTGTGCAACTTACTCAGTTACCGATTGTGTAAACTCCTCTTTTATATCATTCTGTGTATGCCAGTAAAAAAAAAATATTGACTACCTATTTCAATTGTATACTATTATCGCAAATTCCTAATATTTTCTTCGATAATAATCATCTTGTTTAAAGGACGAGACGGTAATTGATTTGTTGGAGATAGCAACGCAATTGAATACTTTTTTTTCTTAAATTAATGTCAACTTAAACGTTTTCGTTGCTTTACCTTGTGTGTATTACATATTTTGAAACTTTCGATTGACAAACAACGGAAACTGAAAAATATCTGGTGGTGTCATGGTATTGCCTTACTGATATTAGTCATATATAGTCAAAAAAACGAAGGAAAATAATTTTTTTTGCTTATTACTGGCAAGAGGTCATTGAAATTAAGGAAACTTCTCTAGTTGTGAATCTGCCTATATTAATTCGTTCGTCATACTAATTATAAAAATTATTCGAAGAAGCGGGTACCTCACACTAGGAACCAATTCTGAAATATAAAAAAACCGTCCTAAAAATTATAATTATAAGTATCCATTACTTAAGAATGACGTCATTAGGTATAGAAGTATGACTTAAGTCCAACGACATAGAGAAGAAGTACAATCAAATTTACTTACTTCTGGATCAGCCTGATGCATGCAGTAGTTGAAATTGTAAGATTTTTCACATAAATCGGCTCCATCTAAAAGAGAACATTATTTTTTAAATTTTGAATGCAAATGTAGCAGTTTTTCTTATAGATTCAAAGCGATTGATTTTCTGCAGCCCTCTACACAATATGCCAAAATATATGTTAACGAGATAATGGAGGCCACAACAACACACAATTAAAATTTATCTCTACGCTCTTTAAAACAAATTGTACAATTTCGAACTTTATTGGAAGTTGAAATAAAACTATTGTACTTTTGCTAAATTACATTAAACATATTAAAATATATCCAGGATGTATAAAGCATAAAATAAAGCAAAAACAAATCAATACCGGCAAGTGCAGGAACAATAATTAATTAACTTTAATTATTATTAGTTGTTTTTCATTTTCAAAATATGCAGATATAATGCACCTTGAGAAATGAAGCCTTCCGCCATTGTAGCGTTCAACATTCGAATACCAACAAAAAAAAAAACACAAAACTTGTGTCTTAAAATATCTATTTTCCGCGATACAAGGTGTCAAAACGTAAATCGTACATTATGCAAAAAGTCTGATAAATGGTATTTTAGTTACGACTTTGTTTTGGCACGATCGGGGCGGACCGGAGCGAGTGCTTAATAAACGAGTAACTGAAGAAGATTATCAAGTTTATAGGTCTTGCATGCTATTCTTTTTCAATGGCCAATACTTTTTGGGTGCATTATTGCAAAACAAGATCAATGCATTAGCGAGCGTAACGTGACTATCTGATTTGAAAACCGTCAAAATGTACCGAAAACACCCAAACCATCCCCAAATACGGACAACGTCCGAAGTGGCTCGCTAACATGTGAAATAAAGCTGAGGTTTTAAGTTGACACTTTTCGCATGCTTCATTCGTACATATTTTAGAGCAGTTAGTTTATTACCAAGTATATTATAGGGCGCCTTAATACAAAATATGGGTCAAAACGCGCAATAAACAACTTTTTATTTTTTCCTCGAAAACAAGATTCAATAAGATATTTAATAATAAGAAGACTCAAGAATTCGCAACACAAGTTACTGATTACGAAAAAGATATTAAAAAGCGCGCAGATACATATTTATTGCCAAAAGTGTTTTTTTTTTCAATTAAAATTAAATTAAATTTCGAGAGCATAATCAAAATCCATTAATAAAAAAGCATTTTTTGTTCTTACGGTCTATCATTACATCGTACTCACTCTCGATACTTCGACATTTGTTTATGGCGGCGGTTAAAAGATCTGCATAGGACGGGTGCGCGTTCTGTATAATACTGTCATACTGGATTTCTCCATCCGAGCTCATCTGAAAATAATTTGCAAATCCAGATACGAGTCTAAAAATAAGAGGCTTTTCATTACCCATTTTGATTCGAGCATCAGGCATTTCATATAGCACTGAAACGAGAATAAACCGTTTTTACTTAGTAGTTAGTTGTAATAACTGATAACTATAAAATCGTTTACCATAAGTGCCTCATTTTTGTGTCCAACTTCGTAAGCAGCATGATCCTCTGAAATTATATATGTTACATAAGTTACAAGTTAGTTTAGTTTCATTAGTTTCATTTAGTAACACCAAAATACAGTCCGTGGCTAAAATCGGCTGAACACATCCGATTGCTTCCAAAACCCTGATTAAAATAACGAAAATGTCCGAAGTGACTCGGGGCCATGGGCAACAAAGCTGATTTTTAATGTAACACTTAATCACTGCACGATTGGAGTAGGGGGTAGATGAAGCTGAAGTAAAATTTAAAGGTGCCAGTACTGGAGATGCTGGGTATGCAGGGTATGAGGTGGTATACAGGTGATTTCAGTTTTTAATTTTTATAAAACATTTGTAGAAAATTGAAAGAGCAAACAAAAAATGTTACCAGTCATCAATAAACCAGTGATGTACTACTATATTTAGAAAAAATACCCTACCAATACCCCAAATCTCCACCACTGGCACATCTAACTTTAGGAAAAACGCTTCTAGTTGCAGATTAATATATTTGACTGACTGACATGACATAACAGAATTGACAAACGTCAAAATTCAAGCTGTGCGGTAAAATCTCCGAAAACATCGGATTGCTCCCAAACCCGTAAGATAATATCCTGGAAATGCCCCCGAAGTGGCTCAGATACGAGGTAAAGTTACGCTTCCCGCACGGTAGATCGGTGTATAATTGGGTATTTTACAGAAGGGAGTAGAAATTAGTATATTATGCAACAAGTGCGGAAAACGGCATTTGACTCACGAGTTTATTTGACACGAGCGGAACGTAGCGGGCGAGTGTTTAATAAACAACGAGTGACTTAAAAAGTTTACCGAACGTGTTGCATACCTTTTCTACGACCGTTATTTTTTGGGCACATTTTCCCAAAACAACACGAATACATTCACTGACATGACCATCAGAATTGACAAACGTCAAAATTCAAAGCGTGGGTAATATCTCCGAAAACATCCGATTGCTCCCAAATCCGTGCGGTAAAATCCCGGAAATGTCCGAAGTGGCTCGGATTCATGGGAAACGAAAGTGACGTGGTAAAGTGACGCTTCCCGCACACTACATCGGTGGGTAATTAGGTATTTTACAGACGGGAATAAAAAAATATTTTTTTAAGAAATAAACTGGTAAATCAAATGCTCAAATATTCATACTTGTATACTAATACATTTAATGTAATAGTTTTAAAAATGTAATATGTTGTGCAGCTTTGATTTCGTTCTAACGGGATAAAGCAGTTTAACCTGGGAAAGTCTGATTTGGCCGATAGCAAATATTCTACTTACCCTCGGTAAGATCGCTGTTTTCTATACAATGTGCGTGTAGTTTATCGATAAAGGCCTCAATTTCTGGCGGCAGAGTTATCTAAAACATTTACATTAGATTTTATTTATTACTAAACTAATAATACGCGATCATTTTATTTACCCTTGCTTCCAAGTAGCCCAAGAGGCTAACTGCTACGAAAATATTCCAAAACATTTTAGCCATTTTCAGTGGGGATTACTTTAGGCCTAGGCGCTCGGGTTACCCTATTTATACTCTACTTTACCGGTCGAGCAAATCTTCGAAAGTTGTATTTTTTTTATACAGCTTGACATTTCCGTTGCCTAATAACTTTCTTAATTATAGATGCCGAACGATGGACATTAAATTACCTGGAATTTAAAAAAAATTGCTTAATTCGTAATTAACTAGTTCCTAATTTTTGATAGCGGTTCGAACGTGTTCCTTATTCGATTTAATGCTGCACAATTACCACCAGAAACAATGATTTGTGCCATTACATTACCTGTGTTTGCAGACATCAATTAATAACTAAATTTAGTCTTTATATTTTAATTTCCTCTATATCTATTTCGTATACATACACTGTGTCCCTATAACCAAAACTATAAGAATTTTTATTCGCTATTGAATTCCACGAAGACTTTACATTTTTTTGATTAAAAACCTAAAAAATAAAGCTGGTAGTGGACTGTTATCAAATGAATTCCAAACGTCGCATAAAAATGGTCTGGGTCACATATAGTAATAATCTGTGTGAAAAATATAAGGGTTGTTGACTATAGCCATGATACGTCGACCTACTTGCAGGATAACCAACAATGTCTTTATTTTTAGATGCTAAACCACCATAGAGGGCAACCAGATTTTTTGGTAAATAGAAACTGATTTAGCTAGCTCTCTGAAGAAGTGGCTGCGTGGAACTTTGGTTTGAAAGAAGCAGGTTTTGATTCTTCGAGACCTGTTATTTTCCATATAAAAGAAATAAAATTCAATTTCACACCCAATAATACACTTTTTATTCTCGCATTTTCGGAAACAGTTCAATTAACAAATATTATGAAAAATTACAATTGCACGTTTACATTATTGTTTTTAATAGAAGATATTACGTAACACAGTTATACAGGATGATAAAGGAGTACGTGCATGATTTTAAGATGGAAATGCACAGTTTTCAAGATGCGTAGACGGGGGCAAAATTAGGTAAAAATTATTTTATTTTTTTTATCAAAAAATGGGCGCCAGTGTTTCTTTTTTGTATCTCGCAGGCTTATGATTTTAGAAAGGGGTTTTGTCCAACATAAAGTAAAAAATCCAAGAGACAAAAAAAAATTTACTTGTTTGCAAAATTATTTCTCTAAATTTGACCATCTGTACCTAGAAAACCAAGCATTTCGTCACGTACATAGAACTACCTTGTATATTGAACATTATAGTTCACAAATTTTCCAACTGTGGTGTGGTGATACTTATATCACAGAATATATCATTTAGGAATCATAAAAGTGACTAGAAACGCATACATCAATATAAAAATCACAGATATTATTTATTCGAATAGACAATTAAAACCGCTTCGACGAATTAACTTCAAAGATAAGAGGATTTAGCTAAATCTCCGAGTAACTTGTCAATTGACACGTCGCCGACCGTTTGCTTGAAAAGCAATTCCTCCAGACCGCGCTTGGAAACGGACTGAACGCCGGGTAGCATCAGAAGAAGTCGACCGAAGCGGCTCTTGTGATTATTTTGACGTTGCGTGCAGTATTCGTGGAGCATCACGTGAGTTTGATCTTGCAGCAGTTCCACGTGGGCTGGTTCACAAAGACCTCGAGATTCTGCAAAATGTCATGTGTGCAAGGTTAGAGACGAACTATGGACCTGACCGTTTTTATAAGGAATATTTTGTATTTAAGAGAAAGAAAACAAACGTTTAAAAAATTTAAACATATTTTGGAGATTTCCATTTCATTTTTTATAAAAATATTGGTGCAAAAGGCAATGTTAAAATATTTGTTGAAGTTTAGAAACAATAAAAAAGTTATACTAAAATACTAATTTTCAAATGTTTAGGTCGCATAAAACAAAATATCATCTCAAATTTAGCCTTCAATTTGTATTTAGAAGTCTTTTGTCAGTCTGGCCAATCACGATCTCGAAATTTGCCTAAATTTATAAATATATATAATTAGTGCATTTTTTGTGCACTTTATCTATTGTCTTATCTCTCACCAGCTTTAAAAAGGACTAGAGCTTTTAAATACGCATGTTCAGTATGATCAACTCTTAGCATAGTCAGCCTTGATATGACCTCTCGCAATTTTCTGGCATCTTGTTCCAAAGCGGACTGTCTTGATGGCGGAACATTGCTAAGCAATACGTCTGAAAAAATAAACGAATTACGAACAATTAATATTAATTAATTAATTACGCCATAATAAATAACATTTACTTACTTTCATCGACAGGCAGTGCCCATTGCGCTGCGGTCAAAACGAATAAGTCGTTCCAACTTTCTTCGAGTAATATGGTTTGATCTTTATACGATAGCTAAAATAAGAAAAAGCAATTGGTTGCTTTCTACATCTTTCCACACATTTTTAAAGTTTAAAAGATTGAGCTAGTTGATTAATGTCTTGTCAAGAAAGTCTCCGGTGTTCAGATGTCTTTAACCTAATATAAGGAATGTAAATAAATTACAAATTCTACGTTTCACGACTGAATGAGCATTTACACTACTTGAATATTGTTTGGACTAAACAATCAAAACACATCTTACCTGTAAAAAGGATGGTATTGTCCTAGCCCACTTTATAGCTAAAAACAGTAACTTAGCTGCTGACTCATACACAGGTTCGGCAAAGACCGACAAAGGTGCGGTCTCTATATCTACCGCACTTTGCGGCTTTGGTTCCATATCCGTCAAAATTGGCAATTTCAATCTGGAGTTAAACAACCCCTCTGCAGACGAATTTCCTAAATTGAAACGAGTTATAGGTTAATATTTTAGATGAAAAAATTGCAGATATGATTTTAACCAGCACGCTATTGCTTCCAAATGAATTTACCAAAAGTCTCTTACCACCAGCAACGGATCTGTTTTGATTAACTTCCTCCGAACTGGACACCTCATCGTCCTTAAGTATATCACCGCCGCTCGATATAGTTTCTTTAATATTCTGCTGGTATTTGATGACATATGGCGATGGTATACAAGGCGGAATGCCTACGGTACGCAAAATTAAGCTGTTTTGGTAGTTCTGTTTAGTTCCACAGACAATAATTACTTAAACCGTGATGAACCGGCCTAGCGAAACCGCCTAATACGCCGGGATAGAGTAACCCGTGAGATAAATAGCTTCCGGATAAAGTGGCGCTGTGGTCTAACAGTGACGAGGTGGGGGCATAATGCAATGGAAGTCCGGGGAAAACTGGAGAAGTTTGAAGAGTTCGAAACCTGCTGCCCAAACTCATTTGGTAATGGTGAATCGATGCGTGAGATGTTCTAGGTGCCCTTTCGTGTTGCACAGCTAAAAAGAAAACCTTGCACTATAAGACTAAGGAGAAATATCATTTCGAATCTAACCAAATTAAATTAATGATTTATTGATGCACTAGGCACTGGGAAAAAATCGATTAAATTATAATTATGCAAACGAGTTTGATGGTAACATCGTTATAATACGACTTTCGTATCCTATGTTAATTACATTATTATAATTATTATATACTACAAGTACAATATAACACTAAAAAACAAGAGGCCGATATTAACCAATTTTAACCAGTTGTAAAAGACATCACTCTAGAAAAGGTTATATATAGCTGTGAAGCTAGATTAGGTCACTTCTTAGATGTGCCTTGAAGAACTGTAACTACGCAATACAGACAATCTTCCACATCAATACCCAGCATTAATCGTTTATTGTATGTACTGCTTTGTATGTAGGTATTGGTTGAATTTTGTGTGAAGGAAATTTTAAACGTGATCAAGATCGTTATAATTACTGTTTAAAACCAAACGACCAACGAAAAAAACGACAAGAGGGACACAGATCCAAAACAGTTTAAATTAAAATACAATCATTTTTTGATGATCAGATCTTATAGGTAACCTTGACTTGCTTTTCACATAAATTATCACAGGGGTCGGAACAATGATCATTTATCATCGTTTCTGACTCTTTTTGCAACAATTTTAGCATGCTAATGTTATATACTCACATAGTGCAAATACATGATGTATATATTTATTTACTTACTTATTTATTTATTTAATGTTAGGATGTCGAACAGCGGCAAAATATACAAAATGCAAGTTGGTTACGTAAAACCGATGGTCTTGCGGTGCCGCAGAATAATAACGAAAGTCTTACTATCTTAATCATATAAATAATTATTGCCCAAAATACAGTAGAATACAATTTAAATATCGGTCAATACCTACTTCCACAATCAAGAATAAATATTACATAATAAATAAATGAGTTGCTAATGCGACGATAACGATAAATCGATTCCATATTACATTTATTTTAGTCATATAAAAATTTTGCCTTCCTTGGTCTTTTTAGGTTTAATTTCTAATAATTTTGTTTCAAACTTTTTTCTGGTTTCCTGTTTTATGCTCGTTTTATTTTATTTATTTTCGAAAGTGTTGTCATTAATTTTTTTATTTAAGTTCTTCTACATAATGAGAAATTGTAAATGATTGACTCTTTTTGTGTATTACGCGATACAAACATTCCTATTACACACAGACTACCTATAAAATTGTTATATTAGTAAATATTTAATTGATTACATCAGCGTTGAGAACTCCACAGAACTATTGCAAGAATAATTTTTGAAATACCTTACACGCGAGAGCTTTCCCCCAAAATTCAGAAATTGCCTTTTATAAACCTCCCATGTTTATCTTCAAAAGAGTTAACCATTATATTGATTCTCCGATTCTATATTTTCAAGTTAAAAAACGGGATTGTTAGCCATCTCGAAAAATTTAAAATCATACACCACCATCAATTTCATTTCCAGAACGGTAAATCCACCCAAGATGCCATTACTACACTGATTGATATCAAAAACTGTTTTCCTCCCATTCGTCTGTGATTAGCGTACCTTCCCAAATTTATGTTAAATACCTTGATATCTACGTGGACAAGCACATGAATTGGAAATATAAAAAACTAAACTCATTAAAAACTTGAGATTAACTACTACAGGAAAATTGCAATTACCCATAACTTTAGGAATCCACTTTTGGGTGGATTCCTAAAGTTATATATAATAAACCGCTCCTTTATCCTACAGAAGAACTCCATCAAATGGCAAAGATCTTAGATGTTTGACAATTATTTTTGTCAAAATTACGAATTATTATTACAAACGCAAGAACAGCTACCTCTATTAGAGCACGATTATTCGACATATTTCAAAGGCAAAAACTGTGAGTAACAAAGCGCGAAAGGACTATAGGTCAGAGATGCTTTCCTTACTTAGTAATAAAAATTATTACCTGAAGTGATTCAAAATAATAGACCATACAATGGATATAAAAAGAAAATAATAGAATGGATTATTCAGCAGCCAAGACTTATATCCACCAGCACATAGGTTTAGAAATATTTATTCTATTATTGCAATTCATTTAATTAAGATCTATATAGTTTGTTGTGATTTTTGCAAGTCGGTTATATACCACACACTTAAAACTTATTTTTGTGCATTTATTTTTTGACTTATGTATATTATTCAGCTGGCAAACAAATATTCATTTGCTAATATTTCGTTAGCTTTTCCCCTATTTATTAACTATTTATGTATCTTTACTTATTTAATGTTCTTTTAAATGTGCTATTTGTACATAAGCTATTGTCATTATTTTTATTATCATTATCATAATCATTATTATTATTATTAACATTATTACTATTATTATTAATACATTAATAAATTTTTAAGATTTCTAAGAGGATGGGTTCTGGAGGCATAAGAGTGGCGGAAAAATGTTTATCCCAAAAGTTTCGATAATTTTTTTGCGCCTTTCATCGATCCAAGGAACGAAAATCAAATAATTATAGTTATATAAATCCGCAAATTTACCGACTAGGAAAATCGGCGATAAATACAATGTCCCGCGCGTCGTGGAGAAATAAAACTGAAACTCATCAAATATTTAGATGCTGGCTTGGGTAATCATCATTAAGGGCCTGCTCTGTGACATGACATCATGGCCGTTCGGCGTCGTGTGTTTGCTGCGCACAGGTGCCCTTTTCCCACGCTAGCGTCTACGCCACCGTTTCGATCTTTCAGGCGATGATTATTTTCAATGCGGAGAGGGTAAAATATGAAAATATCACGGGTCCATGAAAGTTGAGATCGATTGAAAGAATCGAAGAGGGGCACTAAAGTGCCTTAAATACTAGATGACGGATTATGTTTATTTAATTAAGGGGGGGGGGGGAGTTCAAAAAGTGAGACAACAGAAGAAAACTGAACAACTGCAGAATGTATACACAAAGAAAGTAGATATATATACTGCAAAATGCATAGAGAAATTGACAAAATCAAGTTCTAACTTACAATCACATTATGGTCTTTGCTATATCAACCAAGATTTTTTTTTAATTTAGGGAATCTTTTATTATTTGTATAAGAAAAATCGTAATCTTCTCAATGTATTTGAAGTCAAATTTTAAAAATAAATTTGGTATAATCTTTATATGAAACCCACAATAAGTTATGAATTAAATTTGCGCACATGGAAAAAAGAAGAGACAATGAAGAGCTTATAGCTTATAGGACTTTGTTCTACGTTGTGTTAGGTTTATATATACCTATATGACGAGCTCATTTTTGAACATTCGTCTCTAGTGGTAATTTTAATTTTAAGACTTTGATAATTTTGAGATTTGTCTCCTCTTTCGTGGTGATTAGCTTTGGTTACCCCCTAAATTTCACACACTTTGCTCCAATTTGTACAGCTCTACACACTTATATTGTAACGTAAATAGGATTTGGGTAGATTTGAACTGAAAACTGTAGGAATGATGAACTCTGAACGACCATGTTCTTTATAGAACGCTGCGACATCTTATTGGTCTAAGACGAGATTTGAAATGACAGGTCTTGTTGGTTGAAACGCGCGTGCGCTTATTGAATGTCATTTCTCAAAAATTTTTGTAGTTAATCATAATGTGCTTAATTTCTCCGTTAATTTGTAATGTATGATGTGAGTTCTTATTATTTAATCCATGTAAGGATTCTTATTCAAGGAAGTTTTTTTCTTTAATGTCCATATAATTGGTAAGTAAGTAATTTTTTTTTCTTTTGAACTGCAGTTAAGTAACTAATAAGAAATTATTAAAATAATGAGAGCTCTTCATTAAAAAAGAAACAAATAAAAGGTGACTTTATCCAAATACCCCCGACAAAACAAACGCAACTGTTCCGAATCGCCCATCGTCAAATTCTGAGGGTGTGAGAAACTCAAGCTGAAATAAACATTCACTTTAGTCGACAATGGCTTTCTGCCACTCTCACACCCCGTTTTAATGACGCCTCGCTCGTTCAAATTTGTTTATCTAGTTGATTTTGACATCGTGATGTGATTTATATGGTTGAGCGCGGAATTCGGACGTTTCTCGAATGAAATAATAATTAGGAATTTTGCCCTCACCGTCTCTTTTCATGTTAACTTGTAGACACTTTTTGAATCGGCAAGCCTGGCACTGATTTCGTCTCGTAACGTCCACTATGCATCGGCCGTTTTCTTTGCAGACGTATTCCAAGTTCCTAGAAAAGCAACTCAATTTATATGGACAATCAAATAAATTTTTCCATTCGTCCATTCATTTTAGTTCAACTACTGAGTTTAATTCTACAGTGAAATCCTTGACATCATCATTTTTATAATAATTAATTGCAAAATGTTATTACGGCTATACTTTTCATTTTGCGCAAAGATGGTACCTGTCTATGAATGAATGAATACTGGGAGTAGTGGAAAGTAAGTCGAGTTTCATACTTTCCTCAAGAAAAATTTAATTCTAAGCAGAAAAACCTAATTCACATTAAGGAACAAAGGCTGGTTAATAAAAAGTATAGAATTAAATACTTTATTCCGCAAATTAAATTGTAATTGAGTTAATAATGAATAAAATATACCAGCAATTATTATATAGATACTCCTGTTAAGAACAGAAATATTAAATATCTTATTATAAGCTATTAAGTAACTAGTATACTTGCACCCCATCCCCTCCTTTGAAACAACTTTGTCCGATTTATATGATTTTATTTAATTGATACCAATTGATTTATCAATTAAACACATAAATTCACCGAATTAGACAATTACTTGCACCATAAGAATAAAACATTTTAATTAACAGAAACAGTTCTTACTGTGTATATATATTTCTTGATTTTTGATGTTGTAGCTCCAAATATATGTGGTGCTAGGGTGGTATTTTGAAATATAACTTAATCGTTTCAACTGAAATCCCCTTGTATATTTTATCTTTATCATTTTTATGGTATATGTGCCTTAGACATGCTGCACTTTTAGGCATATAGCTAGACATTTACTATGGATGGCTCTGTTTTTAGTATTAAATGCCAATTGCATATAATTATATACCTAAAACGGGTATATTTCCCCGACATATACAACATCTATAATGTCCAGGAAGTCATAAATGGACCCCATGACGGAAAAAACATAACATCTATATTGTCCAGTAAGTCACTGAATGGGATTGGATTAAAATTTTCAGGAAAACATTACATTTTTATACAAAAGAAAAATACACAGATGAAAATAAAATTAAGTTATACCGCGGATCTGCCATTACCCATCACATATAAGTTTAGTTTGTTTTTTAAATTTTGCATTTTTTTTTCAACTTTGAAAATTGTCAAAAAGGTTTTATATTTATTTTATTATCTATTTTAGCAAAACGTGACTTTCAATATGTCCCTAGAAACTTTGGTAACATTGTGAGTAAGTATAAAAACTTTTTTACCTTCTAATACTCCTTTTGAAAAATCCCCTACAACCGTCGCAGCTGGCAACTCCGTAATGTTTTCCTGACGCCTTATCTCCACAAACGCGGCATAAACTTTCAGTTTTGTTTCCGGCCTCATCCATCTGCGAAAAAATATTCCTAAATCCCTCCCCTACAGAAATTTGCAACTGGGTACTATATGAGCAAAATACAAAGCCATTTTATTTCTTGCTTATTTCTAAACGTGATGTTATTGTTGGCATTACAAACAATAAAACAAAATTGATTTATCCAGGAAAATTAGGCATTATGCAAAACCTGGCAGGTAATTTATTGAGGACACGAAACACTGATTTTTTGTTTCTTCAAAATATAAAACATAATATTAAAAATAAAGATATAGCAATAAAAAATATCTTTTTCAAAGGAAATACCGAAATATTATCGTTTTTTAGGGGTGGGCATCGTTATAGTGACAAAAGGCAAACAATTATTACAATAAGGGCTAAGCTGACTTTAACACCTGTAACTTTCCCCGCGAAACCCCAACCCTTACCGATATTGTATACCTGCGGTAGCCAAATCTAGCAATTAGTTGATAATGTGAGTACAAATTACGCAATATGTTACTCTCGACCATGTGGTCAGATATCACGAACCCTCTAGCCCCTGAAAATATCTCTCGAACTATCTGCGGCGACACCCCTCGGCAGATCCGTAATAAAAATTATCTAAAATTCTAAAATTCTAAATCTAAATTTGGTGATACTCTACATCTCGTACTTCGTGAAACCGCTCACCATACATAGATATCAGGTATTTAGGAAACAAATTGAAATCGCTAGATGCTAGGTCCGAACTACATAAGTTTCACTATTGGATGTTTTCTGCACTTATCATTTCAATTATCAATTTATATGAAATCCTAGACAACAATAGATTTTTGCCAAGTTTTTCGATTTTGCAAAAAAAAAACTTCCGAAGGAGAAACAACGTAATGTGTAATATATAGAAAAAATACTTAATACGTTCCTGACAAAAAATTCTGCCTAGAAAATTCAACCGTGCAAAGGATAGGGGTAGAAGAAGTATACGGTTTGACAACCCGTAACATATGAACATGTAGGTAGATAGTGATTTAATTGTCATTTCCGGGTTAGATTATTAATGGAGTGCGAATATTTTGACATTTCAACGATAAATGGTTTAAATAGCAGTTTTTATGCTTGCTGGGGTGACAACTAAAATTTTTTATTTCAGCGTAAGGGAATTTTTGAATTTCTTTTCCTTTCACTGCCAGAATCGGTTATTTCCCAGAAGACGAGTGGTGTATAATAATTTTTATATGTATTTAAAAAATTCGCGGCAAATTGAAATTTGAAGTATTCTGCTTCTAGAGTCATACGCGGATGAAGTTAATGAAAAGGATTATGGATATTATATTATATCCGACTTATGTTAAAATCATTTTTTCTACCGCTGCATGGAGAATTTTTTTTTAAATTAAACCGATAAATTTAAAAGAGAGTCTTTTAAATTTAATTTTCTCTTAAAAGGAACGTCTTCATAGTGGCTTAGCTAAGACGCCAGCTATCAGAAACCAGCGATATTTTCTATGCTACTATGCAACTTCAATAAAAATTAAAAACAACTATATAATTAGTTGTTATTTCTGTATTCTTGAAAATATTCAATGACTAATCCTTTCGGGCACACAAATATTTTTAATGGATTTAATTAATATTATAAACTGTTAACTAATAGATATTTTAAGAAGTACATCACTAATAATAAATAATCTTACAACTGTTATTGTTTATTTCATTAATAAGTTGCTGGAAACATGCGAATACACAATTCAATTCAAAGCCTTTATTACTGGATTTTAGTGGTTTGTGCAAGATACTGTCGCCATGTAACTCCATCTAGGTACCTAACTAGAGTTGTGGAATTAAGTCAATTTACCGGCCAATTGACCAAAAATAATTTTAAAAACGCAATGAAATTTATATTTATTTATTTATATTGTACGTTATATCGCTATCGCGTCGTTCTGAGAACTGAATGGAGTGGTTATTTTTATTGTGTATTATTATTAGTATTCCTTGAAGATGATTATAGGTAAATTGGACATCACAAACGCATAATAATTAATTATAAAATACATATTATTATTACGTAAAGATAGATAACACTCTACAAATGTGATTTAAAACATTTTGATTGAATTTGAATAGTCAATTAAGAAGTAATCAATTGTCAAGTGGTCAATTGACGGTCAAGATAAATAAAATCAATTTACAAGTTGCAGCATTTAATACCCATTCCTGTTCTAACAGATCATGTAGCTACCCAAACACTATAACGTTTAAATATAAAAAAAATATTGACACCTATACGGACAGCATTGGCTTCGAGAACGATACGAAATTCCCATTCAAATCAACTTTCACATCGCATGTCGTTTGCGGTTTTAGGAAACAAAACGCTCCAGCAACAAACGTTTAAAAACGGCGTATATCGACCAACGACAAAAAAATGGTATATTATTAAAAAGTTCCCCGGAACATTTTAAAACCAAATCATGCGGAAAATGTGTGCATACAAAGTTTCCGATAAGCCACAAAAGGCGGTCACGTGTGTAAACCACAGTAAAGACGGGTCACATATGGCCCGCAAAGCTCCCTCTATACGGCGAAAACGGTACCCGATAAAAATTAAGAATTATTTAGTCACGGCATACGAGCAATTTGATTATACGTTTGGCTCGTGTCAAAACTATTATTTCGGTCTACGTAGTCAATGTACAGCTTTTATCCGGCAGCGGTGACTATTAAATATTTGGGAATTAAAATTTTCTCACGCTTAAGAACTTTTTTGGTATAAATTGTAAAACACGAATTAAAACTTATCAAACCACTAAATCGCTAATTAAAAAAATATATTTAGTTGCTGATTTTTCAGTAGCTTGTCACTGAACTATAACAAATGGCAGGTACGTCTCAAGGAAAGAAGAAATTAAAAGAACGCAAAGTATACAACTTTACAGGATTTTATTTAAATGTATTAATCAATGAAATTTCGATGAAAACTAAGTTCTTCTATTTAACAGAGGACAGTAAATTTTATTATTCTCCAAAAGATCCAGAAACATGGAATAGACTCACTCAAAAAGCAATTCGTCTAAGCTCTACGAAATGGCTGCATCATGGTCTGACAATCCCCACCACTTTGGAAAACTCTTCAGTATGGATTGGAGAGCTTGAGATTGATAATGTACAAGGGTTTCCAAGCTGTAGCGCCACAATCCAGTTCAGTTCGAATGAAAGCGTTTAATATGAGTTTAGTAATGACCGTGACATATCCAGAATGCATATAGGAAAGCTCACCCTGCAGAAGGCACCTCATACCAAACATCAACCCAAATCAAATCCTTTAGGGTCAACACACTGTGTACGGCCTACTATATTGTGATGGAAATCAACCTTTAGAAAGCTGGATATGTATCTGGTGGTTTATCAATCAATCAACAAAGTCAATCTGTCTTCCATGAATCTTCTGATGCCTTGAAGTCGAAGCTAAACGTTTGGGCTTGCATAACGATCTTGCGACAATGAATTCGAATGTTATTTAACGGCTATGTAGAATTTATCAGGATCTTATTTGCTTGCGTTTATAAGCTCATAATTTTGTTGTACTTGTTAAACAAATGCAAAATTGTTAAATGGATCCAAGTGAACTATAATTGTAATTTTTACTTTGAGTTTTCAGACCTGGCATGCTATATGTATTTTTAATCCCATTTCATTCGGATCGTAAATCTCAATCTCAAACTTTTACTCGTGTGACTAGCATTACGACCTGTTTATTTATCAGCACCTAGTCTCAAGAAATGATATTGAGCCGCGTGAAAGAGTGGCGATGGAGATCAGTAATATATAATAATATATAGAGCAGCTTTTCAGGTCTTTGTCCTGCGGTATTATTCTGCATTTGTTTGCTACTTTGGTTATACAATTTTTAACGACATAACTACTTAGTTTTCAGACACAAGATTTCATGCTTTCCTTTTGTCAGCTTAAAACACCGGCAGCAATTTGGCAATTGTGAAGTGGATAAGCTACAAAGAACCTTGTGCAGTGTCGATCCCTCCTTATGAGTTGTATTTTTTGCAACCCCAGGTTCGAATTATAAATGCAAATTCGCGCCACGATGGTCGCTTTATGAATAGAATCAATCAATTGGAGGAACCTAGTGCGGTTGACAAGTTTAAAAAATAATAATCGAACGATGACTGTCATAAAAAATAGATCAATTCGACATTTTTGCGCACGTTGCGCCGTGACGGGACATTTGCATACACGGTGTGAGCATTTTCTCGGGGTTGCATTTAACAGAATTTTGACGATATAAACGAATAATTTTGTCTTATAACAGCATAAAATAAACATAAAAAACAATTTTTGAAAAAAAAATATATGCAAACAAAATCAAATAATAAAGATTTTAATTTTATTTAAATTTGTATTACTAATAAAACATTTACGCCAAATAGTTATTATAATTTTTTTATAAGGATATGTAGAAAAGTATATAATTTGAATATGGTTCTTTGCGTGTGCTGGAGTTTATTTAAATTTGAATCGGATTGAATCGGATTCTTGTTACTGTCGAAAAATCGAATTTTTTGAAAGTATCTACGCTCGTATAAAAATTTTATATCTCGGTAATGGTAGGTCCTATGGGATACGTTCTCGTCTTTTGGTTTTTCCTGAATAACTTTTGACACGTTGGAGCTACAAAATTGAAATTTACCTTCTTTTTTGTAATGCTTCACGAGATACATTAGCTTGTAAGAAATGACCTCGATCCGACTCCGGCATCCAACATTTTCTCAATTTTCTGTTCTTTGAACATTTCTATGAAACAAGACAAGTGTCCGAAATTTGAGGCAATCGAATTCACGTTTGGCGCATATATGCAGCTTTGCCCTGTGATAGAACCTATTAAAAATATGGAGGGATGGGGCGTCGGGAAAAAAATTAAAAATCGCGTGTGCAAGGGCCTACAAAAAAGACCATTTTTCAAAAACCGTTTACAATACCGAAAAATTTCTTGAAACGGAACATGCAGAGGATATGGCTCCATAAACTTTATTGTTGACAATTTTTCAAAAATATACAGGGTGCGCTGCAAATTCAAAAAAACTGAAAAATGGGTCCCCCTATTACTGAAAATCCGTGATTTAGATGCCAGTTTCTTTTACATGCGATATAACCCGTATAGACAGTTAAAACTTTTGTATTTAAGGTTTTTAAGAGTTGTACAGGGTGTTCGCGATATTCCGTGCAATATTAAAAAACGTAATAAGTGCCCTAAATTTGCAGCTACCGACTTCAGACTTGAAAGAGAAGTAGAAGTCCGGACCCGCATTTAGATAGACTCTTTAAATTAGGAGCAATAAAATAACGCGAAGTATTTTTGAATTTTTTTTTTGGTTATTTTGACTTCCAGAAAAACATCTTTTCCTCCAAAACCATTCATCCGATCCGAAAAATTTTGCAACCGTAGGACGTGGGAGATCCGGCGCTATAACTTTTGTTTCACGCATTTTTTCGAATATATACAACGTGTTTTATTTATGGACAAAAATCTAAAAGACCCTGAAAATTGTTCTTTTAGGGAGTAAATTATTAGCCGTAAATGAAATTTCGTACAAAAAATAGTTAATGCGTTGAAACAGTGTTATAGGACTACAATTTTTGTATTCACGATTTTGGACTGTCACGTGCGCTGTGTGAGATATTTGAAAAAAACCTTTTGAAAATCGCAATATCTCGCACTCAATCTAGAGGCGATGACGTCATTTAATATTACGGTGTACTGTATTTTTGCAGAAAAGAGGTATTTTCTCGAAAACTATTTATCCTATTGAAATAATTCATATACCGAGGAATGTGGGAGATCTAGATCTAGATGCGACATTTTTTCGATTATGTACAGGGTGTGTCGATTATTTGTAAAAAAACAAAGAGATCCCGAAAATTGCCGTATTCGTGGGTAAATTATTAGTCATAAATGAAAAATTATGGGATGAAAAACATGGGATAATTTGGTTTAAACAATGTCGAGAGAGAGTTTCGAGTTTCATCTGTCATACAGAGCGCGCCAGATATTTGAAAAAAAAAATGGGAATCGCTATTACATGTAAAAATTTTTGAATTTACCAAAGTTTGTTGTAACTTTGAAGTTGCTGTATACAGGAGGTATTACATCGATTTTGCGGAAAGTTCCATAGTGGTCCGCAGGAGCACGATAGAAAAACAATGCGGCTTCTTTTGGAAATAAAAAGCTGCTTCGCGACAAACTTGCCCCGCCCAGCGACGATTTTTCGAAAACAATCTTGTTTATTTCGTCCATTTGGAGCTTAGTATATTTCATTCCTTTGCTAATAAACACTTAAAATCCATTTAAATTTATTATGAAAAACATAGGAGATAATTTTATAAATGTTCAATGAAAAAACTTGATTTTATTGGAAAATTTATAGTGTTTAATTAAAAAAAAAATAGTGAAACTCTCTTAGTTGCGTTATCTATAGTAAGAGTTTAATAACTGAGTAATTAAATTCGGATGAATGGATTAAAGTTTCATTTTTTTTAGTAAGAAAGTAGTGATTTAATACCTACTCAATAAAATATCTGGTGCCACTTGTTTTTATTAATTGACAAATAGGTAATATTTTTCAAACAAACAAACTCGATAAAATAACAAACTTTCGTTAATACTTAAAATCGAAATCCCTTCAAACAGCAAACAAAAATGTAAAACCCAACAAACGTAATGTCTAATCAACGGTGGAATTGGAGTTGCCGTCACCTGACCACTAAGCACTAAGGTAAACGATCCTGCAAGTTGGCAATAAAATTAATAATAACAATTATTTATAGTACAAATGTCGCCAATTTAAAAAAGTATCGCAAGTTTATTAAGCGACGAGCAGAATTGTTTGATGAGATTAAGAATTCTTAGCGACACAAATTTACGTATTAGTCGGAAAATAAATAGCTTTTTTAAATATACCTCAATTTTATTTTTACTATTAATTTGGATTCTGCTTTTCCAAATTTGACCATTACTATACAAAATTTTAGTTACAGTTTCTGCTTCTGTAGCCAGTAGTGAACGCTCATTTTCGAAGTTAAATTTATTCCAAACTTATTTGAGATCAACGAGGATATAATAAAGATTTGTTGGTTTCTCTATAATTTCAGTTGAAAGCGAAATTTGCGACAAAAATGGTACAAGCCAAATTTTGGAGGAATTTGTGTCAATAAAAACAAGAAACATTGCATTTTAATACATTTTATTAGGAATAAAAATTTAGTCCAACAATTCTAAAAATTATTGAAGCAAGTAAGAGATAAATAAATATTTGTTTCATTTTGTTGGTTATAAATAAATCGATGAATAATATAAAATCTATGTTTTTCCAATGCTTATTTGAGTGGAGTCGGAGTCGGAGTCGATCCTAGAGCCGGCCTTACCATTTCTTAAAAAAGGTTTTTTATTTCATGAAATTTTAGGTCGCCAAGGATAATGCTGTAATTTAGATTTAGTTTTCTTTTGGTTACAAAATTATTATAGTATATTACACTCACATCATTAGGTCTACAAATGGAAGTTACATAAAGTGCACAATAAAAAGCACCTTTCAAGAAATAAGAATGAGATAGAGTTTTATGTTAATAATGTTTGTTGAGCAAAATTAATCTTTTAATTTTTTAAATGATATTAGAAATAAAAAAAAAGTCGATAAGTACGTAATGTAAGCTCAATAGACAAATAGACACTAAAATAATATTTTGCTCAAAGAGTTGATGTTCCTCACCTTCAATCCGATTATAATCACAAAATCACATCCGCAACAATCAATTACGCGTACACGACCACCCTTAGCACAGACGAAATCAGAATTGAAACCGCCTTCGGGGCTCGCTCGCGCTTTGTCCGACACCCTGTATACAATCTCCGCCCAGGGAACTAGAGGGTTAAAAGGCCGCAGATCAGTGGTGCTCCGACCGAGGTCGGTCCGGTGCCATTGGTCGTAGATTAAGGGTTGAAACGCCACGATTGGTCGGTCTTTTTGTCGCGTTCACCCTTTGGAAACGCCGGGGCTTTTTTAATCATCAGGTATGTCCCGCGATACGGGACGATTATTTTACCGACATTTAGCATGAAATATTGAGTGGTACGGTTGTCGATCCGAACCCCGATGACATTTCTTGAATAATTCGTTAGCTTTGCGACGTTGTTACAGAATAAAATATGAATTTTTTAATTGGAGAACGCGGTAGGTGTGTACTTATGACGAAAATATTTTATAAGTGACATTCTTATCTACATTATTGTGAAAACGCCGAAGGGACACACCACCTAGATACATAGCCAATCTTAAGATTTCCTCGAAACTCAAAATTTTAACATACATATTTGTCTTGTCTTTCTATTGTTCGCGTATTAGTGAGACCCTAATTGAGGAACAATTTGAGATGTTGTAGACCCACTTTAATGAAGCCTGCCATTGCAAATTTACATTTTATTATTCTCTAGCTAGCACTAGGAAACGAAAGATAACGTTTCTTCTTATGGAACCCTCTTCATATTTGGATTTTATATAACAAATTAAACCAAATATTTGTTTTGAACTTTTTTATTTTGCTAAAAAATATGAAAGGTTGACAATGTTCTTTGACAAATAATGTGCGCAGTTTACTTTTTGATTGGGAATTGGAAGAGGAAAAAAGAAAAGAAATATTGCTGATATTACAGCTTAACCGTTGACGTTAATAGAATCTGCCAGATCTATACAAAGCATCCCAAGTAGGTGATGGGAGAAATGAAGCTTCACAATATCTCAAATTTCTTAAATGGAATACAGTTTTTTTTATGCCAGTTATGTTTTTCTTGCTATTAGAAAAGTATTACGTTTTCAACATAATAAAATACAACTTAATACTCTCAAATACATTTCTTTATTTACAAATTTGTTGTTACAGAAATAAATATAAGTAGAATTATCTATCTCAGAATTCTAATATTGTTGTTTAAAGTTTGTAATTACGGTAGACTGTAAAAGTCAGAAGGTTATCCTATATCCTGTATATATGAAAATAATTTTATGTTATGCATCTCATGCAATTTTCTATATTTTCTTCACTATTGACCGTTTCCAACGTATAAATAGCAGACCGACCATTGCCCTCTGTGGTTAACTTTGACCATTTTTACTTTATCACAAATTCTGCCTTAAAATTTCTAGTTAAAATCCTAAATTTTAAGGTAATAATTCTAAGAATGTGCATCTGTTTTTGTCTTCGTATAAAAAAATTCGTTAAATTTACCATTTTGTCACCAACCAACACTCCTGACAATTCCTGAACATTTAGATAGAACATAGATCAGAAGAAGCTTTCTGATTTTTGACATTTCAAATTTCGACATCGAATTTTTTTTTTGGAAATGTGTTTTGTTTCGAAATATTATTTAACCGGTTATTTAAAATGGTCTTGCGACTTTTAGTATACGGAATAAATTCGGGTTTCCATGTATACGTCAAGACAAATGCAGCGAGCGCATTGGTGACATACGTCCGTTTCCCTGGATCTGTGGTACCGTTTCATCGTTATTTTCGGTAGTTGGAATTACATTTAAAACGTAATCTAATTTAAATTTAAAAGCGATATAAATCATTTCATGTTTCTACATTCAATACTTACAATCAAGGAATATCAACTAAGATAAATCGACTAGGGGATGCAAACTAACTAATTAATGAACAAAAAATTGTTGCTTTGCAGTTTCTCATTCATAACACCCAAACAGTTAGATGTAATCAGCGGAACAAGGGTAAAGAACATAACTATTTAGAGCATTGGCTAACCAAATAGTGTTTTACAAAGATTTTATGGATTTCTAAAAAATTGTACGAATTTGACTGATTGACTGAAAAATAAATAATAAGCACCAAGCACCTTTTCAAAAAATGCTGATGTGAGTATGTAAAATAAATTAAATTACATTATGTCACTTTTCAGATTTAGAAAACGTATTTACTTGTTAAATAAATACAATAAAACTTTAATGAGTACATTGTATATGTTTCCTTATATACATCATACAAACATTATCGCATCACATACAGCAAAGATAACTATAATTTGAAAATTTCAGGTTATACTGGAATGGGTGTGTCCATCCGAGTGATATTTTTGGGATATCGTCTCTTGCAGTTAAACCGGAATTAAGTGCCAACTTGCTTATTTTAAATAGAATAATTTTTAATATATTAAACAATTTGATTACGTAATTTTATTTATATAAAAAGGAATGTTTAAGACCAATAAAGTTCGTTTAATTTAATAATAATATTTGTTGAAATTGCTTACAGTAAAACTAAATGTTGCACCTTAGACGCCAATCTACAAATAACTTTAAAATATGAATTTAATAATTACCTATTGGCATTTTTTTATTTTAATTTGTTTAATTTTAAAAAATGGAAGTACTCACAACTTCGAAGTTATAATTTTACAAATATTTCACGGATTTCATACATCTTACAGAGCTGGCACAACAGATTTCCCAAGTGATTTACTCCAATGTATAAACTAAAAGCTTAGATATTTCAAAGCGAAGAGCCTGATTGACTGCACCAAATTATGGAAAACCCGCTCTATCGCCACAACTAACCAAACAATTCATAAATGTTTATTCATGTTTATTTTTTTATTATTGTGCCTCTTTCAAATATGTCTGAAAAATATAACTTCATCTATTGAATATGAACTGATTAAAAAATATGTTTTACCGAAATCGGGGTCACATTGTAAACATGTATGTACATGAGTGATAACGACAGCGCAAACTTCAGAGTGTTCATTTACGCCTGCGGCAGATTATTAGTCGCGACTGCTCTGGAACGACACAAAAGATCGCACTTGCCTGGCATTTGACGGCTTCGATGGAGTGCTTTCGCAGACCCAACTCTCGTTCAATAACATCTACTGGCTATAACATTGTAAATATTGGGGAATCGCCGGTATTTGATCAGTCGACTCTTATACTTGACGGATAACTGCATATTTTTATACAATTTTTTATACAAGGTGCATTACATAAAATATTTTAATCAATTGCGACTTTTCTAATTTATGTGAGTGGCTCTAATTCACTCTTTGGTAGAGTTAGCAAATAACCTATCCGACCTATCCCAGAAGATCTATTATAGCTCTATCCATGGCTATAGAGCCTTAACTAGGTTCGTCTCCCTGATTACACTCCACAGCTTCGATAGTGACTCCCTGGTCTAGCTCACTACCTCTGGATTTGTTACATACTTCTGAGGAATTTCTTGGCCTGCCTTTATCTTGGCATGTAAAAAAAAATAATTTTCTTTTCACAGATGAAATTTACAATACACATTTTAATCATTAAAGCGCATTTTTGACGGAAAAGGTGTGTTTTTTTAATTTTAACGGCGACGTCCGTTTTATTTCTAAAAAAAGAAATGGCACCCTTTGGCTTCGAAAAATCAAAATAATTATTGGTATTCACTTCTGGAACAAATTTCGTTTAGACCTCATTCTCCGACGCACGTCTTTCGCGCGCAAAAGTAAAAGCCAAAAAAAATTTTTCTTCATTTCATTGACACTGTAGACTGTAGATATTTTGTTAAAAATTGATAAACGTTTTTTTTTTAACCAGTGACGTTCACGTTAGTAAACATATAGATGGAAAAAATATGATTAAACAGTAATTTTTCTGTTAAAGTTTAAACTGTTCTAAAACCACATCTTAATTGTTTTCCAATTTGTCTTACAAATTTGAATTATTTCAACCTACTATCCAGTCAATTTTAGTCTTCTTTCGGGGTTTTGTTGCACTATGGTGTCTATGAAATTATTTTAAGTTTCTTTCACTATTTCTGCTTCTAGCAAGAGCTTCTTACAAATTACAAGTTTAATCGTATTGAACCATGTGCGTTCTCGTCTAGCCTCTCAGTACCCACTGCAAAACCTTGGATGTCTCATCAACAGTTGTTCACGTAATATTACGCTTTTAGCAATAAGAAATCAAATGCGGCCCTATTCTGTCGAATATGATTGTCGTTTTGTTTTGTTGGGCTATTAGGTATTACAGAAAAGTCAATGATAGAAGTACGGAAGAAATGTGAAAGATTCTCGCCAATTTGGGGTTTACTGTAGGATTTAGACGTATCCCGAGAAAACCAGCAGACAAAGACATCGTCGGGTAGCGACATGAAAATGCCTCCGTTCGCAGTAGTGGATCCTTTTGCGGTATTTGGGAGACAAAAGCCGAGCATCTGGTCAAATTCCCAGGTTGGCACTTTGACGCCATTACAGTAAACGGAGAAACCTTTTATCGGAAACCAATTAGGGAACGCGGTTTCACACTTTAAGGCCTGTAAGATTCAGATACTACACGGTGAAAGGAATTCGCATCAATTTTTATACAACGGCGAAATAGAGGACGCCTTATACAATATGTATAGGGTGGGCCGTTTATCTTGGGGCACCACCTTGTCTCAGAAACTATATGGGATGGGACCAAAAGTTAAATACAAAAGTTAATTGAGGTATTAAAAAACTTTAATTTATTTTAATTTTGTATATGTGTGTCTTTCGTGCGCGAATATCAACTTTCCTATTTTAAATGAACCATTTTGTGTACAATGTCCTATACCTAAGTCTAATCGTTTTTGAAGTTTTTAATTTTTTATTTCTTCATTCGGAAACATTTATTGTTTCACTTGGGTAAGTTTTGTTGTAAACAAGGGGCTAGAATGACGGATTCCATAAGAAATTCTCTGTACATATTAATACAGGGTATGCGAAATACTTTGTTTTTAATTGAAACTATCGTATTCAGCATTAAAAATGAAGGCAATTTTATGTAATATAATTTCATATAATATTTTTACTTTTTGAAATATTTCCCTTTAATTTGTCTATCACAAATAATATGCTGTTGCCATATAACTTCAGTTAGTTCATCATTCCCTTTTATTAAAAGCTCTAAGTAGCGTTGGGAATTAAAATTCTTATCAAAAAAATACTGGACCTATTATTCTGAACTTCCAAATGGCGCACCATACTTTGAAAGAAGTTCTACCTGATCTTGTAACTTCCTTATGTTTTTTATTATTCTTGTTGCTCCAATAATGGATATTTTCCCGATTAAAAAATTTAGTTGAGGTTGTAAATATGGACTCATCTGTCCAAATAATATTAGCAAATATATTTTCTGAAAAGTGTCTTGCTCTAATTTCGACACTGGACAGAATTTATAGGACTTGCATTTCATTATTTGAAGGCACGTTCGAAGCCTAACTTCTTTTGACATATAGATCTAGCATTTCGGGTTGACTCTTCAGGGGTCTCTGCAAAAAGCAACAAAATATTAAGATTGCTCTGCATCTTTCAAAATGTTACGACGCCTATTTTTTTCTTTCTTCAAGATTCCATATATTCTAAAGTGTTGGTAAATCCTGTCGAAGATCTTTTTTTCTGGCGCCTCCTTAATCGAAATTTTGTTATATACTCCCTAAGAGGTAGGGTCCGGTGTTTATTGTTGTAATTTTGTCACATATCAATCTTTTCCTCTGTGGCGTATAAATTAAATTTATAAACGATAAATAAATAAATCATCTCTGTGTCAATTATGATAGCACTCAACAACAAAACACGCGTCTAAGGAGACAGCGTTCTAGAACTTGTTTTGTTTAAACGCCGATATACCCACCTTACCCTACTTTCTGATAGACAAATGTTTAAAAGGAAATATTTGTAAAGTAAAAATGTTAAGCATATTCAACCTTATATAAAATTGCCTTAATTTTTAATGACAAGATTATAAAAATAGGTAGTTTCCATTAAAAAAAAATTGCAGTTTTGTTAATTTCATTTTTAATCATATATTCCACGTTCCCTGTATTAATATGTATTAAAATTTCTTATGAAATCCGTTATTCGAGTCCTTTTCTACAACGAAACTTACTCAAGAGAAACCATAAATGCTTCCGAATGAAGAAATTGGCAGATATTTTAAGTCGTGCAAACGTCACTTTTCGCCTAAAAAATTAAAAATGCCAAAGATGGTTAGACTTAGGGATAGGATACACAAAATATGTCTTAAATTTTCTATACAATTCAAAATTAAAGTAATATACCTGATGTTCTATTTAAAATAGGAAAGTTGATACTCGCCCACGAAAAATGAAACACCCTGTATATACAACATTAAAATAAATTGAAGGTTTGTAATACCCTAATCAACTTTTGTATTTAACTTTTGCCTCCATCCCTTATAGTTTCCGAAATATGGTTGTGTTCCAAGATAAACGGCCCACCCTATAGAAGGTTTAAGATAATAAAAACGTCTTAACAAGATAATTTAGTATTTAGTGGCTATAGACTTCTTTACTTAAAATGAACCATATTCTTAACTTAGGATGTTCTCTTTATCAGCTTAAAAAATATATCGTTTTAGATTATATAGACCGTCAGTTTGCTTTACAGTGAGAGATGACGTGGGAATTCGGACACTTTATAACTGCATTGGTCACTTTCTCTCAGACTTTATCGAAACTTTTGATTGGCTCAAATTCTGGATACAAGTTTTTGCTTTTTAAACACCTACTACCATCATTATTTGAATAAGCCTTCTTAACTTAGGTACAATGCAGGGGATGTTGTTTTTATTACATTAAAAAATATATTGTTTTAGATTATATAGACTGTCAGTTTGCTTTACAGTGAGAGATGACGTGGGAATTCAGACACTTTATAAGTGCATTGGTCACTTTTTCTCAGTCTTTATCTAAGCTTTTGATTGGCTCAAATTCTGGATACAAGTTTTTGCTTTTTAAACACCTACTAATATCATTATTTCAATAAGCCTCCTTAAATCGGAAATTTTTGAGCCCACTTTTAAAGCATGTGAATTAGGTGACATGGGTTTTGCAATTGAGTTATATAATAGTGAAACTTAACAAACTATATTATATTCGGTGACCATTAGGCGACCTGGATTATATCCACTAAAAAAATAATTGCTATTAAAATTCTTATTAGCAATCAAATTCCCCGTAAATTTGTATGATAGGGTGCAGGTGCAAATATTTTTTATTATTAATTAAATAATTATTAATATTTAAGTAAATCATTAATCAGAATTAGGAGCCTTTCATATACTTATTTATTTGCATTTAAAAATGTTAATGCATGCCGAATGAAATTTTGCTGTCAAGTTGGCCATGGATTCTAGTATCGACGGTTCATCGTAAGTTATGTCATTTTCATAATTAAAAAACGTTGCAAAATAAAACTGTGTTAATAGAATCATTATAACAATAAGCATTGACAAATCCTCACAAGAAGATAAACAGAACAAGTAGGCTTTGGACTGTCAAGTCAGATTGACGCTAAAAATATTTCATTTGACACATATCTAGATCAATATTATCTGTAGTTAAAAGAAAAGAAATCATGTCGTTGCATGATGGAATAGATGTAGCGGAACTGTTGCCAGCCTATTATTGTAATAACTTCCGCTCCAGCCAAGGCGTACCTTGGAGAGGTACAATGTTGTTTTTTTGTAAATTTCAGGCAAAATAGAAATACGGCTAATTATTATTTTCAGGTATTTGCACTCATTTTGTTGCCGTAGCATGTGCGGTGGTGATGTGTCTTGGGGGGTTTTATTGTAAGCATTAATTATTTATTCCAAGTGCATCAATTTTAAAGCCGATTTTAGATTACCAAAATTTTTACGAGCCATACGACAGGCATATCCGCGATGAAGAAATGACCACAAGCCGTTCTACAGGTTTTGCCAACCTAGCAAGTTTTCAAAGTGTTAAGGAATCGAATAGTTTACTTCTCGATAATTTAAAAAGTGACGTTAATTTACTAAGAGAGCAAATAGATAGTATTGATATGTGGAGGTAAGTAGATAAATTCGCAGCTATCTATAAACATATATGCTTAGACTGGGTTCTAACGATTGCGTGTTGTGAGAAAGAAAGGAAAAAACAAAAAGAACATATGAAAAAAGTTATGGCACTGAGATAAATCATCTGGCTCTTAGACAATATAGTCGTCCTACTACCGTAAAAATTAATACACCTTAGGTGGTAGGATAAATAATTAAATATTAAAATTAAAATAAATATTACACGAACTTTTTTTTTAAATTGGCAATTCTTCGTTATAAGGTCATATGTATTTACGTAATTATTTATGTCACTTGACGAAACTTATGTATCTGTGTCAATATTTTTCTTAAAAAGCTACTAGCTTGCACCGCCAGTTAGTATGATTGAAATTATGTAGCTTCTATAGAAGTAAAAATAAAAGATTGTATATGCTCATTACAACATGCATCATTTATGAGTTACTTTGTATTATCCTTTTTTAATATAAACCTAAATATTCATGTATCCTTAAGCAGATCGTAAATTTCTTGAAACATTTGTGATGTAAAATAATTAATTTCATATTGCATTGAAATGTGTGAACTTTTTACTGGAAAAAGGATCTTTCACCTTTAATTTTTCAAGAAAACTTCCACAGGCTGCTGTAATACTTTTGACAAAACTTCTGGATTCCTCCTGTGTCGGTTTTTGCTGAGTTGAATTTGCTGATGTTTCGCCAATTATCCTGTTGGCTTCTTCAGAGCTTGACTGAAACTGAAACTGTCAGTCTGAGTCGAGCTGATGATTGGCGAAACATCAGCAAGTTCGACTCAGCAAAAACCGACGCAGGAGGAATACAGAAGTTATGTAAAAAGTATCTTCCACCTTTATTTGTTAAAATCTTTTTAAAAAGATTTGGTATACTAAGCATACCAGTCCATATTTTTAATAGGTATACTTTTCTGTATAGTTTATGTTGGTTCTAGAATCAAATTCGAAAAATTGATGGATTCAAAAAATACAGGAGAAATAAATGTAGAAGCAATGATCGAGCATGCTTTAACCATATTTAGTTCCGACGAAATTGGTTTACCCGGTGAGACCGCGATTTAAAATACTATTTTCTTTCTCGAACTTTACCGTCTGTCAAATTTTGTACGAAATTTATGTTGCCCCATCAGATCACGCGGCTTACTATGCCGGAGGATCCATCGCCCAGATATCCAAAAACACGCACCCTTATCCAACGCACAAGCCGCTCTCGCTCTTTAATCTCGTCCAATTGGACGTATTGAGCAGTCCCGAAGAGATATTAAGACCTTGCACGTTGCCCGGCAGTTGTTTTGCTTTTCGGGGATCCACAGGCAGCATCAGAGTACGACTGGCGGCGGAGATAGAGGTTTGGGGAGTTACTGTAGGGCACGCGTCGCGGATCCTGGTAGGATCGGATGGAATGGCTAGTGCCCCAAAAGATTTTGAAGTATATGTAAGCAAAATTCGTATCGTTAAAGTAAATCCAGAAATATTGTGACTAGCTTAAGGTCCACAAAATATCAATTATTATAAACTTACTATGCTACACTATATGAAGGTTCAAAAACAGATGGAAACAAAGTCAAACTTATAAAAGCTCTATTATGTTCAACAGCTGTTATTACAACCAGAATAGTTTCTTAATTCGTCAAAAAATATAAGTACGTACGTACGTAATTCCTTGCTTGAATACATTGCTCGCATGCGCATTACCTGCCTCAATGTCAGAAATCTGGTAAATATTATAAAGCTCTAATAATCTACACTAATGCACTCCCAAAACCAATTATTGAGGTAAAAATGATTTAACTAAGCATCCATGCGGAAAATCTTGCTGCATAAATTAAGCTAATAATTTATATATAGGGATTTAGAGACGATTTCGATGCTCACGGGACATTCATGGGAAGCTTCACGTACGACTACACGTCGAAACAACATCAGACATTTCCTATGGTAAAAAACCATACTCGCGATAAACTCTTCGGGTTGGTCGAATTAAGAGTTATGAGTAATTACGGAAATGAAGAATTTACTTGCATTTATAGATTTAGAGTGCATGGGAGAAGGGAATTGGGAAAAACTGGATCAGCAAGAAAGTGTTGTAACTAGGTTGTTGGGGCGAATTTTTTATTGTAATAAGAATTAATAATTTTGTGACTCGAATATACTTACTTTATAGAAATTAAACTGTTCAAAAAATCATGATGGTATTATTAGTTATTGGATATGACGTAGCATATCTCCAAATGAAATTCGATAAGTAGATATTATGCATTCAACATCAAATTCTAAATGCACTTTTTTTCTTGGCAATGATTCGATAGAAGAATTGTTTAAATTAATGAAGATTAAATGTTGCTAAAATGAAACTATAATTTGGCAATAAACCTTCGGGTGGTCATCTTTATTTGTTGTCATTAAAATTTCAAAGTTGTGTTCATGTTGAAGTAAATCTGTCACCAATAACATGGACAGTGAAAGTTCTTTAAAATAAAAGCATCTCTATGGCCCTAACCAATACTCTTGATAACGAATATCTGTTTTTTAGACATTTCGAATATCTCCTTCAGATTATATTCACGCTTAGTGAAATTCGTTTTTGGTGTCCGAGGTATCCAATATCGACTGGCACTCGACCTAGATCGAGAACTGGAACTACCATCAAAGCAAGGACAGAAATTTAGGAAAACGTTATTTAGCAAGTCGTAGCTGGGCGGGGCAAGTTCGATGCGTAGCGCGATGCGGCTTTGTAATTCAAAAAGCTGGCTCTTCACGGTTTCTTGTCCAGAGGAACGCAAAATCGATGTAATTGTATTGTGCATACCTCCTAAATACAGCTTCTTTTACATCTCGGCCGAACTTCAAAGTTACGACAAACTTCAAACTTTGGTGGATATTAAAATTTTTACTTGTTTTCTGAAATAGGCAGTATGTCGTAATAGTAAATGACGTCATCGCGTCTAGATTGAGGGCGAGAAATGCCGATTTTCATTTAGATTTTTTCAAATATCTCGAATAGAGTAAATACAAAAATTGCAATTCTCGATGTGGCCTATAACACTATTTGCGAATTTTCATTTACAGCTAAAAATTTTAGGATGAGAAAGGTTTTTTTAGATTTGTCTCCATATTTGAAAACCCCTGTATATAATCGAAAAAACGCTTGAGCTAAAGGTTATAGTCCGGGATCTGCCGAGTATCCTGGCTCAAGAATTTTTTCTGATCGGCTAAATAGTTTCTTTTCTAGAAGGTAAAAAAAAACAAAAGAAAATTTCAAACTCTATGTGTGTCAAAGGACACTTATCGTGCTTCATACAATGTCCAAAACACAGTCGAAAATCTAAAAAAAAAGATGAACGCCGTGGTTTGATCGGACTCAATTTTTTACTGGTTTATGTGGGACCTATCGTTGCCGAGATGTAAGTTTTGTTGGTTTTCGTTCATCACATATCAATACACTTTTAAAACCGGAACTGATTACTTGGAGCGGGAGTAGTAGAATTATGATAGAATTATAAATGATGGATTTACATAATGTCTTTATTTTAAAAAAGGGGATTGTTGCTGAAGTCAGTTAGTTAACAAAGGTATGGGCGCGGGAGATATCACTAAAAACTCAGTTTTTGCAATCACTTCTTGATCTTTGATATCCGTTTTTATGTCAAACTCTTCCAATTTAATATGCTTTTTTTTCTTGCCTGGCTTGTGCTTTGCACCTTTCTCCTTGGGTGTTAAAATGTGAGTAACTGAATGGCTTTTTAAAGTAGAGCTTTGGGAAAAGTTTTTGCCACAAATGTGACACACATAGGGTCGTTCGCCTGTGTGAATTCTTTCATGTTTGGTTAGCAGAGTCCTTGTGGTGAAAGCCCTCGAACAAGTGGTGCAAGAGTATGGTTTTTCTCCGGTATGACTCCGCAGGTGTACCGTAAGTTGTCCTAAAAGACGACTAAGTGCTGAACAGTTTTCATATTACTGAGTTTGAATTACCTGTTTTGGACATTCTTTTGCCGCAAAGGGGACACACAACAGATTTTTCACCGCTGTGGGTTCTACCATGACTCTTTAAATCTGCTGATTGTCTGAAAGCCATTCCACATACGTCACAAACGTAAGGTCGTTCATTGGTATGCTTTCTTATATGAACTTTTAATCTACCTACACAAAGAGAGTATTTATTTCGTAAATGAGATATATATGCAAGGTGTTTGAAAACTAATTCGAAGAACTAAACGAGATTGTTTATAAACTGTTATATAAACGTTGGCTCAAAAGTCGACCATTATCGCGCTACAAAAATAGTGGAAACATAATATATTTACTTTTTATCTTGAAAACCAAATTAGATAGGACAATAAAATATTACGAAAACATTACTATTATAGAAACTCATTTTGTACATACATTTTAATTTTTTTTAAATGTATGTACAAAATGAGTTTCTATAACAATTTTTTCATAAAACTTACAACTTAGAAATAAAATGTAAAGCATTGCACGTGCAATTTTTTGTTTTAATAATTTAGTTGGGTGCACTTGAATTTGGTAGCAACATTTATCAATTATTATTATAACTTAAATAATGTAGATGTGTGAGGGCAAACAAAAATAAAATTTTCGTACGCCTGTACATAAAATGCATATCTGCAATTTTTGCATTAATGTAATTCACCATTATTGAATTAAAACTGTTACTATTCAAACATTAAATGATTTTTGATTGAATTAGTCGTATTTTGTATTCAAACTAACTGAGCAATGACAAATACAGCAGTAAGAAGAAACACCTTAAGGAGTAATAGCCTCCCACTAGATTTTTTGATCCCATTTATCAATGGGCTTCGATTTAATTTCTTATTTAAAATCGGTAAATATTATTTAAAAAATATTAGACAAAAAAGTTTCAACAACATAAAAAAAGTCATTGTCTAAGTTTTTCCTTAAATTTAGTTGAGTAGAATGATTGGTGCAGTCTAGTCCAATCCCCTGACTAATTAAAAAAAAAAAGATAAAACATATACAGAAAGTGTTCTTTTCTACTGCCGTATGTAAAATACCCAATTACCCACCGATCTAGCGTGCGAGAAGTGTCACTTTACCAAGTCAGTTTCGTTTCCCATGAATCCGCACGGATTTGGGAGCAATCGGATGTTTTCGGAGATATTTCCCATGCTTTGAATTTTGACGTTTGCCAGTTCTGACGGTCATGTCAGTGAATGTATCCGTGTTGTTTTATGAAAATGGACCCAAAAACTAACGGGCGTAGAAAAAGTATAGTATGCAACACGTCCCGTAAACCTTTTAACTCACTCGTTTATTAAAAATTCGCTTCGCTACGCTCCGCTCGTGTCAAATAAACTCGTGAGTCAAATGCCGTTTACCGCACTTTTTGTATAATATACTATTTTATACTCCCGTCTGTAAAATACCTCATTACCCACCGATCTAGCGTCCGGGAAGTCACTTTATCAAGTCAGTTTTGTTTCCTATGAATCCGAGCCACTTCGGACATTTCCGTGATTTTATCGCAGGGATTTGGGAGCAATCGGATGTTTTCGGAGATATTTCCTACGCTTTGAATTTTGACGTTTGTCTATTCTGACGATTACGTCGGTGAATGTATTCGTGTTGTTTTACGAAAATGGACCCAAAAACTAACGGTCGTAGAAAAAGGATAGTATGCAACACGTTCGTCAACTTTTTGTTTCGTTTATTAAAAACTCGTGAGTCAAATGCCTTTTACCACACTTGTTGCATAATATACTATTATAGTAGTAATCCTTCTTTAATATTTTATTGCTCTATATACTTTTGTTTTTAAGATAAGAAATAAAAACATTTTTCCCTAATGGTTGACCTTTGACCCAACATTTATAAAGCAAACTACTCCTTATTTATTGTTTTACCGTGTCTTGGTATATATTTTGAAACATTCTATACATATATTGATTATCAGCAAAATCATTTCAAATAATTTTTGTCTGTTGTTCCATAAAGTTTTGAAATATTTGCAAGTATGAATAGAATAAGTAAATCTTACTTTGTGACATAAAACTCTCTTGGCATTCTCCACATTTGAATGGTTTGTAACCTGTATGTGTTCTCTGATGATAATGAAGAGTCCCAATCTGTCGAAAACCTTTGCCGCATGACGGACAGAGGTAGGGCTTCTCCCCAGTATGCAGTTTCATGTGCTCCATTAAAGCACTTGGATATAAAAATTCTTTTTTACAATCTGTACAGATGTGCACCTTTTTTGAATAATCTTCGTCATGCACCTTCATGTGACGACGCAAACTTTCAGATGTTAAACATCCTAAAACGGCAATGGCACAAGCTGTTTGAATGAAAGCACATAACATACAAACCTTTATCACATTTTGGGCAAGGATGCGGCTTAACATCAGAATGTTTAAACTCATGTTGCTTAAGAAGATATTCAAAAATAAAATGCTGGCCACATATTTTGCAGTCAAATTTCTTTTCTTCATTTTTGGTATGAGACCTTAAATGTACATTAAGATGCACTTCTTTCAAAAATGATTGAAAGCATTGGACACATTTGAAAGGTTTTGAATCATCATGAGTTTTTTGGTGACTCAAAAATTTGCTCTTGTTACTAAAACTCATACAACATACTAAACATTTGTATTTCTCCCTAAATTGCGGTGTTAGTTCTTTTTCCACTATAGAATGTGCATTTTGTTTCAAATTCCATTCGTGGTTTGAAGCTTCTGATATATCATTAATTCCATTACCAATATGATGATTAATATTTTCACAAGACTTTCTATGCACCTCACTATTGTCCCCACTTTCTTGTTGAGAGAAAACGGCAACCACAACATAATACTAAATCATAATTTACATTACTTTCTGCTTGGTCATCTTCAACTTCAGTATCATCGTGCAGTGCCTCTTCCTCAATTTTACGGAATTCCCTTCTGGTTTCTTCCATTTTTAATAATTCGTCTGATTTGATGCAAACTTTAGCAAAATAAAAAGCAGATTTGACTGCATCATTGCACTCAATGCAAATTCTATCAGGAAGGAATTCACCCCTCATAATCTATAATCCATAAGCACGAATTAATAGAATTCTGAGGTATCACTGGATAATATACTAACCTTTAAATCTGTTATTTTCTCTACAAAATTTATAACCCGAACTTCATGGGGACGTAAAAACAGATCGAACAAGTCTAACATTTCTTTTGAATCCTTCAAACAAAATCTACAGCTCATTTCATAAGGTACGTTCATTGTTATCCAAGCAACAAATTATTAAATAAATATTCAAATACATCTCCACCAACAACCATCAAATTATCTATTTCTTCTTCCTAACTTCAAGGGACCAAAGATGCTAGGATCAAATCACAACTACCACTTTTTACATCTTTCTCTGTTTATGTTAGTTTTGCCCCAACTGTGGTTGCGATAAATCTACATTAAATGTTCATATTTTATAATTGTTTTTATTGTAAATACAAAAATTAAAAAAATAATATGCTCAAGTCTCGGCTGTATCAAAAACTTTTAAAAGTAGATATGGGAAAAATATGTCGGTTCTGTATGAAGGAAGCTGGCAGTATGAAAGAAATTAAAGGAAAGAAAATATCCAATATGATTTTTAATTGTTCCAGTGTTCAGGTAGTATGTAAAAATTTGAGCGAATTTTTATTCTTACGTAAACAAATTACAGATTTCTGAAAGCAACAGATTGCCAAATAAAATTTGTAATACATGCTTTCGACTGTTGACTTTGCTCTACAATTTTAACAGAAAAATACTACAGGTGGAGAGAATGTTACAAGATTTCATCAAGCATCAACACTATTATAATGAATGCCAAAAAAGGGATATAATTAATATAGCTTTAGATGAAGCTGACATTCATACTAATTTGGTTGATTCTGTGTCATTAGTAACAAAAGACAATATTGCACCTAGTTTGCCAAAACACTCTGAACCTACAATATTGCACCTAGTTTGCCAAAACACTCTGAACCTATTTTGGAAAACTTGGACTTGGAATTGTTGAACTATGAATTGAATAAGGATGTATTATCGTATGAACTACCACCTCTAGTGCCATTAGGCTCCAATGAAAGCAACTTAGATAAAAACTCTATCAATTTAAATTGTAAAACAGTGGAGGGTATCACCCATAGTGCCCTACCACCTTTGGTGCCGATAAAGCCCTCAGTGGATTTGAAACTTTTGCAAACTGTAATGGAGAGTCCGAATCTGAAATTCAATTGCAGTTTATGTAATCAGGAGTTTATTTCTATTCTTGAATTACGAAATCACAAGTTAGAAAGGTGCAAAAGTCAGAATACCTTAGAATGCAACATCTGTCAAAAACAATTTAAGGAATCAAAAAAATTAATTAATCACTTAAAGGGACATAAAATGACAAGAGATCATGAATGTAAAATTTGTGGTAAAAGATATCCAAATCCTAGCACTTTTAAGGTACACTTTCGTACCCATACAGGAGAACGACCTTATAAGTGTCAACTGTGTAATAAAGGATTTGTTAGATGGGCTGGTGTGATTAATCATATGAAGACTCATGAAGCTCAAAAGCCATTCAAATGTGAAACTTGTGGCAAGGCTTTTAAAATACAATCAAATTTGGAAAGACATAAATTGTTACACTCAGGACGGTATCCATATTGTTGTAGCTTTTGTGGAAAAACTTTCAACCAATCTGATCATTTGAAAGTACATACTCGAACTTACCACACCAACGAGAGACCTTTCCTTTGTAATGAATGTGGCAAGGGCTTTGTTAGCTCGTCGCGACTAAAAAGGCACATGTGGGTACATTCAGGCTACAAACCCTATGCTTGCCAGCAATGTCCAAAATCATATTCAAATTCCATCGACTTGAAGATTCATAAAAGGGCACATGGCGCAAAAACTGAAGAAGGAAAAAAGTACTGCTGTCATCAGTGCAATATGAAATTTTATCACCCATGTAGGTTGCATCGGCATATGAAAACTCACGAAAAGCAATGCTCATACTGTGGCAAATATTTTAGAAATATTAGCTTTTTAAACAATCATATGAAAAACATTCATAATAATGTCAGCGAGGAAGCATAAAAAGGAATAGTTAAACAATTTTTTTATGTTGGAATGTGTTTTGTATTTTTTAACATTTACAATTTGTGTAAGTCAATTTTCTTTATGTTGACATGTGATAGGGCTCAGTTTTCAAATCGCCGGTATTTACCATCATTTGGATATTTACAGTTACAGTTGGATACTATGTAATTAAATACCCATTTTAATTATCTATTTCTCACTTCTTGTAGCGTGTTTACAGTAATGAAAACCTCTACCACATTCTTGAAATTTTGAGTGTTGCACATATATATATATATATATATATATATATATATATATATATATATATATATATATATATATATATATATATATATATATATATATATATATATATATATATATATATATATATATATATATATATATATATATATATATATATATATATATATATATATATATGATGACACTATATTCCGGGATATCATCCGTTCGCTCGTTGAACTCCGACTGGAATCCTGCAGACGTTTCGCCAAAATCTCACTTGGCATCTTCAATGCTCGCGCTCCGAAAACACTTCGAACACTGTTATATATATATATATATATATATATATATATATATATATATATATATATATATATATATATATATATATATATATATATATATATATATATATATATATATATATATATATATATATATATATATATATATATATATTTTCACGTATTGATTCACAGATGGAAAAATGTGGTGACACTATATTCCGGGATATCATCCGTTCGCTTGTTGAACTCCGACTGGAATCCTGCATCCGACTGGAATCCTGCAGACTGTGTTCGAAGTGTTTTTGGAGCGCGAGCATTGAAGATGCCAAGTGAGATTTTGGCGAAACGTTTGCAGGATTCCAGTCGGAGTTCAACAAGCGAACGGATGATATCCCGGAATATAGTGTCATCACATACATACATACATATATATATATATATATATATATATATATATATATATATATATATATATATATATATATATATATATATATATATATATATATATATATATATATATGATGACACTATACTCCGGGATATCATCCGTTCGCTCGTTGAACTCCGACTGGAATCCTGCATCCGACTGGAATTCTGCAAATCCTGCATCCGACTGGAATCCTGCAGACGTTTCGCCAAAATCTCACTTGGCATCTTCAATGCTCGCGCTCCGAAAACACTTCGAACACTGGGGTTTTCGGAGCGCGAGCATTGAAGATGCCAAGTGAGATTTTGGCGAAACGTCTGCAGGATTCCAGTCGGATGCAGGATTTGCAGAATTCCAGTCGGATGCAGGATTCCAGTCGGAGTTCAACGAGCGAACGGATGATATCCCGGAGTATAGTGTCATCACATTTTTCCATCCGTGAATCAATACGTGAGAATATATATATATATATATATATATATCTAAAAGATCTGCCAGCGACCATATTGGTTGTTGAACGCCACAACGTCGTTGGTTAAAAACGAGATTGTTGATTGACATGTTGAAGGGATCTCAAAATAAGAGCCTCTATAACTGTAGTACCTACATGGTTCTTACCTACTGATAAAACAGGCCTCTTTTGGATCCAATATCAAAAAATGTTGATGCGCATGGGTACGTCTTTTCAAATCTTGCTTTCAGCCAATCAGGTTTTTTCAGGAAATAACAGTTTAATTGTGCGAAGATCGTTGTTCAAAAGAGGGCTTAAAGTACAGGTTAATTTGTGAAATTTAGCAGCATGTATGGGAGGATGTCACAGCCTGCACTATGTATATCAATTTTGCCTTATTATCTAATGGCTGTTCAAAAACTGCAAAAGCTACAAAGTAACAACCAAAAATAAATTTTGCATTCTGTAAATCCGTTGTATTGGTTTCAAGATCTTGTTACTGAATTTTGAAATATCCCATATACCACAAAAATTTTAAAATAACTAACACCAATATATGTTATTTATTTCAACTAGATATGGATCAACCTAGGATTTATAACTCAAGTGTTCATTTCATTTGCTATTTTTTATGGATTGGAATGATTTTACAATAAATGATAAAAAAAATGAATTGGATGACCTGTACCTAATTAGATAAAAAAATAACTTAAGGTGGGTAAATCTACAATTGATGAGATTCAACAAAACTTTCTAAAATAATAAATACACACCAATACTACATCACTCATTGATTATTTCCCGCTTGAATTTCATCAATGCAACTAACTTCCTCTCGGAATTCAAGTGTACCTTTTTGTGAGTTTTTAGAGCTGAGCTTTGCCTGAATGGCTGTCCGCACTCATCACAGATATATGGCTTTTCGCCAGTATGTATCCGCATATGGGATGTTAAATCATTGGACTGAGTAAATGCTTTGGAACAAAATGAACACAGATAGGGTTTTTCTCCAGTGTGGGTTCGTTTGTGACGAGCCAATATGCCAGATCTTGAAAAATTCATGTGACAAACATCACACTCATAAGGCTTTTCACCTGAATGGATCCGCTTGTGTTTTGTGAGGGAGCTGGATGTTGTGAACCCATGGTTGCAAACATTACAAACAAATGGTCGAGCCCCTTGAAATATACACTAATCAAAATAGGATTATTACCAAGATTTTTTTCTGTACCAGTATGTTTTCTGAGATGGGTGTTTAATTCTCCTTTGCTAGCAAACCCACTTCCACATGTGCTGCATAAATGTGCCTTTATCCCACTGTGCCGGACTGTGTGTTGTCTAAGATTGCCCAACTGATTGAAACCTTTTCCACATACTGAACATAAAAATGGCTTCTCACCGTTATGTGTTCTGAGGTGGTCTTTCAAATTGGAAATTTGATTGAAACCTAAAAAATATATTATCTACATCTCCCATTTGTTTCAGTTCTGCTGCAAAAAATGAATGAGATTTATTTTTTAATGAAATTAATATTAAGACAGGGATATATGCAAAAAATGTACTATCATCCTCACCTTTAAAGCATATCTTGCACAAATGAGGCTTAACTCCTGAATGAACTTTTAAGTGTGCACTTAATTGATTTCGTTTACTAAAATTTTTTCCACACTCCATGCACAAATGGTGTTTATTTGGTTTTTCTGAGTGAGTTTCCATGTGACGTTTGAGATTGGCCTCTTTTAAATAAATCATATTGCATTTTTGACAGGAAAATAATTGGACACAATCATCAGCCTTTAGTACTACAGTGTCATCTTCAGCCATACTAAATGTCCCATCAATTTCTACTTTTTCTTGTGGCATCTTATTGGCATGGGCAATTTTGTGCCTCATTAGTAAGTCATCTCGTGAAAACCTTTTAAAACAAACATCACATTCAAATTGCTTAGACTTTTCAGTGGTTTTTGGTAAAGATGTTTCAGCCGATTCCTCAGGAAATGCCGCTTCCACATCACTGTCATCATTTGGATAGTCAAAGTCCACAAAATCTTCTTCGAAAACTTTTGTTGTGTCCCTGGTTTTGTTTCCTACTGGGTTGCTAACTGAACTAGGAACTTTATCCCCAATATTTGACTTGGTTTGGGTTTCATTCATATCAAATAATTTTTTTTTTAACAATCTATCACTCTCTTCACATTTCAGTTTAAACAGATACATTGCAATTGTATCTTCGACACATGTATAACATATTTCTTCAGGTAAACCATCACCAAGAGTCATCTAAAAGTAATAACTATATTCCTCTGTAATCAAGATTTAATATTATTACCTGAACAAGGGTAAAAGAGGATAACATTTCTGATAGATGAATGGATATCCCTATTTTGTCTAACTGAACCGACATGAAGATCGTCTGAAATTCTCCTTCTTCAGTCAAACAAACTCTACAAATTGAAGAATTGTGGCTTTTACTCCATTCTTCCATTTCTAAACAAAAAGAAAAAGTTTGTTTTTAGAAAAACTTTTGACAATCAATCGTTTCCCAAAATTATCTTCTTCTTTTTGAGAAAATTTATTATTGGCAAACCTGAAATAAAATAATGGTCGGTTAGAGACAAGACAAGGGAACTTTGAGCTTGGTTCATTACTTAATGTCGGTAATAGTCTAAGTTGCTTAACAAAAAAAACTGAGTATTTTACTTTTATCCATTCGAGATGAGGTATTCGCATTATTTTATAAGAAAGGATATTTTTTTAAAGAAATAGAGCAAAGCATAAAATCTTTAATGTTCAACACACAAAAATGAATGATTAGAATTTTCAGAACAAACTGCAGAGTAAACTGACGAACAAAGATTAAAAAACGAAGAAACGGCGCGAATTTCTAAACAATAAAATCTTACATAGCCTAACCTTAATTTGTATAATTATCAACGACTGTTTAGTTGGTTTATTCGTTTATTTTAAACATGACTATTATTCATGAACCTTTACGATACGCTCATGAAGAAGGACACACGGATGTATGTTATGCCCATGACGGAGAGTAAATATGAATAAATTACTTAATTCAAATATACCTATATATTCCACACTTGTTCTTTTAGATCTTTTGTAACATGTGGGGCTGATGGCGACATTAGAATCTGGTCTATCCATAATAGCGATGATCCACATCATGTTTGTATTGGTGAATGGGCGCTTAGTGTTTGTCAGAAAGAAGATAAGTGGTATGTTGCAACCAGCAACAATGATATTCAAATTCTTTCGCATCCTGAAGGAAGTCGGGAAGGTGTTTTAGATCGGTACACTGCACCCGTTAATCAAATTGTAGTTTGTAAAAGTAGGAATATTGTGGCAGTCGCTTGTGAGGATATGGAGGTGAAATTACTAAACCTAGAAACAAAAACCAAAATTGGGATATTTACGGATTTGAGAGGACCTTGCTTGAGCGTCGCTATATGCCCAAATGGCAAGAAATTGGCGGCCGCGTCTGGAGATGGTAATCTGAGAGTTTGGGATGTTGAAAGTTCTCAGTTAGTGAAAGAAGTATCTTGTTTTCCAAAAACAAATAGCTTTGCAAATGCAAAATTATTATGTCGGATTGATTTTGATAAAGTCAATGGTAAATATTTAGCATATCCACATGAAACCAAGGTTGTGTTGCTTAATACCACTGATTGGTCAGAGCATTATTTAAACTGTGAGGATATTACTTCTCCGTACTCAATTGTACAGTTCTCTTCTTGTAATAAATATATGGTTGCCTCTTCTATTGAGGGGGATTTTGTGATATGGGAGGTATTAACTAAACAGATAATTAAAATTAGCAAACATGAAAAAGGCTTGTCTATTTGTGGGCTTATGTGGAATCCTAAAAACAATGGAGAAATTGTCTATACTGATGTGGAAGGTCAGTTGGGAATCATGTCAAAATGTTTGTTAAGTGAAGAAAGTACAATAAGCAAAGTTGTGGATGAGGATGGCTTCATGGAAAATGAAGTTAACTTTGAAGATGTGCAGTTTGAAGATGATGAAGACAATGACAATGTTGTATCGGTTGAGAAACTTAAACAACAATATTTGGGCAGGTAAGGTATTATCTACTGCAATATTTAAAACTAGATTTGTACCAATGGGATTTAAGTTTTTAATGGGAATCAATTATAGAGAGAGAATAATACATATTAATTGAATACTTTAAATGCATTTATGGGATTTAGTTTTAATTGAGGAGATTAACCATACTATATCAAAAATTGTGACAGTATTTCATAGTAATTTCAATGATTTCCACATAGAATATTGTATTATTATTAACTCGCTATCCTAAATTCACAGCTACTAAGACTCAAAAATTTCTATGGTGGGAGTAGGAGTGAAGGAATTATAATTACCGTTAATAATAATTGTCATAATTGAAAGATTTATTTGGCTAGTTTACCAAAAATAGGTATTATGTTATATGTTAATAGATCGACCAATATAATGGAAAATATTTTTTAACTTTATTTTTGTGTTAAATAAGTAATATTTTAAGTTCGGGATTTTGAAAATGTTGCATTTTTAGCTAGTTTTGGTGGAATTTCTGTATGTATAGGTTCATTTTATCCCATGTCAATGTTAGTTCGTAAAAAATTGTATTTAAATTGCGTAATTTTTGACATTTAGTTTGGCAAACGGTATTTTTTTCTAAAATTTGAACCAAAAAGAGACAGAAATAAAGAAAACTTTACTACATAATTTTACCTGCTTTTGATCTTTAACTGCATCAGAAGGGCTTCAATAGGGTCTGTAAAAATTAGTTGTCCTCGTAATACACAGAATTCAATCTTGTTGGCAAAACTTGCATTTGTTTTTACAAAAATTTTCCTGCTATTTAAGAGTATCTATCAATCACATCCATACATTTTTGGTTTTGGTATGACTATATTAATTTTAACCGACAATTTCAAAAGATTTACATTTATTGAAAATTTAAAAAATTAAATTAACACTCATCATCTGGTAAATATGTTAAAAATGACTAATTTGTTTTCAATTTTTTTAAATCGCATGCTGGATTAAATATGTAAAAGAAGGTACAGAATTTGCTTTACCACCTGTATAAAATAAAGTATGCAAATTGGAGAACTTATATATAAATGTGACTAAGTTTTGTGATTATGTACCAGGTCGTGCTATTTTTTTATTTAAACTAGAAGATAAAGTTGTTTAAATTCACTTATACTTTTAAACTATTATACTTTTGTATTTTTATATATACAGGGCATTTGTGATTTTGTGGACAAATAGCAATTTTTTTATTACAAATGGAACACTTTGTATACAAGAAATTTTTGAATTCCTCGGTACTGTTTTGACATACGTAATATATCATAAGTAAATCATACCGTGTCTGTGAAATTTTAAATTTTATGTCAAAATTGACTTGTTTTATATTTTAAGTTGATTTACTTATAGAGTTGCTACTTTAGGGGTCTATGATATTGAAAAAATAAATAATAAAAATAAATAAATAAATAATAAAAAAAAGAGTAACACTTAGCGTAATGTTGCCCATTTCAAAAAGTTGGAAATATTAGTAAAAAAACGCAAACATAATGTAAAAATCCTATACCGTTTTTATGTTTTTGTATAGTTGGCTAAGATGATGAAAACGAAACATATGAAAATTAAAAAACAATCGAGCCCTACAGAAACGTTACTTTTTTGACATTCTATAAGTTTAGAAATCAATGTTTGACAGTTTTCTTGTGTGTATCCTTAATGATTCTCAAGACTCTGGAACAGGATTTCGAGACCGTCTAGTACTCTTAACTTAGTTTCAAAATTGAAATAATTTGGTTGATCATGCGGGATTGTCCATTTGAATTTTTAGTTTCGGTCAAAAATTTTTTTGTGAATTTAAACACCCTGAAATCCTAAAATGAATCGGCATATAAAAGCAAAATTCGTATGGATATTGAGGGCCTCCCGAAATTAGTGCGCCAAAGTATAACAGCATATTTTACGTTCAAAATAAGCCCTAGTTTTTTATATGAACATGAAATAAATGCATCTAAAAATTGTTTTTTAGGAAGTTCTAAAGCTTACCGTTTTAGTAATTTTAGCATGCTGACTCTGATTCTAAAATTATCAATATCAAATTTCAGCCAAGCGCGTAACTTTTGAGGGGTACAAGTAATAAACAAAAACTGCAATAACTTTTTTGTGTGTTCTTATAAAATCGCAAAGTTGCGTTCTGTTACCAGAAAAAGGTTCAAAAATCGAAAAATAGGCTAGGGAACCTTTCAAATTCCGTGTAGAGTGCTTACGCTTCGGTATTTATTTTCTATGATTACGGTTTTAATCTTAATATCAATTTAAAATGTGAGTGTTAACGGATACAAAATCTATTTTTAAAGCCAATTTCTACTTGATTGTAGCTAATGTTGAAAGAATAAAATTTTGCGGACAAGCATCTATTTGTAAAAAAAAATTTCCGTAGCCCAGAGTCGGAGTTAAAGGAATTTGATGAGCGATCATCTCGAGTTGCATCCCCGAGGCCTCGATCTCCCGAAGTGCCCTTGCAACCGCCATTCATGCCGGGATCCACTCCCGAACATCTTGATCCACGGTACTTCTGTTGGAATGAAGTGGGTATCGTCAAAAGCTACGGTAACAGTGCTGACGATGAGCTAGCTTCAAAGTCCATAGAGGTAGAGTTTCACGATGTTACATTTCATAATAGTATGATGATGCCAAACTATCAAGATTATACTATGGGTTGCCTAAGCAAAGGTGCTTTGGTAGTGGCAAATTCAAGCCAGCTAATCGTCGTACCCCTACTGGCTAGCACAAAGGATTGGATTCTCAAATTTGAGGAAAATGAAGAAGTCGTTTTAGTAGCAGCGTCGGAAAATTTGGTGTGCTGCGCTATGTCTAATTATATAGTGCGCATATGTTCCCTATATGGTACACAACGGGCGGTAGTTTCAATTCCGGGGCCCATAGTATCTATGGCTGCCTTTAAAACTACATTGTTGGTTGCTTATCATTTCGGCGGCATTAGAAATAATGATCAGTGTATCAATATAAAATTAATTACCGTTGATAAATCATCTGTAATCTCTAAAGATCTAGGCGCCTCATTGGGTCCAGAATCAACTCTTTCATGGTTGGGTTTTTCTGATGCCGGCACTCCAGCAATGGTGGACTCTCTTGGAATGCTAAACTTATATCCTCAAAACTGCAATGTGTGGATTCCATGCTGCGACTTTATTAAACACCGGAAAAGTCCTGGAGATGGTTTCTTTGTGACATCCATTTTCGAGTCCTACCAAGCGGTCACCGGTATTAAGTGCAAAGGCAGCATGTATCCGGTATTTATTCCTAGACCGACAGTCTGCGAGCTTCCTTTGGAACCACCATTTGTTGAGCCTAACACTGAGAAAACTCAGATGGAATCCAATCTATTCGCATGGTCCATTCTAAACGTGGCTGATATCGACAGAAAATACAAAGAAACAGCTTTGAAAACGTTCGCCTTAGCATGCAAAAACGATCTAGACCAGAGGGCATTTGAGTTCATGGAAATTATCGGCAATCCGCAAATTTTAAACTTGGGTTTAAAATACGCCACAAGGTTAGACAAAAGACGCCTGGCTGAAAAACTAACGGAACTTGCAGCTAAGTTAATTAACGAAGAAGATGAAACCGATGTACCAATCTCGGAAGTTCACACGCCTAATAATCAATCGGTTATCAAACCTCCAGCTATAAGAAGACTTACGCTTAGTTCTACTAAAAGGACTGTAAAAAAAAATGCTAAAACGAAAGACGAGAACGACGGTGGGTCCGTTGTGAATACTCAGGAGTCTTTATTCAATGAAGAAGGTGTTAGTGTTGTTGACAAGACTTTTTCTTCGCAAGGTTCTGAGCCAACCCAACACCGCACCCCCGACAATCCTTTCTTAAAGAGAGGTCACTCAAATAAAATGAACCCATTGAGTTTAACGGATACACTCGCCGGCGTAAATTACGCGAAAAACGATTTACAGGGCCGCGATAAAGTAGGCGAGAAAAGAAAACTTGGAGAAACGGAACCGGAAGAACGGAAAGGACATCAAAAGAAAATAAATAATTTTTTTGTAAAATGAAATTGCTTTTAATTATATTGTTATTTATAGAAGTATCTTTTTTATTTATGTAGCGTGACAAATACATCGTCCCGCAGTTATTTGTCTTTGTCTAGTTTGTAAATAATTTAATTACTTGCTTTGCTGTTTGAATAACAAGCTGAAGGTGCGAGATATTTACTTAGCTTGCCATTACCATATTTTTGGACACTTAGAGCTTAAGACAATTTGATAAATGTGCGCATGCCTTAAGAAGAGAATTTTTATTATTCACGTGAAACTGTCGCGACAAACCAAGCGTTGCTCTTAAGATTAAAAATTCAAAGTTGATAACAATGACATTATACTTCTCGCACAGTGGAATTGTTTCACAATAATAGTAGACGAGGAATACTACGAAGTGTGATTGTTCTTATTTTTTCCATGGATGCGAAATTTTGAGAAGGATACTTATGCTTTTATATATATTTGTTGACGTCACACCTAACCCAATCATTTAAAGCCGAGAATGAGGATTTTGGCTCCGGCAACAAAGAAACACGAACATTCCGGATATTTTAAAACAAGCTGTTGAAGCGCTAAAAAATAGCGGGTAAAAAAGGAAACAAACCGAGCTTTTCGAATAATTTATCGTAATAATTTTTCTAAACAATGTTAATTCTTCGTCAACAAACTTCACCCTCATCGTCTCTGCATATGTACATACAAAAAAAGTTTCTGTTCCTCTTCATTATATAATATTCTTTTTACTATCATCTTACGATGCAACACAGTCCCCTCCTTCCTTTAGTTAGAGTTCGAACTCTCGAGAACTGTTTTTTGATGTTCTCAAAGTGACAAAATGATACATAAAGCTGCCATCATCTTTGTTGCTAATTGTATGTTATACTTTACAAAATAAACCTATATTTTTTAAAATCTCCACTGGTGAGCTATATAAGTAAAACATATATTTAAAAAAATAGTTTTGACTGATAGGCTGTTTAGAAGAAATACAACTCATATGCTATTATTATATATTAAAGTACAGTATTACTCGGTAACTCTGAGTTAGTAATAAGATTTGGTCGATTATCCTCATAAAATGAAGTAAAAACAACTAATTATTGACTTTTAAACGAAATATAATAATCCAACAAACACCAAAAATAAGCAAGGTAAAATACAAGCAATTATAATTTCACAAAATTAAAATAAAAAGCAAATGCCTTCTTTTGACATATAAATATTTGGAATTCTTTGGAGAGGCAAAATTTATGTAGTAATCCTTTTAAATCAATTTTCTTGTTCAGTTTCGACTGAATCTTCTCCATATTCTGTGACAACAACAACTTTCCTTTGGCTATCAATTTCACTTACTTCTTCTTCATTTTCTTCTAGCACATGTTGTTCTGTTACCCCTTCAACCTGCTGCTCATAATAGGGCATTTCTTTTTCCTCGACCAAGATACAATCATCCAGGCTAATACAAGCCTCCATAATCTGGCAACTGCTCAACACATGTCTTGCAAACTTATTCGGTTTATCCGAAGCATAGTCACACTTCTTACATTTGAAAATTCCACTATATTCTCTGTCGCAATGTAGCACAGTGTGTTTATGTAAATCATTGAGACGTTTTGAAGTGTATCCACACTCAGTGCAATTAAAAATGCGATCTTCAAATCTTCCGGTGGCATAATTTTTGTGCACTGCAATGTGCTTATTCAGATCACCCTTCCTTTTGCTAGTATAAGGGCAGTGGTCACATTTATATGTTGTAGCTTCTCCGGGTTTTTTGTGGCAAAGAACATGCTTTGGTAAATCATTCTTTCTTTTAGTTTTGTAGTCACAAATTGGACACTCGAACATTGGTGCTGGAAAATAAATTTATATTAAGAAAAATATTCTTTTAATCAAACAATATTCTTACCATTTGTGCAATGTGTTAGCAGATGTTTTGGCATATCACACTTTCGCTTAGTCTGGTATGGGCACTCCGAACATTTGTAAATCATGACTTCAATTGGAGTTTCATGGAGTGATATATGTTTTGTAATACCTTTTTTTCTTTCTGATTGATAAGTGCAATATGGACACACATATATGAACGATTCTGGACCTTCATCATCGTTCTGGAGCGTGCTGTCTTCATCATCCAATTGGTTCATTATTTTCGTTTTCTTGGCCCCACTGCCGGTTTGAACTTGTGATGGGGATACAATTGAATAGTCTTGGTTAGCTTTTCTTTTCCTTCCGGGACTGATGGTATACTTTGCCACCTTTGATTCGTCGTCCTCCTCATTTTCGTGACCAAAAATATGGGCGTCCAAAATATCGATGTCGTCTGTTTCAAAGTCGCAGTATTTACATTCGAAAGGCTCCACTTCTTCACCATCTTCTTCGTTTTCTGGTGAATCCTCCTCTTTTCGGGTTTTCATTGAGAACGAATGAAACCACGGGTAATCAAACAACACGATGAAGTCGAAGAAGAAAGTGAAAAGAAAAGACGCAGAAGCCACCACTGTCTAATTTTGCCTACATGGTCAGTTGATGACCATAGACCAAACTATAAAAAGTCGGTCTATCAATTTGGTGACTAACACCGTTCTTGGCTAGTATGGTTGGCTCGTTGGTTACATTGACGATTTATTTCCCCCATCTTGGTTCGTGTAGAATAGAATGAAGGAATATCTTTTGTCATCGTCGTTGCGTTACTGCGTACAATTCAAACCTTCGTAATAGATTTAAATTGCTGTACGCATTATTTGACGTTATACCAACGCAAAAATAACGCCCAGAGACGCTGCTATTTACCGATAGATAGCGCCAAAATTTGGAACGTGTCGCATATTATTAAGTTTAAAACAGACATAGCGGCTTTTGTCGACTCAAGGTAGAAATCATTAACGTTTTTCGTAAAATTGGACACTTTAGTATATATTAAGTCGGAGAACTCTGAAGCGTTGTAACTACATGCAGTTAATTTAATATTTGTTAGAAATTTTCATTTTGTTCTAGTAACTGTTGATAGTATATTATGCAACAAGTTTGGTAAACGGCACTTAATTTACCAGTGATTAAAAACTCTATCAAACGTCTTCCGTCTTTTTTTATGACCATTAGTTTTTAGGTAAGTGATTGCTAAACAACACTAATACATTCACTGACTGACGTGTGACATGACCGTCAGAATTGACAAACGTCAAAATTCAAACCGTGCTCGCTCCCAAACCTGTGGAGAATATCTCGGAAATATCCGAAGTGCCTTGCAGTCGTATGTGGCAAAACTAAAGTCGTAAAATGACAATTTCCTCACGCTTGATCGGTGTATAATTGATTATTTTAGAAAAGGGGGTATTTCAAGTTTGAGCATTAATTACAAAGAAAAACAAAAGTAGGTAGTACTAAGCCCTAAAAATCATCAAGCCAAATTGTTGGCTGGTAGCAGGATGGATCGGGCCAGCATAATACTGCTGTCGTTGCTATTAAGTGTTCGTAGAGATTTATTTCCAGCTATAATACGCAATAACCATTCAAGAATATTTAAACTGTCCTGTCTAGAATAATAGGTTTCACTAAAAATATTGGGTTTCGTAATATTTCTTTCTTACCCCCCAAAGGGTAATTATTGAGACAGAAAGCTTAAAATAACTTGCTTATTTTAAAGTCACGTTGCAGTCAGCGTGAGCGTTAAATCCCGCGTTTTCTCTATCCTTGTCGCTCTAACGCATGCTTGTATTTTAGCCTCATATTTGCAATCAGTTTAGTGTTAGCAGCGACAACGAATACAACCTTAACTTGGTAAGAAACAAATTTAGACTTCTCCAGTTTAATTGTATATGTATATATAAATTCCTTTGCACTATAATTTTTTTGTGATTTTAAAAATATTTTGATTAATTTAAATATATTTTTTTTAATTTCTTAGGAAGTATGTAAATTTAGCAATAAAAGATAAATAAGGAAACTTGACTATGACAAACGGTGCTGCTCATAGAGTAATTGAAGCTACGCAGCGAGATCGATTTACTAAGAATATAAAATTGATGAAATTGTTAAGAATCAGATCTGGACAAGCGCGGTGGCATTGCATCGTAGCTGTCGGAAGATTTTCTTTGGAGTCGTATCTCGCAAAAGTAATTTGAATTTTTAAAAAACCAACCATTCCATTGTAATCGATCGAAAAGACCCGGAAAAGTGGGCCTTTTGTAATAATATATTATTCAACAAATTTCAACAAATACACTATATGACGAAGTCGGGTGACAAGATTACTATATTGCCAATATTTTTTCTACCCAAACATTTGTTTTGTATTTTCTAAAGGCGTTGGTGGAGCATATACGACAGTATATATTTTATTTGCACACGAAAATCTAACATAAAGACCGAAATTTTGTTAATTTCAAACGTTCGTAGTGTTAACACGCATACCCTAGAATAATTTAATTTTTTGGTTGAATCAAATCTCAAATACCTTTTTAAAAAATATACTGCAGATTATAATATATATATATAATTAACGAGTTTTGCTGCATTTGCAATTGCATACTTACCAGAATGTGGTTACGAATAACATTTTTGTACTTTCACACTTTTTTTACAAAATTTCGTAGAAAGTTTGTAAGTTTTTTTTTCGAAATTTGAGAAAAAAGTTGTAAATTTTTGTTTTCTGTATAAAGAGAGTGAATTCGCAAAATTTTTACGAAACAAATTTTGTTAGTGAATATTCAAAAAAGTTATACGAAATTTGTGCTTTTTTTTAACAAAATTCCATCAAAGTTTATGAATTTCACAAACAAATTTAGTAAAAATGTGTAAATGCAAATAAATGTAAAAAATGGATCTCAAAAATAAAAGTTCAGATTTTCACGAAATTATATATTTTCACATGACAATTGTTTCGACAACACCGTGTCTTTATCAATTGTTTCGACCACTCCGTGTCTTTATCAAATATTTTTGATAAAGACATGGTGTTGTCGAAACAAGTGTCATGTGAAAATATATAATTTCGTGAAAATCTGAACTTTCAGTTCAACTTTTCAAAGCTTTCGACCTAATTTACCTTCCTATCCTGCTAAATTTAGACATTAATAATTATAATTATTCGTTAATTGAAATATTTTCGTTATTTGAAACATTCAATAAGTGGCAATTTCCTTATTTAAAAAAAAAATAGAGTTATGGCCCAGATCTTCTTAATACTTATTTTACTTTGGAAAGGGAAAACGTTTTTTGCAGGCTTCACGGAAATAGTCGATCCGATCGATTTTAACAAACAAATTTTGCATTGTAGATTAAGCATTTTGGTTGTGTTGTTTCATTAATACGGAATCCAATTCGGCAATGTATTTCAGCTCCAGAAAAAACTTTTTTTTTATAAAATAAGGGTCGTAGATACGTAGAGGTATTTATCTAATTTGTGTACTCACTTCTACACAAATGGATATAATATATATAGTTTTTTCAGTAATAGCCTACCGCACACGTCTCAATATCTACCTAAAGGTTGTTGATTCTCGATCGACGAACCGTAGATTGAACTTCTGAAAATGTCATCTTGTAGAATAGCCAGAATAGTAGAATAGCCACAACTACCTCAAGTATTTCTTGATTTTGTGTCTAAAATATCCCAATATTACCGAAATTGAGCACCTCTGCTTTCTGAAAATTTCGATTGGTAGATTTAGATTTTTTGCGTGACTAGACTACCAGCTTAGTGCTAATTGGCGGTACTACAAAGTAGCTCCGTTACACCGTATTATCTGTATCAATCAAAACATATTTTTTGTCCTATCAAGCTTTTACTGAAAATAAAAGTTTCCAATTCCAAATTTAACTAAAGTTTTGCACAAACTATAACCTGCGTTTCATATATTAACGGATGTTTCGCCCTGAATACAATTAGTCTATCTTTGCTGATGTTTGTTTGTTTGATACCCTATTAACGTCATAATGCTGAGACGCTGTGGAAAATTTAAAGCTGCGTTCATTGCAAACAATAGGGTCACATTTAAAAGTCACGTTGCACGGGGCGTGAGCATCAGTACGTGCCTTTCCTACAAATCCCTATTTCGTTTCGTAATCAGTTCCCCATCCCAGTTATATAAAATGCGAGGGGCGAGTTTGACTTTTTCGCAACGAGAAGTCAACGTTACACAATTTTTGGTTTTGAATGTCGATGACCGTAATGGATTTCAACTTGATCTGAGCAGACGTGTGAATTTAAATATTGGAATATCTTATTCCATGTTCTATAATTCAAGTACTTTACTTTAAACTAGGTGGGTGGACCGGCAGATTAGTTTTTACTTCTTATATTAGTGCTACTGTGAAGAATTTTGTAGGTATTTCTTTCATTATACCACTGTATTGGGCGTGGTTTTGTCTACATCGCGTGTATGGCTCATATATATGACCACTCTATTACAATATCTATATTCAATACATTGAACATATACAGCATATCGTCGCTTTCAAGTGGACTATCTTTTACACTATTACTCAATTTCGGGATTTCTGTCCGATTTCTTGGTGAGATTAGCTTCCCCGGTAGCCATTGCATCATCACCCGGGCAAACGGTACACAGATCAACTGAACTGAAATTTTTGGGGCTTTTGAAGATTGATTGTTATCATTTAGGTTATAGCTATCCAAACTTATGGAATTTACCAACATATAGCACAAAGGTTCACAAATAGATCATTCAATAAGTGCGATGCATGATGGCTGTCACAAATAGAATTATCCAATAAAATTTGTTTTATGTACTGGCTTTGCTAAAGTGCTTCACTCTGGTCCTTAAGGCAGTGTATAACAATAACAAAATCTGTTACTTTTAAGTTTTGAAAAATCTACATGTATATCTGGCTGCCTTGTATATATGTATAGACTATGCATTCTTAATTGCCTATTTTGTTTAAAAATTAGTATAACATCCTCAGAATATTTTTTACTAAATATAGTCTTGATAATTTTGCGCTGAACTTTAAATGATCTCCTCATATGAGCTAGTTAATGGCACTAGAATGATTCAACATCCTAACCGTATTAATGATGATTCATGACTGTCTTATAGTGATTATAATGATATGTAATGTTTTATGCGCCGCAAGTGCTTTATTCAAATCTTTGAGTTCAGTGATTGCATTGCTCTCGCCATTTTGTCGTCATTTGTCAGTATCAACATTTTCGAAATGGGAGACACTTTGAAAACATCCATGTTTTGAGCAGTTCTGTCTGTTAATGATTATAGTGCATACTTTAGGCAAATTAATTGGTGCCTTAACCAAACAATATTAGCCCAAAATAATCAATAATAGCAATAACAATGTTTCTAGTCGCTAATTGAGAATTTTCTTCAGAAACCATAATAAATTTGCAAAAGTATGAAAAATTAGTTAGTCCCATTTGGTTAATTTAGTTTTTTAAACGATTGGGGTACAGTAATCTTTTCCATTTCTAGTGACATAACGTGTCCAATAAAAGCTGTAAAATGCTAAACCTTTGATCAAAAATTTTAAAAATGTGGGAAGTTCTGAAGAGAAACATTTTTCCAGAAAGCTAGCAAAGTTAGAGAATGTCTTAAAAAACCTCTTTTTTTTTTAAGTCACTCGAATGTCGTGTCTGTTACCGTTTTTCGACGCCACGAGAATAGTCAATTAATTAATCTGAAATTGCTCGTTAAATGAATCTTCACAATGGGAATAAAATTAGCACACTTTCATTGTAAACCGTAGCTGTTACGAGTGATGTAATATTGGTAGTTCTATTTTTGGAATATCCGAACAAAAGCAATTTCCTATCGATTACTCAATTAATTGGACGTCAAGTCCGTTTAATTTCAATTTCTTATATAATCAAGAGCTATATTTGCGAATGGGATGCGATAATCGTACCAAAATGGAAATGTCCTCCTCAAAAGTGACATATGTTTTCCCGTAATATGTCGACAATGTTGGAAGAGCAACAGTTTGGAATTTACTCCACAACCTTATACTGGTGCACTAGCAAATAACGAACACAACCCACACATTCAGACTTGTATATCAGTTTTCAAAATCAATTGGATTCCATTAAATTAACTCGATGGGGTCTTAAACACAGCGACCACCTCCAAGGCGGGTCACGTTTTCAAACATTTGTGCAACCTTTATTGGATTCTACCGGTTACGCAACCTAGGAAAATTAGTTTTGTGAGAAGAACGCATTTTTCAATTTGCACCAGTCAACAAGATATCGGCTGGTCTGTCTATGATTGATCCCATTTGAGTAAATGTTTTTGAAGAACGTAAATAATTAGGATTTTATTAGTTTGGCGTGTGGAACTACATGGGTAACAACTTTTGAAATCTTCAGTAGTTTTAGTTTGGAGCATTTATGAGACAAAAAATTTATTCTACTGTTTACTAAATGGATATTACTTACTTTTCAAATGCCAAAAATGTTTTCCAGATATGCTTCGTTATAATTATCCAATCCTGTGTTTTTGTTTCAGAGTTTAATCTAATGATCGTGAAAGTCTGTTAAATATAATCATGGAATTTGAATCCAGCACAACCACTACGAAAAACACAATCAATTCCGATTCAGGATATCCCAACAGCTGTAGTAATAGTAACTCGCAAAGAAGGTTAGCTACTACTTTCTGGTATCTCAGTAATATACGTAATTTTTCCTTTTAAAGCGCTGGGTCTAAATCCAGACACAGCGGGAGCAATTCGAGTGGCAGTAGCGGATATGGCGGAGCACCAAATGCAAACGGAAGGTAAGAAATACTTCGCAAATGGTATATTCTGTCCCCTTTCGACGGTTCAGTTCCATTTTCTTTATTGATTTGTTGAACTTTTGGGTTTTCCTAGATCGAGAATCAAATCAGTTTTTTCTTTTCTTGAGTTGGAAAATTCCAGGCGTAAAGTATTCTTTTTTGTAAATGAAACAGATTGGATATATTTCTTAAATTATGCTTCATAAATATATAAAAATTGGCCAAAACATAACTAATGCTTTCACAGTACCCGATTTTTGTCCGTTGCAGTGATAATCTTCACCAGCACCCCTCTAAACGTAACAAAGATGAGGATCACATCAAGAAAAAATTGCGAGCCTCCGAAGTGTTGCCCGGCGACACGTTGTTGGATTGTTTAGATAGTTCTGCGCAACTTAACTTAGGTATTTAATTATTCATAAGACCCTATTTTTGTGCGTACCTATCCTCTTGTTAACAATATGTGGTGTTACGAAAATTTGATGATTTTTAGGGGTTGTATTTGTTTGTGTTGTACCTAACGCGCATTTTAAAAAATTTTTAAAGCCTTGCCATCCGTCGTACCTGAAGCGTCATCTTCTATTCTAGAAAATGTAACGAGTAACGAAGAACCGGTGTCGGCATCACAATCAGTACAAATTTTGCCAGGTAATACAATTATCATAATTGTATAAAATAATGGGTTTATATCCGAGGTTGAGAAAACAAGTAATAATAGTCACGCAGCTGATGCTAAATCCACATTTTTGTCGGTGTGGTTGTGGTTTTTTTCTACCTAAAACACGACAATGTGTTTAAAACAACCTCCCTCTATCTCCAACACATGGCATGACTTACTTGATCTCCATTTGGATAAAACGCCATTTAAATAAACGTTACTGTGTTAAAGGTTTTCCACTATCAACGCATACTATTTAAAATGATTTTTTTTTAAACACGGATCATGACCCGAAGTTATGCACCACATCATTGTATTGTATATTCGCATTCCTACCTTCATATTATGTATTTGAAACAGGCTGACGACCAAAAATGATCCATCTAGTGTTGGAAGTAAGTGTCTATGGCGAAAGAAAAACGAAGAAAAATTACGTTATTAAAATAAAATGAAGATACGAAAAAAAATCAGAAAATGCCGTAACATTTCGATTTTTTTGAATGTGACATTTAGACAAAATATAAAAAATAAGAGCAAGAACATCTCTTTTCAGAATTTGATTGCAAGAAAAATGTTTAGATATCAACAAGCATTAAAAAATTGGGGTTAACGTCAATTTTGGTGTATATAATATCATAATTTTGCTTTTTGATTCATTCATTACGTATCATAATGAAAGTTATTTTTTGAACTATAATTCTGTTAAAGATTTGGAAGTCTTGGCTAGTGAAAATTTGCTTAACATTTTGAACATTGTGTTTTTAACCATCAGAAAAATTTCGAGCCGAAGAAGAGACAACGGCTCAATGGAACGAAGAGATGCAGTTAACCGGCGACGAATCGCACCAAAATGCACCTCAAGAAGAGTATTTTTCTGATCCCGGTTCGATTCAGGAGCCGAGGCAAGAGGTAAAGTTTCCCAGTATTATTACCCACTGATCGGAACATGAAATTTTTTAATGCAGGAAGGATTTAGTTGTATCATATCTGTACAAGATGGACTGGTGTTGTACGCTACAACAGGTTTAACCTCTGTCCTCGGGTTTCCCAAGGACACGTGGTTAGGAAAATCTTTTATCGATTTCGTCCACCCTAAAGATAGGGAAACGTTTTCGACTCACGTGGTGACCAGCATGGCGTTGCCCTATATCGATACCCAGGGAAAAGTTCAAGGTAACATGCAAATTTAAAGTTGATGGACCTACGGTAACCTTCATTTGAGGGGTATTTTATATAATGTTGATTTTAATAGGCTCTACTCTCTAATAAACTACTTTATGACCTATTGTTATTGGACCAACTATTCAACTTAGTAGATTATGCAACAAATTCCTAATAAACGAGCAGCTAAAGAAGTTTATCAACCCGTTGAGTGCTATACTCTTTCTATTTCCATTAGTTTTTTGCACATTTTTGCAAAACGCAATGAATACGTTCACTGAGTGATATGGCTAGTGATTGTTTGAATTGTCAAACGGCCAAATGCCACGGCTAAAATCCACCTCTCCCAAACCCATTACTAAAATACTAGAAACGTCCGAAATCTATGTTTCATGTTTAAGTAATTTATTTTGCATTTTGAAAATAATGACGACATATGTAAAACCAAACTATAGATAGATACAAAGATAGTTAGAAACCAAGTTAGAAGAGTATTTTTTTTAAAGTTATTTATTAATCACCTTTTCAAGTAGATGGGCGATTACATTAAAATTAATTTAATTTGACAACACGTCAGCACGGTTGATCAACTAATAATAACAAAAAATAAAGTAAAAAATTAAGTTTTCCAGATTTTTATATCTAGTGGCGTAGTAGATTAAAAGAAATGATTAAAATGAGTTGTTGATTTTGAATTTTTGTTATATAGTACTGTAGTACTTCATTTTTTTATAATATTCCAAAGTAGACACTAAATTTTTATTACCCAATTTTCGTTGTTTTAATTTGTAATGATCATGAACCCAGCACCGTCAGATTCGAAGAAAAATATTCTTAATAAACTAAGAACAAAATAAAAATAAAATGATTAAAGTAATACATTTTCAGAGGTAAAAAACTACCTCTACGTGTGCCTGAGACGATACAACGATCCGACCTCGGCAGCTGCATCCGAAAACTCAGTGTCTTATCAAGCCTTTCATCTGACCATTACTATTAGATACGTTGCCGATATTCCCGAATTGAAATGCGAGAACAATGGCGGTATGTTTCTGGTCGTAGTCGCTATGCCCATATACAGTTCTTACCAAGGTAAACATTCGGTGTTGGTAAATTTAATTGCGGTATAATTTATTTGAGTTCTGTTTCAGTTCCAGTAGATGTATAGTGCCGATATAAGCAACAGAAACCGTACATAACCTCAATTTCCTAACCCCCCCGCAGCGGGGGCCCCCCGCGCGTGGCGTCCTAGTGTCCCCCCTGTCTACCAGAGTGCGCTCCGCCCCCCACCCAGCTTGTGTAGTGTCCTGTTTTGCCCCGGTTCCGCCCGTCGCTGCTAGATGTCGCGCGCTTGTGTAGCGTCCTGTTTTGCCCCGGTTCCGCCCGTCGCTGCTAGATGTCGCGCGCTCCGACCGTCGTAGGCCCCCCCGGTAGAGGGCGGTGACGGTGCGGCGCGGTGACGCGGTGGATCGGGAGGATAATTAAATAAACTTGAATTTTAATACATTTTATTTTATTTTATTTATAAAATTGGTCTGGCGAGGAGTTTCTTCTTCTTTTTATGTCGATTCAGTCGACCATCCCATTGTTCCTGTTCCTTGCGTTGTTCTTCTTCCCGTTCCCGGAGGAAATCTAAATACGAAGTGCACTCCTCGCCGTCCCACTCCGTCGACCACCCACCCGGGTACTCCTGCTGCTCCTTTGTTTCTTTTGATCCACCGGGTTGCTCCTGCTGCTGGTGATGTTCCCTTGTCGTTTCATGTCGTACCGGGAATTCTAACCCCCGGTACTCTTTGTGTGATTTGAATATGTGACGCCCTAAGCGATGCGCCAACATAATATGCGACTTGTCATACGGACAAACCGCGATTTTTTCTAGAACAAAACAAAGTATGATATGTAGCGTTTCCTATAAAACACACATTTTTTTTTTTTTAAACAAAACTTCCAAAAAGGGGGGTTATCAAATAATTTTAAAAATTGTTTTTTAAGTTATACGCGCATACCAAAATTCACGTTTCAATTCACTGTCATTTAAATGTACGTGTATTATTGTCAAAAGGGCAAACTGTAATTTTTTAGTACAAAAAATAAACAAAAATATGTATATATTTCGCGTTTTCCCCATAAAACGCACATTTTTGAAACAAAACTTTCAGTAAGTGGGGGGTCATCAAATAATTTTTAAAAAATTGTTTATTTTTTAAAAGCCAAAATTCCCTATTCACTGTCATTTAAAAGATATTAAAAACGCTCAATTTAATTCGATTATTATTGTCAAAAAGGCAAACTGCAATTTTTTAGTACAAAAAATAAAACATATTTCGCGTTTTCCCCATAAAACGCACATTTTTGAAACAAATTTAAAAATTGTTTATTTTTTAAAAGCCAAAATTCCCTTTTCCATTCACTGTCATTTAAAAGCTATTAAAAACACTCAATTTAAATCGGTTATTATGCAACGTAAAAAAGATGAGTATCATATTTTAAAAACAGGTAGAAACTAACCAAAAAAGTGATAACCCAAACTGAAACCCACAAGAAAAGACGCGCACTGTATAAAGGTAATTAAAATATAAAACTTACCAGTTGTAGGGTCGTAGGGAAATGGACATCGCACTTCTGTATTCATTGCACTGAATATAGTCTATAATACACATGCAACGTATTTATACACATGCACTCCCTTCCATGGTTGAATTAAAAGTCGAAAAGGTCTTCTACCCACAAGCACCAACGCCGATTTGAATAGACGCGATGTTGTCGCCAGACAACCGTGCAGGTAGGAGTCTCAAGGTCAACACGCTTTCACACGGGAACGCAACCGCTTCGGACGTTGGACGAACGTATGTTGCCGCAAAAGATCAAGGCCAACTTGCTTTCATTTTTTACAATCTCCGTATGGGATGTGGAATTTCATAACGCGCCGAGTCTAAATGTCGAGTTGTTTTGCTTGTTGAGAATAATAATTAATTGCCCCCTTTATATTTGCTCCGTGGGATTAACGTAATGGGAAAAATTTGTTGCAACGCATGTGGAGGTGTCTTCGTTTGTTAACTTTTAGAAAGTATTCTCGCACCGTATAAATACATCTCATTTTTCTCTGTTTTGTCAGTAGTTGTTTTTGGTATTATTCGTGCAACGTGGAAGCTAACTTAGTGGTTTGGTGTTCGTACAAAAAAGCAGTAAGTACCTTTTTTATTGTTTTATTTTAATTCTTTAACATTTGTTATTATTTTATAAAGGTCCTAAAGATCATCTTAGTACTCTCAACCCGTAACCGCAAATAGAATAGCAGCAATCTTAAGCGTAAGTTTTTTTTATTTTTTTTATTTTGAGATAAAATAATTAATAATAATTTATAGATGGACTTAAGTCAACTGAATCAAACCTGTCTTGCAGAAGGTGATTTTGAGCAGCCGATTGTCAAACTGCATGAATTGCCGATAGGCGTTCCGTTTAAAATTACTAGAGCCAAAATTGTTAATACAAAATTTGGCAATTCCGTGTTGCTGCAATTAGAAAATTCCGTAGTATTTCTTCCTACTCGCGTGACAGAAGCTTTCCGTCCGAGACTAGAACACTTTGCATCGGGGCAGTACAAACTGGTCTACGAGGGATCCAAAGATATTGGAAAGCCCAACTCTTTAAAGAAATTCAAAATAATTCAAAATTAATCAACATATTATACAGGGTAAGTCTTATTTACTGTTATATATTTAATAAACCACGATGCGCGTAAAGCAGATCATTCATAGAGCGCAAATCTTAATTTTAACCTTACAAAAATTAAAAAAGCATATTTCCGACAAGTTCACTCTTAGAGATAGTGATGTGTGGCTTAGGAGACTAAATAAAAATATTGAATCTTGCAACCAAATCGTTTCTAACGAAAAGGATTTATCTATTGGGTTAAAAAGAAAATTACAAACTACAATTCAACATCTGAAAGCTATTAGAAAAATTATTCTTAATTATCAACATAAGCATTTTGGATTGGGATTACAAAGTAGTAGCCGCGAGACAAACACAAATGAAATGGTTGTATGGGAATCGGTAGCGTCGTGTTTCCAGGGAAGAGTTCAGACTGGTGTCATAATTAATTTACTTCATAAAGATTTAATTCAATTTTTAAACGATTGTCGTCCAATATTTCAACAAAAAATTAGTCAAATTTTAAAGAAATTTTTATTGCTGAAAGTAAATACCACATTTTGCGGTGAATTTATTAAGGCAAAAAATGATGTCCAAGGCGAAGTTGATGTTAAATATCTGAGTACCGGAAATGCTGTAGTTGATTTAGGAACAGAATTGAATGATTGGTTTGTTGAAAATGTCCAAGATAAAATTTTAAATCAAATGTCAGAGTTTCAGGAACGTGATTCCGGGTGGGCTTTAAATAATATTATTTATTTAGAGATTAACATTAATAAATTTGAAATGGGTAACGGGTCATCCTTCGTTGAGTTGCCTAAAGAAATTGCGAATAAAAGGGCTTGTATTAACATTAGAAATGACGATCAAGCGTGTTTTTATTGGTCAGTTGTATGCGGACTCTTTCCAGCACGTTTTCGTCAGTATTTACCCTCTTCATATCCATACTACAAAAGTGTTTTGAAAACTGAAAATTTACAAACACCTATGGAAATGAATAAAATAAGCAAATTTGAAAAAGACAATGATATTTCCATCAATGTTTATATCTTAGAGCTTAATAAAAATGAAAAAACTAGTTTTTATTCCGTGTTACCTGCACGATTAACAAAAGAAAAACGCGAAAAACATTCAAATTTGTTGTTAATACAAAATAAATATTATCCAAAAGTTAATGATTTTGATCCTGATCCGCAAGATAATGATTATGAAGAAATAAAATATCACTATTGTTACATTAAAAATTTGTCTCGATTAGTTTCCTCACAGCTCAGTAAATATAATCACAAGAAATACATTTGCGATAGGTGTTTGAATTATTTCAATAACGAAACTCGTCTACATGACCACGAAACAATATGTTCCAGTTTCAATGAGTATAAAGTGTCTTTTCCCAAATATGATTACGTTGAATTTCGAAACCATATATATAAACAAAGGACTCCGTTTGTAATTTACGCCGATTTTGAGAGTCAATTGAGAAAAGTAAATTTGAAAATTTCAGATAAAACCTCGAAATACCAAAAGCACGAAGCTTACAGTGCTGCATATTACTTTAAATGTTCTTATGATGATTCAATATCATTTTTCAAAAGTTATCGTGGTCTAGATTGTATTGATTGGTTCGTGGAGGAAATATCTAATTTATCAAAATTTGTTCGTTCAAAATTTAAGGATATTATACCAATGGATAGTGAAATTAGTCTAGATCAAAGGTCGAGTCATTGTCATATTTGTGAAAAACCTTTTTTAAAAGAAGATGTTATTGTTCGTGACCATGATCATTTTACTGGTAAATTTAGAGGTTTTGCCCATCAGGCTTGTAATTTAAATTTTAAAAAAATATTTGTAGTGCCCGTAGTATTCCAGAACCTTTCTGGATACGATAGCCACTTCCTGCTTCCGGTTTTAGCAAAAAAAAGCTATGTATCCATAGTTCCGGTTAATAAGGAAAAATACATCTCTTTTACATATTTCGAACCTGATTATAACATAAAATTTAGATTTATAGATTCGTTTAGATTTTTGGGAGCATCTCTGGATAATTTAGTTTCCAGTATGGATAAAAATGAACTATATATTTTAAGAAAAGAATTTTCCGATCTCGACGAATCAAAATTAAATTTACTGTCGCAAAAAGGTATTTTTTGTTACGATTACATCGACCATATAGACAAATTAAATGAAACAACTTTACCCCCGATTGAAGAATTCTATAATAAATTAAGTGAAAGCAATATTAGTGAAGAAAAATATTCCCACGCACAAAGTGTTTGGCAGTCGTTTGAAATAAAAAATTTAGGCGAGTATTCAGATTTGTATTTAAAAACCGACGTTATTCTTCTGGCAGATATATTCGAAAATTTTCGAAAAACTTGTATGGCAACACACGTTTTGGATCCGGCGTGGTATTTCAGTATGCCCGGGTATACATGGGATTGCATGCTTAGATTCACAAAATGTCGTTTAGAACTTTTGCGCGACATTGACCAAATTATGTTTATCGAGCGGGCTATACGAGGTGGAATTTCGGTGTGTGTTGGTAGATATGCGGAGGCCAACAATAAATATATGCCCAACTACGATTCATCCAGGGATGATTCCTATATCATGTACTTTGACGTCAATAACCTCTATGGCAAGGCCATGTGCGAGCCTCTTCCTTACGGAGGATTCGACTGGATGTCTCATCAAGAGATTGATTCATTTAATGTCATGAACATTCCAGATGAATCTTCCCAAGGATATATCCTAGAGGTAGACCTGGAATACCCGCAGAAATTACATGACACACATAGAGATTTTCCATTTTGTGCCGAACATCGAGTGCCCCCCAATTCAAAGTTACCAAAACTAATGACTACTTTGTATAATAAAGAAAAATACGTCATACACTATCGCAATTTAAAACAGGCTCTCAAAAACGGTCTCGTACTAAAGAAAATTCACAAAATATTAAAATTTAACCAATCTCGTTGGTTGAAATGTTATATCGATCATAATAATAAATTAAGAACCCAAGCAAAGACAAAATTTGGTATAAATTTATACAAATTGTTTAATAATGCCGCTTACGGTAAAACAATGGAAAACATTCGCAAGCATCGTATTGTTAAATTTGTTAAAGCGTGGGATGGTCGCTACGGTGCGAAAAATTTAATTTCTAGTCCTAGATTTCACAGTAGAACCATACTTGATAACAATTTGTTGCTTATAGAATTAAAAAAATCGGAACTTTGCTTTAATAAGCCACTTTATATTGGAATGTCCATATTGGATTTGTCGAAAACGACCATGTACGAGTTTCATTATAATTACATGCTTCCAAATTTGGGTCCCGAAAAATGTAAAATTCAATACATGGATACGGACAGTTTCATTTATAATATCAAATGTTATGACGCATATGAAAGCGTTATTAAGGCCGATTTAACAAAATTTGACACGTCTGATTATCCTAATGACAATCCCTATAATATACCGCAAATCAACAAAAAGGTTTTGGGGTTGATGAAGGATGAGACTAATGGCACCATCATTAGTCATTATGCGGGGTTAAGGTCGAAAATGTATACTTTCAAAATTTTAACGGGTTCGGTAGTTAAAAAGTCAAAGGGTATTCAGTACAATATTGTAAAAAATAAAATTTCATTTGATGACTACGTAGAATGCTTAACAAATTTTAGGGAAAAGTACGCCACTCAACGAACCATTCGTTCATACACTCACAATGTATTTAGCATCGAACAAACAAAAGTTGCCTTGAGTCCTTTAGACGATAAACGTTATCTTTTGCCGAATTCATATGAAACGCTTCCGTGGGGACATTATAAAGTGCCGTAATTATTTTTTAATATATTTTTGTTACAGATTATGGTCAAACAACTTACATTAGAAAGCCTTTGTATTATAACAATTTGCGAAAATATTAGGTGTAGTGCTGATTATTTTTCTTTTTAAATTTTTTAACTACTTGAAATATAAAGTGACAAGATTTACAAACTAAAATTTCCGAATATTTTATCCTGTAATAACTGACCCATAAACAGTAAGCGGATTCTCCGTCAAAATCAATGGTTGGAGTTGCCAAAATGCTATTTCTGTAAGACGATCCAAATCTCTTATTCAACAGAATGAATTCTAAATTTAATAAAGAATTGCCATCAGACTGGAGCGCTAATTGTTTAAGGTACTTCCATCTATATTTCGAATAATATTTAAATATTAGTATCGTTAGTTTCCAAGGCAAAGGTGACTCAAGCAAAAAATCAGCACTACACCTAATATTTTCGCAAATTGTTATAATACAAAGGCTTTCTAATGTAAGTTGTTTGACCATAATCTGTAACAAAAATATATTAAAAAATAATTACGGCACTTTATAATGTCCCCACGGAAGCGTTTCATATGAATTCGGCAAAAGATAACGTTTATCGTCTAAAGGACTCAAGGCAACTTTTGTTTGTTCGATGCTAAATACATTGTGAGTGTATGAACGAATGGTTCGTTGAGTGGCGTACTTTTCCCTAAAATTTGTTAAGCATTCTACGTAGTCATCAAATGAAATTTTATTTTTTACAATATTGTACTGAATACCCTTTGACTTTTTAACTACCGAACCCGTTAAAATTTTGAAAGTATACATTTTCGACCTTAACCCCGCATAATTGCGCTTTTTAATACAGACTTGCAAGTGGCGCGGATGCAAGCTCAAGAGTGCAAAAGAAAACTAGAACAATTTAATAATTTAGCATTTAACGAAATTGTAAAATAGTAATAATGTATATAATAAATAAATTATACAATTACAAACTTCTGTGTAATTATTATGCGGTGTTGTGGTGGTGGTAAAAAAGAAAATAGCGTCTAAATATATACATGTTTATTCTTGTTGCAATACAATGGAATACAATCAATACATAAAAGTCTTATCTACAGTTACATATGTTATAATAAAACCACAGTATTAATAGTTCAATGGACTATCAGAAAAGCGTAACTTTTTTCCATATTTCCTCTCATCGTGAAGCATTAAATTACATTCATCTTCAGTTTCTACAGTGAACAAAACTTCTTCAAAGCAGCTTTGACACCAAAATTGTTTATCGTGATATACATCATTCAAATTATTTATATCCAGCTGTAAATGATAGTGATCCAATAAAAGTCTAAAATTTTTCTTTTTAAATTTTTTAACTAGTTGAAATATAAAGTGACAAGATTTACAAACTAAAATTTCCGAATATTTTATCCTGTAATAACTGACCCATAAACAGTAAGCGGATTCTCCGTCAAAATCAATGGTTGGAGTTGAACACAAAACATAGAACGACGGGTACGAAACCCATCGATGTGAGTAAGAGCAACGAAAAGAGAATTTTGAAAACCGCGTATAGTAGCATAAAAATATTCGGTCCTCGTAAACTTAAAGTCGGCGACATCGTTAGAATCAGCAAAGTCAAGCACGTTTTCAACAAAGGTTATACACCGAATTGGACCACGGAATTGTTTAAAATTGTTAAAGTACGGGTTACTAACCCCGTAACGTATTTGCTTCAAGATATGCAGGGTAAACCCATAATGGGCGGATTTTATGAAGAAGAATTGCAGAAGACAGTTAACCCGGACTTATATCTCGTCGAAAAGGTGTTGCGCAGACGAGGCAATATGGTTCTCGTGCGCTGGTTGGGATTGGATAAGTCGCACGATTCGTGGGTAGACAACGTAGACGTTTTGAAATAAATTTAGTCTCGATTTAGAAGTTCTGACATAAATACGTGTATATGATGGCTCAAGAGAAAATTGTGACATCCAACGAATTGTATAATTTATTGGAAAATTTCGAGTTGCAATTTCCTTCATCAGAAGTGCTCCCGTCCAGCTTCGTTCCTGTAGAGCAACAAACCAAAAAATCTGCGACCAAACGAAAACAAAGTGCGTCGGTCGTATCCCGCAAGAAGAAGAAGAAAACTACCACAAGTGAAGCGTTTGCAGCTCCAACGTCATCCGCTGATTGGCTCGAAGTGTTCACGGACGGTAGAGAAAAAAGTGTCATTTGTGAGGCATTCAATTTAAAAAGAAACTTGGCGTCTCAGTTGTCGGGATTAGAGTGCAATATCAACGAAATTGAAACACAAATTGCGCTTTTTAATACAGACTTGCAAGTGGCGCGGATGCAAGCTCAAGAGTGCAAAAGAAAACTAGAACAATTTAATAATTTAGCATTTAACGAAATTGTAAAATAGTAATAATGTATATAATAAATAAATTATACAATTACAAACTTCTGTGTAATTATTATGCGGTGTTGTGGTGGTGGTAAAAAAGAAAATAGCGTCTAAATATATACATGTTTATTCTTGTTGCAATACAATGGAATACAATCAATACATAAAAGTCTTATCTACAGTTACATATGTTATAATAAAACCACAGTATTAATAGTTCAATGGACTATCAGAAAAGCGTAACTTTTTTCCATATTTCCTCTCATCGTGAAGCATTAAATTACATTCATCTTCAGTTTCTACAGTGAACAAAACTTCTTCAAAGCAGCTTTGACACCAAAATTGTTTATCGTGATATACATCATTCAAATTATTTATATCCAGCTGTAAATGATAGTGATCCAATAAAAGTCTAAAATTTTTCTTTTTAAATTTTTTAACTACTTGAAATATAAAGTGACAAGATTTACAAACTAAAATTTCCGAATATTTTATCCTGTAATAACTGACCCATAAACAGTAAGCGGATTCTCCGTCAAAATCAATGGTTGGAGTTGCCAAAATGCTATTTCTGTAAGACGATCCAAATGTCTTATTCAACAGAATGAATTCTAAATTTAATAAAGAATTACCATCAGACTGGAGCGCTAATTGTTTAAGGTACTTCCATCTATATTTCGAATAATATTTAAATATTAGTATCGTTAGTTTCCAAGGCAAAGGTGACTCAAGCAAAAAATCAGCACTACACCTAATATTTTCGCAAATTGTTATAATACAAAGGCTTTCTAATGTAAGTTGTTTGACCATAATCTGTAACAAAAATATATTAAAAAATAATTACGGCACTTTATAATGTCCCCACGGAAGCGTTTCATATGAATTCGGCAAAAGATAACGTTTATCGTCTAAAGGACTCAAGGCAACTTTTGTTTGTTCGATGCTAAATACATTGTGAGTGTATGAACGAATGGTTCGTTGAGTGGCGTACTTTTCCCTAAAATTTGTTAAGCATTCTACGTAGTCATCAAATGAAATTTTATTTTTTACAATATTGTACTGAATACCCTTTGACTTTTTAACTACCGAACCCGTTAAAATTTTGAAAGTATACATTTTCGACCTTAACCCCGCATAATGACTAATGATGGTGCCATTAGTCTCATCCTTCATCAACCCCAAAACCTTTTTGTTGATTTGCGGTATATTATAGGGATTGTCATTAGGATAATCAGACGTGTCAAATTTTGTTAAATCGGCCTTAATAACGCTTTCATATGCGTCATAACATTTGATATTATAAATGAAACTGTCCGTATCCATGTATTGAATTTTACATTTTTCGGGACCCAAATTTGGAAGCATGTAATTATAATGAAACTCGTACATGGTCGTTTTCGACAAATCCAATATGGACATTCCAATATAAAGTGGCTTATTAAAGCAAAGTTCCGATTTTTTTAATTCTATAAGCAACAAATTGTTATCAAGTATGGTTCTACTGTGAAATCTAGGACTAGAAATTAAATTTTTCGCACCGTAGCGACCATCCCACGCTTTAACAAATTTAACAATACGATGCTTGCGAATGTTTTCCATTGTTTTACCGTAAGCGGCATTATTAAACAATTTGTATAAATTTATACCAAATTTTGTCTTTGCTTGGGTTCTTAATTTATTATTATGATCGATATAACATTTCAACCAACGAGATTGGTTAAATTTTAATATTTTGTGAATTTTCTTTAGTACGAGACCGTTTTTGAGAGCCTGTTTTAAATTGCGATAGTGTATGACGTATTTTTCTTTATTATACAAAGTAGTCATTAGTTTTGGTAACTTTGAATTGGGGGGCACTCGATGTTCGGCACAAAATGGAAAATCTCTATGTGTGTCATGTAATTTCTGCGGGTATTCCAGGTCTACCTCTAGGATATATCCTTGGGAAGATTCATCTGGAATGTTCATGACATTAAATGAATCAATCTCTTGATGAGACATCCAGTCGAATCCTCCGTAAGGAAGAGGCTCGCACATGGCCTTGCCATAGAGGTTATTGACGTCAAAGTACATGATATAGGAATCATCCCTGGATGAATCGTAGTTGGGCATATATTTATTGTTGGCCTCCGCATATCTACCAACACACACCGAAATTCCACCTCGTATAGCCCGCTCGATAAACATAATTTGGTCAATGTCGCGCAAAAGTTCTAAACGACATTTTGTGAATCTAAGCATGCAATCCCATGTATACCCGGGCATACTGAAATACCACGCCGGATCCAAAACGTGTGTTGCCATACAAGTTTTTCGAAAATTTTCGAATATATCTGCCAGAAGAATAACGTCGGTTTTTAAATACAAATCTGAATACTCGCCTAAATTTTTTATTTCAAACGACTGCCAAACACTTTGTGCGTGGGAATATTTTTCTTCACTAATATTGCTTTCACTTAATTTATTATAGAATTCTTCAATCGGGGGTAAAGTTGTTTCATTTAATTTGTCTATATGGTCGATGTAATCGTAACAAAAAATACCTTTTTGCGACAGTAAATTTAATTTTGATTCGTCGAGATCGGAAAATTCTTTTCTTAAAATATATAGTTCATTTTTATCCATACTGGAAACTAAATTATCCAGAGATGCTCCCAAAAATCTAAACGAATCTATAAATCTAAATTTTATGTTATAATCAGGTTCGAAATATGTAAAAGAGATGTATTTTTCCTTATTAACCGGAACTATGGATACATAGCTTTTTTTTGCTAAAACCGGAAGCAGGAAGTGGCTATCGTATCCAGAAAGGTTCTGGAATACTACGGGCACTACAAATATTTTTTTAAAATTTAAATTACAAGCCTGATGGGCAAAACCTCTAAATTTACCAGTAAAATGATCATGGTCACGAACAATAACATCTTCTTTTAAAAAAGGTTTTTCACAAATATGACAATGACTCGACCTTTGATCTAGACTAATTTCACTATCCATTGGTATAATATCCTTAAATTTTGAACGAACAAATTTTGATAAATTAGATATTTCCTCCACGAACCAATCAATACAATCTAGACCACGATAACTTTTGAAAAATGATATTGAATCATCATAAGAACATTTAAAGTAATATGCAGCACTGTAAGCTTCGTGCTTTTGGTATTTCGAGGTTTTATCTGAAATTTTCAAATTTACTTTTCTCAATTGACTCTCAAAATCGGCGTAAATTACAAACGGAGTCCTTTGTTTATATATATGGTTTCGAAATTCAACGTAATCATATTTGGGAAAAGACACTTTATACTCATTGAAACTGGAACATATTGTTTCGTGGTCATGTAGACGAGTTTCGTTATTGAAATAATTCAAACACCTATCGCAAATGTATTTCTTGTGATTATATTTACTGAGCTGTGAGGAAACTAATCGAGACAAATTTTTAATGTAACAATAGTGATATTTTATTTCTTCATAATCATTATCTTGCGGATCAGGATCAAAATCATTAACTTTTGGATAATATTTATTTTGTATTAACAACAAATTTGAATGTTTTTCGCGTTTTTCTTTTGTTAATCGTGCAGGTAACACGGAATAAAAACTAGTTTTTTCATTTTTATTAAGCTCTAAGATATAAACATTGATGGAAATATCATTGTCTTTTTCAAATTTGCTTATTTTATTCATTTCCATAGGTGTTTGTAAATTTTCAGTTTTCAAAACACTTTTGTAGTATGGATATGAAGAGGGTAAATACTGACGAAAACGTGCTGGAAAGAGTCCGCATACAACTGACCAATAAAAACACGCTTGATCGTCATTTCTAATGTTAATACAAGCCCTTTTATTCGCAATTTCTTTAGGCAACTCAACGAAGGATGACCCGTTACCCATTTCAAATTTATTAATGTTAATCTCTAAATAAATAATATTATTTAAAGCCCACCCGGAATCACGTTCCTGAAACTCTGACATTTGATTTAAAATTTTATCTTGGACATTTTCAACAAACCAATCATTCAATTCTGTTCCTAAATCAACTACAGCATTTCCGGTACTCAGATATTTAACATCAACTTCGCCTTGGACATCATTTTTTGCCTTAATAAATTCACCGCAAAATGTGGTATTTACTTTCAGCAATAAAAATTTCTTTAAAATTTGACTAATTTTTTGTTGAAATATTGGACGACAATCGTTTAAAAATTGAATTAAATCTTTATGAAGTAAATTAATTATGACACCAGTCTGAACTCTTCCCTGGAAACACGACGCTACCGATTCCCATACAACCATTTCATTTGTGTTTGTCTCGCGGCTACTACTTTGTAATCCCAATCCAAAATGCTTATGTTGATAATTAAGAATAATTTTTCTAATAGCTTTCAGATGTTGAATTGTAGTTTGTAATTTTCTTTTTAACCCAATAGATAAATCCTTTTCGTTAGAAACGATTTGGTTGCAAGATTCAATATTTTTATTTAGTCTCCTAAGCCACACATCACTATCTCTAAGAGTGAACTTGTCGGAAATATGCTTTTTTAATTTTTGTAAGGTTAAAATTAAGATTTGCGCTCTATGAATGATCTGCTTTACGCGCATCGTGGTTTATTAAATATATAACAGTAAATAAGACTTACCCTGTATAATATGTTGATTAATTTTGAATTATTTTGAATTTCTTTAAAGAGTTGGGCTTTCCAATATCTTTGGATCCCTCGTAGACCAGTTTGTACTGCCCCGACGCAAAGTGTTCTAGTCTCGGACGGAAAGCTTCTGTCACGCGAGTAGGAAGAAATACTACGGAATTTTCTAATTGCAGCAACACGGAATTGCCAAATTTTGTATTAACAATTTTGGCTCTAGTAATTTTAAACGGAACGCCTATCGGCAATTCATGCAGTTTGACAATCGGCTGCTCAAAATCACCTTCTGCAAGACAGGTTTGATTCAGTTGACTTAAGTCCATCTATAAATTATTATTAATTATTTTATCTCAAAATAAAAAAAATAAAAAAAACTTACGCTTAAGATTGCTGCTATTCTATTTGCGGTTACGGGTTGAGAGTACTAAGATGATCTTTAGGACCTTTATAAAATAATAACAAATGTTAAAGAATTAAAATAAAACAATAAAAAAGGTACTTACTGCTTTTTTGTACGAACACCAAACCACTAAGTTAGCTTCCACGTTGCACGAATAATACCAAAAACAACTACTGACAAAACAGAGAAAAATGAGATGTATTTATACGGTGCGAGAATACTTTCTAAAAGTTAACAAACGAAGACACCTCCACATGCGTTGCAACAAATTTTTCCCATTACGTTAATCCCACGGAGCAAATATAAAGGGGGCAATTAATTATTATTCTCAACAAGCAAAACAACTCGACATTTAGACTCGGCGCGTTATGAAATTCCACATCCCATACGGAGATTGTAAAAAATGAAAGCAAGTTGGCCTTGATCTTTTGCGGCAACATACGTTCGTCCAACGTCCGAAGCGGTTGCGTTCCCGTGTGAAAGCGTGTTGACCTTGAGACTCCTACCTGCACGGTTGTCTGGCGACAACATCGCGTCTATTCAAATCGGCGTTGGTGCTTGTGGGTAGAAGACCTTTTCGACTTTTAATTCAACCATGGAAGGGAGTGCATGTGTATAAATACGTTGCATGTGTATTATAGACTATATTCAGTGCAATGAATACAGAAGTGCGATGTCCATTTCCCTACGACCCTACAACTGGTAAGTTTTATATTTTAATTACCTTTATACAGTGCGCGTCTTTTCTTGTGGGTTTCAGTTTGGGTTATCACTTTTTTGGTTAGTTTCTACCTGTTTTTAAAATATGATACTCATCTTTTTTACGTTGCATAATAACCGATTTAAATTGAGTGTTTTTAATAGCTTTTAAATGACAGTGAATGGAAAAGGGAATTTTGGCTTTTAAAAAATAAACAATTTTTAAATTTGTTTCAAAAATGTGCGTTTTATGGGGAAAACGCGAAATATGTTTTATTTTTTGTACTAAAAAATTGCAGTTTGCCTTTTTGACAATAATAATCGAATTAAATTGAGCGTTTTTAATATCTTTTAAATGACAGTGAATAGGGAATTTTGGCTTTTAAAAAATAAACAATTTTTTAAAAATTATTTGATGACCCCCACTTACTGAAAGTTTTGTTTCAAAAATGTGCGTTTTATGGGGAAAACGCGAAATATATACATATTTTTGTTTATTTTTTGTACTAAAAAATTACAGTTTGCCCTTTTGACAATAATACACGTACATTTAAATGACAGTGAATTGAAACGTGAATTTTGGTATGCGCGTATAACTTAAAAAACAATTTTTAAAATTATTTGATAACCCCCCTTTTTGGAAGTTTTGTTTAAAAAAAAAAATGTGTGTTTTATAGGAAACGCTACATATCATACTTTGTTTTGTTCTAGAAAAAATCGCGGTTTGTCCGTATGACAAGTCGCATATTATGTTGGCGCATCGCTTAGGGCGTCACATATTCAAATCACACAAAGAGTACCGGGGGTTAGAATTCCCGGTACGACATGAAACGACAAGGGAACATCACCAGCAGCAGGAGCAACCCGGTGGATCAAAAGAAGAGCAGCAGGAGTACCCGGGTGGGTGGTCGACGGAGTGGGACGGCGAGGAGTGCACTTCGTATTTAGATTTCCTCCGGGAACGGGAAGAAGAACAACGCAAGGAACAGGAACAATGGGATGGTCGACTGAATCGACATAAAAAGAAGAAGAAACTCCTCGCCAGACCAATTTTATAAATAAAATAAAATAAAATGTATTAAAATTCAAGTTTATTTAATTATCCTCCCGATCCACCGCGTCACCGCGCCGCACCGTCACCGCCCTCTACCGGGGGGGCCTACGACGGTCGGAGCGCGCGACATCTAGCAGCGACGGGCGGAACCGGGGCAAAACAGGACGCTACACAAGCGCGCGACATCTAGCAGCGACGGGCGGAACCGGGGCAAAACAGGACACTACACAAGCTGGGTGGGGGGCGGAGCGCACTCTGGTAGACAGGGGGGACACTAGGACGCCACGCGCGGGGGGCCCCCGCTGCGGGGGGGTTAGGAAATTGAGGTTATGTACGGTTTCTGTTGCTTATATCGGCACTATACATCTACTAGTTCCGGGAGAGAGAAAAAAATCATCCAAATTCAGAATGCGTCACACTGCTGCGTGTAAATTCACCCACGTAGATCCTGACGTAGTGACCAGTTTTGGATTCCTTCCCCAAGACATGTTGGGCAAGTCCATCTTTGACTTTTGCCATCCCGAAGATATGCCTTTTCTCAGAGGTGTTTACAAGTCTGGTAAGAATTACGCCAAATAGCTGTTTATTCTTGACGTTGTTTTTTTATAACGTTTGCAGTGATAAAAACGTGCCAAATCAACGGCTCAATATTTCGGAGCAAGCCTTACAGGTTTCTTGTACAAAACGGCTGTTTCGCTACCATCGAGACTGAGTGGTCCACCATTGTAAATCCGTGGTCCCGGCGATTGGAAATTGTTTTAAGTCTAAATAGGGTCGTCAAAGGCCCGTTAAATCCCGATGTGTTTGACGCGATTGAGGTGAATGAATTGCGGCACATCCCGGAACGAACGATTAGAGAAGGGAAATTGTTGCGGGAGGAAATTCTGCAAATGCTGAAAGACGTAAGCACCAGTACATTTTTAAAAAAATAGTTTATATCTCTATAAAATACTCTGGAGATTTATATTATTGTATTGTATATTTGCATATCCCGAGAAGTGCCACAACATTTTAAAGTGTCTTGAGCAGGAAGTAGTTAAATTAAAATTAAGAATATTCCAATTTTCAACTGATTTTTTCTGGTAAGACTTACAACATTTACTTATTTTTTTAAAATAATCCACAAATGCTCAAAAATGCATCGTGTTTTAATTTTCAATTTCATTATTGATAGTAGTAGTTCAAAAATTAGGCCACCTTGTATACCAAACAAGTGAATTTCGACGAAACCCATTTTGGAACCCTACAACACACAATTGTTCCAATAACAGTAATTATACTGGAATACAGAGATTTAGGATTTCCTAAAACAAATCTTAGTCCATTTTTCATAATTTAATTTCCTTCAGGAAATTATCCTTCGATACACTTCTTTCCCGCATTTTTAAGTCTAAAAGCAAAAATATACACTTCTTGAAGGCTTACTGCCGCGGTTTGTTGATAATCAAATTCAAGTTTGATCTTTCATATAACTTCTTTGTTTAGATTTAGGGAAAATTATTGTCTATCAGTGTTAATCTAATTTTGAACCAAAAATTATTTCTTCATCGCTTTTTCGCATCATTCAATCAGAAACACCCTTTTTCTCTGTCCATTTACTGAAAATAGAATTGAGTATAAACTACATTAGAGAGAAGCAATCACTCTGAGCTCTGGATCCCCATACGATATATACATAAATAAATAATTAAACAAATAATTGTCCAAATTTCAGTTATAAATTATATTTTAATGAGCTATAATTTATCCAATTAGTTTTAAAAAAACATTTTTGCCATACTGGAGTGTATGATTGTATAAAAGTGTCTAAAACTCAGTATTATAATTGCCTTTTTTTTAAGGAGGTCATAAGACCTTTGGAAGGTAGCGTCTTCATGAGGTGCAAAGCGGTCTCGAACGCCATGGGGTCACTGATGGACGAGGTGACTGCCAATTCCCTACGTTTGGCCTCACCCAAAGATCTGGACAGCAGTATTTCGGTAGGTTTTAATAAAACTTGGGAGGAAGACGAGCATCGTGCTTATTTGAGTCTTTTAGGAAAGAGATTTCGTAATGTTGGGCGAAATATCACCTCACCACGACTGGGAGTCCTCGTCGGAAACGCCCCCTAGCTATAACCAGTTGAACTATAACGAGAACATAAAGAGATTTTTCGAGAGCAATCCGAAAACCGCTGCTTCGGACGAAAGTAACGGACAACCCAGCGACGCGAAAAATGAAAGCGTCACCAAAACCATGCAGCAGCCCAACGCAAATCAGTAAGCATATATTTCATAACGTTTACAGAATAGATGTTCTTTTTTTTCTCGATATAGTGGATGTTATGCCACCAGTTTGATAAACGGCCCCTTAATCACTAATTTTTTTTTTAATAAACGAATAACTAAAGAAGTTTGCCAAAATGTATTAATAATTCCCTTGAAACAATATATCTATATCTAATGGCATTTATAAAAGATATTAACATTTTATATATAAAATGTAACTTTATATCTTATAACTGTTGTAATATAGATAAGTTTTAAGTTAGTTTATTTGCTCTACATATTCTTAAATCTTGTATATAATTTATTTATTTATTTTATTTATTTCACAACACACATAGTAATTGGACAACATTTTTGCCATATGCTAACTAAATATACTATTAAATATATTCCCTGTCCTCTATTTTGTTATGTTCTTAAGTCGATTCACTAACCCACCCGATGTAGATTGGGTATACGATTTTAGGCGACTTTCGCTTCTGTCATATCTAATTATTATCTACTATTATCTAAGGTTAATAAAGATAATACTACTGATATTAATAATGTTTGGCAAGCAATCTAGAATAAATACTTTTTAAAAAGTAACCAGATACGTATAAGACTTCCGAGCATGTTTACTAAGTGTTGTTTTAAAGTGAGCAACTTAGCAATTTAAGTTTATTAAATCGATGCACGTATCCAGTATCCGCTTGAATTAACCACATAGCTATTAGATAATATAGTTGCCTAATGAGGGTAGAAATTGATGCACGTCAGGCCGCAATGATATTTTCGTAGAGAATGTAATGGTTTTCCGCGCATGCCTCCGAATTTGAAACACTAACCTGCTCTTTGCGTCACTTAACTTGTTTTCCCAGAAAATTAAACGAGATCGGAACCGTAAATTGCTTCATCTAACTGTAACCCGTCTAATTGGCACCAGCCATATTGTTTATTAAACTTCGGTAATTATTATTGTTTGATTTGAAATCGCCGGTGCTATTGGCTGGTTTCAAATGGCGTTTCTCAATATTTCTGTGTTAATATAGACCAGGCCTCTATGTATTTAGTAGCTTTATCCATCCGTGTTGAGCAATTTAGACATACTCTGTAAATTTTGCATTTCCTAGCGTCATTTTTTCAACCTTACCAACCTTACTGAATGTCACCAGTTCCTGCCACAAAATTCCTAAACTTGTTGACAATTCTTCTTGAGTTTGAATATTGCGTAATTTTAGTTAGAATAGTTAGTTAGTTTAGGTAGTCCTGAACACGAATCTCTTATCACTTTCAATTTGTACTTCTCTCTAGTTTCATTTCTCTTTGGTAAGATCTATCCAACAAAAAAGTATTAACAAAATTGAGTCATAAAAATCATTCTACAGTAGTACTACTCAAGCGACGCGCCCGCACCCTGTATTCGAACTGAATCGAAATTGCTATAGTTAGGTTTTATGTAGTCCTGAAAAAGAATTCGTTTACACTTACACTCGATATTTGACATCAAAAATTAGTCCCAGTTAGCCATGAAATGTCATAAGCAACATAAGGTTTTAGTGCATTTTTGAGAGATCTATCCAACAAAAAAAAATTATCAAAATCAAACAATCTTAAGCGGCTCGCAAACGATATTTTCAACACCCTATATTGAAACGCTCCTAAATAAGAATTCATTGCCAATATATTTAAAAAACAAATCTCTAATCCCTAAATAGTTTCAGTTTCCCATGACTTCCAGTTGATGCAATAAGTAAAACAAGGTTGATCAATGTTCAAAAACCTATAAAACAAAAAAATTATCAAAATCCAACCATAAACAAAGATTTTACAAAGGTGTACAGTTCTTAAGTGGGACAAACTGTATATAAGTCAATGCAAATTCCTGAAACAGATTTTCCCATAACCATTTGTCGTTTGGCGCGAAAAATTTTTGCTGTTCCGTCACAATTTCTTTTTTTCTTTTTTGCAGAAAGTGCCTTTCGCCCGTAGCCAAAAACGCACACACCCGATCAGGTAGCGGTGCGTTATCAAGTTTCGAAAGTAACACCAATTTGAATACCGCACCAAGCACCACGAACACGTCAAACGATTCTTATAAACCTCACCTGACCGTATCGGTTTTAGTTAAGTAAGTACCCTTCGCCGATGCCGAGGTAACTCCAAACTACTACACTTGTTGTACTTAATAAAAAATGGTAACCGACTGCTTGCCCATCTACAAAAACCGTTAAAATCTTCAGGACTCATTTTAATTAGGGATTCAAATCCGTATGAGTCTGACTTTGGTTTTCGTACCTTCCGGCTCCGCTCAACAGATTTGTATTTTCTTTGAGGTAGCATGGACCGATGGATAAGGACGGGTAAGTTACACCATTTACGGCCAAATTTTAAATCAGTTAATGCGAATTTTTGAGTCGAAATTAAATTTTACTGAAAGCGTTTGAAGCGATTTTCCTGACGATCGAAGATTCCTCTAAAAATTACCCGTTGTCCTGTTGATTTTAGAGTTTTCAGGTAAGATTTGTAGACTCAAAACAGAACTCTCACACTTTCGATGTTTGCAGTAATCAATTTGCGCACCTCACAGCTAAATGAACCATTTTTTATTGTTCGACAATAGTCAATAATTTTAATGTTCCGAAAATTGTTTTCAGGCATAACGAAGATATGGTAAAAAAAATGATAAAGCAGCGTAAAGTGCAAAAGTCTTACAACAAAGATCGAGAGAATAAAAAGAATGCGGACAAAGCGGAGAGGAACTGCCCCTCCAAAGCGGGCGTGGCTACTACGCGCACGCGCGGCGTCAAGCGAAGTGGACCACTTTCGTGGGAGGGATCTAGGGACAAAATTTCAAAAAATACGGGTCGAAACGGTACTAATAAAAAAGTAACACAAAAGATCCCCGGCAAAACTAACCATTCCACAAAGAAACCCAAACGGGACAAAAAACATCCCACCGTATGTAAATATCAGGATTCCCATCAACCGTTTACATTGAATGTAACATCGCTCAAGGATTCCAGCGAGCCAGGACCAAATGGAACATTTAACGGTCACATGGTACCGTTTTACTACATTCCTGCATTTTCGGCAGGTCCCTCTGCTCGTTCCGACCATTCCGCATCCAGATGTCAAGGTAAGCGACATCCTAAGTTGTATTTAAAAAAATGTGGAATGATATTAGGACCGCGTTGTTTGAAATCCACTTCAATCAAACTACTAAATTAACAAATTCTGTAACTTTAAATTAATTTCTTTTTTTTTTTAATCCCACGCGACCTTCCAATCAGTTTTTCATTTGAAAAGCGCTTTATACAGGTTTTATTATTATTAGGATTCTAAATTTGGCACTGAGCTGGCAAATAAGAATAACTTAATAATCCTTAATAACTTAACAAATGGAATAAATATTCGATCAATGTTTTCTTAAATACAAATTTAAGTACAAGGTATAAGATTAAATGTGTATTAATTTTTTTATAATTCTATATATTAGAATACGGAGTTCACAATTTTAGTCCTCTATTTAATGACATTATTACTGTGTTCTTTGAATTACACTACAGAAGAACTTGGAATCCACCTAATCAAGTTACTCAATTAACAAATTCGATAACTTTAAATTGATTTCAATTTTTTTTATCCCGCGCGAACTTCCAACCAGTTTTTCATTTGAAAAACGCTTTATACAGGTTTTATCATTAGTAGGATTCTATATTTCGCACTGAGCTGACAAAAAAAAACTTAATAATAGTTAACAATAGTTAGTAATAACTTAACAAACTTAATAGATATTCGATCAATGTTTTCTTAAATACAAATTTGAGTACAAGGTATAAGTTGAAATGTGTTTTAATTTTTTTACAATTTTATATATTAGAACACGGGGTTCGCAATTTTAGTCCCCTATTTAATGACATTATTACTGGCTTCTTTGAGTTACACTACAGAAGATCTTGCAATCCACCTAATCAAGTTCCTAAATTAACAAATTCGATAACTTTAAATTGATTTCAATTTTTCTTTATCCCGCGCTAACTTCCAATCAGTTTTTCATTTGAAAAACACTTTATACAGGTTTTATTATTAATAGGATTCTATATTTCGCACTGAGCTGACAAATAAGAATAACTTAATAATCCTTAATAATTTAACAAATTGAATAAATATTCGATCAATGTTTTCCTAAATCCAAATTTAAGTACAAGGTATAAGTTTAAATGTGTATTAGTTTATATACAATATACAAATATACAATTTTTTCGATTTTTTTTCTTTTGTATTGTATTGAATTTTTGATACAGAGTCTACTTAGGAAGGTTTACATATTGCGGAAAAAATTGTATTTTCTTTATTTTTTAAATCAGTACGACTATATGGCCGATTTCTAAGAAATCACAAATATTAGTATATCTTAAAAAATCTTGACAATGATATGGTTTGGCCAAAAGACCGCTGTCAACATATCTTACCATGGAATTATGTACCAGGTAATTTATTTCACCTAATTATTTCATATATATTACAAAAGTTGACATGAAGTGTGTAAGTATACATTCCATTAAATCAGATACACGCCCTAATATATTAAATTTAAGTACAAGTTGAATTCATTCAAGATTGTGTGATAAATTCGAAACCAACAAATTTTATTCTAGTTTTAACAATTTAATTATTACCTTCATTGATGGCAAATATATTTTTAAATGCAGGGGAATCTAATTCTAACAGAAAGGTTTTGTGAAGATGTATAAAACGGACATTCAAAGAAAATGTGTTGCACATCTTCGTTTTTCAGTAAGTTACAAATCGAACATATTTTTTGTAGGGTAGTGTTATTGAGAGCGGAACTTTTTGCAATTGATATTTTGCAAGAATATGGTAAATCAATAGGTGGAAAATAATAGAAATGTTGATCTTGAAATGGAGATCTAGTCACACAGTTTTCAAACATGTCAACACACTCAATTTTCTCAGAGTAGATTTTTTTATTGTCAGCCAGGATAAAATAGATTTAAAAATAAGTAGCGAGAGTTTAACAGTATTCTTTTTGGAAGACAAAGAAGCTATTTGAGAAAACTAACCTCCGCTCTCTCATCAACCACTCCCTGATAGTATGGGCATTGTTTACCTACATTTAACGTATTTCTTCTTTAGTGAAAAAATAACAACTAGATGCCATTTACGAAAATATCAAATGTGTCAATTGCGGTTCTAAAGTAATGCCCAAATATTTTCTATTACTGACAGATAGCTCTCGTTTTTGTCGTATTTAATCACAACACGGTCAATAATATAAAAACTTAAAATATTTGAATTATTTATTAAAATTGAAAATATTCGTTATTTCTTTGTAGTCTGTTCCAGAACTAGGACCTTTAAGTTTTCCACAATAATACCTATGAGATGATACCTGTAAAAAGTATCTAATCCACTTTATTGCGCATTCTCTTGTCCCATACGTTACCATTTTTTATCAGTAATTTACCATGATTTACTTGCAGATCGACAAAACTTTTGTGTTCGTAGATGGTTTTATTTCTTTTACGGAAGTAGCTATATAATTTTATGCAGGGCATTATTATCCCATTTTGGGTCACTTAATGCACTAACCAACAAAATTATTTCAAAATCAACCAGTAATTAGGGCTCACATGATGATCTTTGGTTTCAGTTCAGTATGTTCCCGGAATGTTCTACAACGCGTTCCAATCTTCCTCACCGGTTATTTATTCGGCACTGCCAGTTTTTCCTGTTCCATTTTCGACTTCTATGTCCGACCAGCGTCATATGAACGCGATGAAACAGAACGCCGATGTTAGCCCCAACAATGGCACCAATGAAAACGTACCACAATTCGGTGCTACCTCAAAACCGATGACCGGTTACCAGTTTCAAAGACCTGGATCAGAAGCGATGTCGGTTAAGGCGGAACCTGGTAGTGGAATGTGTTCCATAGCTTCCATTAGTCTGGCGAACAAGGTAAAATGGAGTTACGCGTACAACAAGCTTGTTCTGTTTCATTATATGGTACAGTTTCGTGTTCATTTGGTTAATATATATGTCATAAATTTACCCCTTATCAGCTTCATTTTGGAAGACAATTCAAGCACTTTTCTAGTTTTATCTAATACTAAATGGGAAAAACGCAATATTTTTAGGCATTTTCCGAAAGTTCACGAAAGGAAACGGCCATACAGTCCGAGTTTTCGTTCGAATCGCCCATGGTAAACCGTCCGGATGAAGGAGCCCGACCGAAGGAATTAAATTCTTGTTCGAAGGTCATTTTTGTGTACCTATTTTTATCCTTTCGTTATAATTTATTTTGCTGGACGTAATTGATAGGAAACGAAAAAAAAAAGTTGTTCGTTGTTTATAAACTGCGTTTCGACATCTATATTTAAAAGTGATCGCGAGAGCTTCGAACCCTGAGAATAAATTTGCATGTTTCATGACGGAAAATAATCAAAAAATTACAGATGGTAAGTTCTTCTATATAACAGGGAAAATCGCCCTTTCTTTGTTGTTTTGTTTGCCTTTAATTCCGTTTTTTTTTTAATTTATGTACTTGGGAAGACATCTTGCGGAAACAGTAAATAGCGAACAAAAAATTTTCCTTTAGGGAACACAATAAGCACCGCTGCAAAACCATTACGGTTTAATGTGGAAAACGTAGCTTTTTAAATTAGAAAACAGTATGTTTAAGATTTTTTTTTAAATTGGTTCGAAAAATACCATTTTTGTGTTCTGTTTACTGCTATATGGTGAAGATCTCGATCGATGACAGCAGTGTCTAAATAAAATAGAAGAGTATAAACTCAAAGGAAGATCAACCAGAACCAACAGAGATTTGGCTGGTAAATGCTATTGGTAACGTTATTATCTGTCGTTTTCCGTATGATTTCGACCTACCTGTCGTGATGATCGGTGCCGCATTCTTTGAATTCTTTTCTCGCAGATAAACGAAAACAAAAATCAATCGCCCAAGCCCGGATCAGTCACGTACCGGAGCAAAACCGTAGACGAATCCAGTAGTTGCTATTCGTCTTCTTTCTCGTCATTTCTAAAGACCGATACCGGTTCGGGATCGATAGACGGCTCCAGTCAAATCACCGAAGACAAATTGTCAAAGGGCGTAAATGTAAGCGTCCTACTGGATGTATCCAGATGCGTGGTAACTTCAACTTTTCGTAGGTGCCAAAGAAAATGAAAGTACATCAGGGTAACGCCGAGCCCGAATGGATGCAGACTGTTGGAAAATCGGCGGACATCATTTACAGATACCAAGTTGCCGTTAAAGATTTAAGCGAAGTCTTAGAATCCGACCTCACAAAGTTGAAACTCATGGAACAGGTATGATGATTTTTTATATCAAAACGCTCATTCTGCTGTTGAAAAAAAAACTTATTTTGAAAATAACTTTAATGATTTTTGATTTTTTATATATTTTTCAATATACAAACATAACTTTCTGAAGTTTCTGAAGTGACCAAAATTTTCTTTTTATTTGAAGAATTTTTTTTAGGAATGTACTGTTTACAAGTGTACAAGTATACAGAAATATTCAGCAAAATTAGATTTCAAAAATGTAACATAGCAGCATTGTGCTCTGAGGTTTGCAAAACGGGCCACTTCGTCAGCCATTAGAATTTAAAGAGATCTCTTTAAGTCGTCTAGTTGGGTCGATACCATTACTTCTGCCATTGTTTGCGCAAAACGCGGTAGATCGCGCTTTCAGTTACACGGATACGTTTCATTTTCTTATTTTATTTTGACATATATTTCTAGAAGAAATTAATTATTACTATGCGTTGTTTATCATCTATGGGAAAAAAAAGAACAACCCCGATCTGTGATTTTCAACACGAGTTCCCATATTATTATGTTTGTGTTGTATGTTGTATGTTTGTTGTGTTCACATATCAAACATTGTGGCTCAATCTGGTAGAAGTCATACATCCAAACGTAGGCTAAAACCACTTTATGTAAAGCAGATTCAGTCGCCAAAACGCATTTCTAGGCATTTTATGGACATTTCTCTTTTATAATACGCTTGCCTTCTTAAATTCTAAAAGCAAAATGTCAAAATAAAAAAAATGCTTTTACGTCTGATAAACTTTTGGAAACTGTCAAATTTCATATTCTAAAATTCTATATAGTTCAAATAAAAAAATAAAATGTTTTGGGAAAAATGATTTTTTATTTCAGTAGCAGATGAACATCAGAGATTAAATAATAATGTATTTTTGATACTTTTTACAAAACTTCTGGATTCCTCCTGCGTCGGTTTTTGCTGAGTCGAACTTGCTGACGTTTCGCTAATCATCCTGTTGGCTTCGTCAGAGCTTGATTGAAACTAAAGAAGCCAACAGAATGATTGGCGAAACGCCAGCAAGTTCGACTCAGCAAAAACCGAAGCAGGAGGAATCCAAAAGTTTTCTAAAAATATTATATTATAGTAGCCTCTGGAAGTTTCTTTGAAAAATGTATTTTTGAATTTAAAAGTTCAAGTTTTCATCAGAATCATCAAAATGAAAGTGATTAATATTTTACGGCACTGACACGCAAATAAAGTATTTTATTCACACCTCCGAATGAATAATGAACTCATTACACACGATACACTGATAAATTGTAATTATAAAACACCAAACCTGTTATATAAATAATTAAATTTTGTTTGATATAGCAAAGTTGAGCAGCGAGTAACTTTGCCTTAAATTTTAATATAGGCGTTGTTAAATGATATTTCGGTATTTTCATAATTATTGTTTTAATAATACGTTATTTCTAATCAAAATTAATCGAAACTATTACCAAATTTTAATTCAGAATTTGTTTGCTTGGCAACGAACGAAAATTTTCAATAACGCTCGAAGTATATACTACTATTGTTCATAATTGCGGAAATACTTTGTTGGTACTGAAAAAAAAATTAAAGTCAAGTTTTTTTGGGATAATTTTAGCCTGAAATGGTGAGGAACCAACTCAACCAGCTCTATGTAGAGATGGAATTACAGGGTCTTTCGAAAGCTTTGACTCTGGAATGCAGTTCGTGTAGTAGCAACGAAGGAGCGCCATCAACTCCAGCAAAGGTATAGTTATTTCATGGCCACCCAGAAGCTGTTTAGATCTCCTGATTTTAGGGGAACAAAAGAAGATCGTTTAACTTTTTGACCTGCGAAGAAGATGTTTTTATGTCCGAGATCAGCAGTAATGCTTCGCATTTTGTAAACGAGTATCAGAAAGCCTCCAGTGATGACAACAGTTCAAACTAGTATTTGTATGTGCCCATTCAAAGACATTTAATCGTTCAAATATTGTTTTTAATCTTAAAGAATTTACTAATACTGTTTTAAATGTTCTTTGATGTGATTTGTTTTGATGGTTATTCTAGGAGGTTTTGATTTTGGAAAACTTTTACTAACTTTTCTAGAAAATTTTATATTTTTATTGTTGTTGTATTAATGTTAAGCATCGATTGAGAAAATGTTATTTATATTTAATAAAAAATCTTAGTAATTAGTATGTGGTTTCAATTAAACACGATAATTTATAAAAATCTGAATTACTAGAAGACTAAAATATGATATTTATTACCACCAAAAAAAAAACAGTTGAACTGGTATTTTTATGTCTCAATTCAGAAACATGTTATCGTTGTTCAGGTATTATATTTAATCTTGATGAATTTATTAATACTGTTTTAAATGTTCTTTGAGCAAGTTTTAATTTTGGGGAACTTTTACTAACTCTTCTAGAAAATTTTATATTTTTATTGTTGTAATTAATGTATAATCATAGACTGAGATAATGTAATTTATATTAAATAAAAATTTAGTATTACATATGTTGTTTCAATTAAAGAAATATGCACTAAGGAAACTACTAATTTTTAAATTAAATTTTTTAACATTTAATTTTGTATTAAATCATATTAAAATTTAATGTCGTACTTGAGGAATTGGCAACGAATGTTATGTACTAACAAAATGAAGTAATAATAATAATAGCTCATTTTTACAGATAATTAACTTTAGAAAAATGTTAAGCTACCCGTTTTACATCGGTTTTAATAGACAATTCTTATGGTATTCTATGATGAAATGAAAAACAAATTTTAAATTTTGGTGAATCCAAGTAGATTCAGGTTCAGGTAAATTTAAAACGCATTACCAAACGCTCAGTCTTTATTGTCGTCTAAGCGCTTTGAGATAAAGGCTACGTTGTATTATGTTCATCAAAACGTTGTTTCGAGAACAAATGGCGGTAATGTTTTCCTAACGCAAATTTACCGGATAAACTATATTTTCTTTGGAAGCTCAACATTTAAAAAACGCACAGCTGATGAGTTAGAATTTTAAACGCCGAATTTTTTTTCGGCGAATTAAAACCCAAACCTAATTTGCGTTTACTACCGGTAAAATGATAACAACAGTTTTCTTGAAAAGCTAACAATATTACTCTAAAAATAATGATGATGATGATACTTCCTATTATGTGCTGCTTAAGAGATACTTCCATATTTAGACTTGTGTTTTGTTTTATAAATTAGAGCAAAAACATAGCCGTTACTAATGAAAAAATAAAATAGGAAAAGTGGCTCAAAATTAAGGGGTTTCACATTCTCTTTGTTGGATTTTAAGTGAAGCAAATCTGATTTCACTAAAATAACAATAATGCCCTTAAAAGATTACTTTATCCGACTTCAGAAAATATCAGCGAAATATTACTATCCCGATACCTTGAGATGCATCGACTATTTTTTCTCGGTTTTGCTTGTTATCGTCAGGTCTCGTTGATATTGTGGATTTTGTTACTTAATTAATCCAAATAATTGGGCATACACACGAAGCAATAACAGTCTGACACCGTTAGCTTTTGCAGATGTTTGATCCTAATGTGGTGTTTACGTATTTAAGCTCATCTTCTTAGGATCGCAACACAACTGGTAAAAACTCAATTTTTGAAAATCAAGATGATATCCTAGAAAGCAAAAAGTGAGATTTGTACAAATTTGGGTGATACAATAACAATAACAAATAATGATTATAATCTGTAATAATTAATTAATTAATGCGCTGAATAATGTATGTAATAGCTATTTTTAAGAAAAATAAATTTATTTTAGCTTCATAATAATCTAATCTCTTTTTACAATAATAATAATAATAATAATAACAATAGTATTATTAATAATGATAATAATATAACTATAATAAACAAATAACGGATACTCTACGGAATCACTAACAACTACGGTTGTAATTAATAAATTGGTGCTACCTATTTGAAAATAATGAAATTCAAATAAAAAATGAAATCTCTTATGAGGACAATAGAAGTTCTTAAAGTCTGTATCATGAGAGGGTTGGGATTTTCTTTGTAAATAAAATTAAATTTAGGTTGATCAAATCCTATATCCCTCACTTGGATAGAATTGTTAACAAGTTTCCACTAGTGTTATAATATGTAACAATATCGAATACAATTTACATATAATTTACATGACGTAGAGGCACATCATTCCTACTCTTTTTGAATGCGGATTCTGCAGGCGAGTGTTAGTTAAAACCAACCATTTATGCATTTTACAATGTTGCGTAGAAAGGCGTAGAGAAGGCGACTGATGCTTTACGATTTTTGACATTTCGAATTTGTAAGCGGAATTTAGTTGTTTGCCGTTGGTGACTTTACGATTTTTCTGATTTGAGAAATGTTTGATTTCTAAATATTAATTAAACAGTTATCAAAATTGACTTTGCGGTGTTTAGTGTCTGGAATCACCATTAATGGTCATCCTATGGTTTTCATAGGCAAGGATTCGTTCGTTACGCCGTTTTGCCATGATTCGAAAAAATGTGGACCTAATCAGAGTAGGCGGCAAATGCCTTGCGATTTTTGACATTTCCAGTTTGGACGCGAAACCAGCTTAGTTTGTTGTTGCCATTTTTATGATTTGAGAAGTGTTTCATTTCTAAATATAAGTTAAACGGTTATTTAAAATGGTTTTGCGGTGTTTGGTGTGTGAAATAACAATTTGCGATCATTTTCAATTTTAGTTTCCATAGGTAAGCATTTATTCACGAAACCATTCACAAATGTTTATGTTTATGTGGACTTTTATAAACGAATTGTGGTACCTCTTTTGGATATAATATTTTTGGTGCTTAATAAGTCACTGATAGAAAAAAACCAGTTGGCTAGCGAATTTCGTATGGCGAAATGAAATTCATCGCGGCATTATTTATTAAAAGCGAGCGAATTAAAAACTGGACGAAGTTACATCAGCCAAATGCCTTTTTAAAAATTTCATTTTCAATTCCCGCGACTCAGATATTCAAGCTCGCTCATCTAATCCGCCGTTAAAATTTTTATCACCGAAAGCTGGGGAACCCATCCGCGGTGCTTTTGGGTACGGTAAAAATTTCAAAAGACCGTAAAGCGTTGCACGAGAGACGAGAAACAAAGATTGCAAAAACTAATTTAAGTTGGAAATAGAGATGCTCATCTAAATGTATTAATCTAGCCGGTGATAATTTTAAAATAAGAATTCCTAACTTTATATTGCTTTTTAACATACATTAATACTAGACTCGGGCTCATTTCTACTTGATGTTGACACAAAATTTTCAACCCTTAATATTTATGAGCGCGGAAGATTTCATATCTCTTTAGAAAGAAAGTTTTCGAAACTTTGGTCCGTAATGATCTTCGCGCCCCGCCATCTCGAGTACTTAAAATCTACATACATTTTTCTTTGTCGCATTGTGATTTTTGTGACGGCGATTGTGCCGTACGTATACGATCCGTCTACGAATGGGAAAATTAAACGACGTGCACTGCGCGCTTTTCTGAACAATACGATGCGTGATGTGCAAGTCTTGACAGCATCATAATGGAGAATACTTAGCTGCGTAATACCGGTTCGTAATAAGGTTAAGTAAAAAATAAACTAATGCGATCGTTTATAGTGCTTTTACAGCCTTGGTAGTATTTTTCTGACCTTACTTTTAGGTAAGTTAAGTGTTAACGTGAATTTGGTAGAACGACGAATTCAAAGAAACGTCATAAGCCAACCAATTTTCGACTTTAAATAAGTTATCGTCGCCCAGACGTTGGGTCGGTGATTGTACTCTCTAGTTTTGGTAAAAAATATTTGTAAGGACGAAACAACTATAACCCTACTTGTGCTTGGTATTTTTATCTCACATTTTTAGCTCACATATTGCTCCTGTCACATATTCCACCAACAATTAACACGGATGTAGGTTAAATAATGGTAAAATATACCGGCCACCATTCAAACGCAGCAGGTAAACAACATCAAATTTCTGTTAGAGTTCTCCAAACTATATACCGTTTTTACGACATAATCCAGTACTTAAGATTGGTAAATTTTTAGGAAGGTTTAACAGCCTACCTTTTTGTAACCCTCAATAAATAGATTCACAATTCCACAATGACGTTCCAGATATACTTCGTGCATACAAAAACTTACTCTTATTGTTGGTTTTGTAATAAAAATCAATTATTCGTACGAACGCAAAGTCTCTTGGCAACAGCCAATGTTCAAAACACTTCGCAACTCTTCATGTATACTTTAATTGTTCTTCTGATACGTGTCATATATCAACACCTCACTATTGCGGTATAGTGCATGTCAAGTAGATTTTTTGGGACCCCACGCTCTTTCAACGTTTTTCTTTCCTGAACACCATTCACAACTATGTCACTTACTGTGGCATACTGTGTTTTAGTCATCTCGGACGTTAATTTTATGGCTCGACTTTCCCCAGAAACACATTTAAAATTATAATTTTGGCGGCAACCGGCAACTGTGTCCGAGACTTTGATCCATTTAAATTTGACGGATGTTCGTCATCAACGAATATTACGTCATCAACCACAATCTCAACTTCTTCGTCGCTGGGCATCGCAAGTGACTAACAAAATTGAATAATGGTAGTATTTGGTAAGAAATAAATTGTCATAAAATATATATGGTACCTCAATAAAAATTTCACACTGAATCCTGAAAAACAATTGAATCACAGTAAGTTGGTAATTACTATTTGCAAACATAAGACGGAATAGAAATAATTCCAAAACTTCGACGGGTAATAAAATAGTATTTCATAAAACTGACTGCATACTCCGATTTCACCAACCCCGAGAAATCAACCAATAGCAAACTGGGAAAACGTCCAATATAAATCTACATAAGATTTTGGATTGCTGTCTTAGGAAAATATTTTAGAGTCATTATGTTAAACGCTGATTATTATTATAATATTATTATTACCCTGAAGTTATGCGCCGTTGGCGAGAAGCAAAACGAAGAAAACGTCTGGAATTGTGGGAAAATAATTAATGGTTTTTGCATCACGATAATGCACCTGCTCACTCATCGTTGCTTGTGCCTAATTTTTTGGCCAAAAACAAAAATTCAATCATGTCTTAGCCACCATATTCACCGGATATGCCTCCTGCTATTTAAAGAGCTTTGGAACCATTGAGGAGATAAAGAAAAAATCGCTGGAAAAACTCATGTTATACCAGAAAGTGCTTACCACAAATGGGGGAGAATTACTTTGAAAAGGACAACATTAATTTTGATGAATAAATAAATACTTTTTGATAAAACTTACTTCTAGAACACATCTCGTATAGTTCCAATAAACAAATATGTTTATTTATCACTAATACGCCCACTATAATTTAAATTAGCTTAG